CCGCAGGCGTCAGCGATTTCTTTCTCGGCCATAAAAAAAGGTGAATTTCGCCATTTTTATTTATACCTTGGACAGCAGGAGCAGCTCTATCTGGAAGGATATTTTAATCTCATAGAGAGCCGTGTGAACCTGTTTGTTTTCTGCGTCTACTTACTTATGAGGAGCATAATTTAATTAGAAGACAAAAGAAAGTTTTGCAATCTCTCGGGGGAAAAAATTAAAACGGAAGGCACGGTCATTTAATATCATTTGGATTTGATAAAATTATGAACTCGACCTTACAATTAGGTGCGTATACTTCTTTTTTAAACAAAATCGGTTGGGCAACAAAAGTTAAGAGCAAGTACGCAAAGGTAAATTATACGGCCGTGACCGAGCGCATTCATTGTGCACCGGCGACTGCGTGATTCTCTCAGGATAACAAAGCATCGTCAGACAGATGCGTTTCAACGCGCGTCAGTCTGACTTTGAGAAGTATACAAAAAAAAAACCAACTGCGTGTGCGTAGAAATTAGAATGTGTTATACACCGGCACGGATCTACATCACACGTCTGTCACTGCTTTATAAATCAGTGCTATTTTATTTTGACTCTTGAAGAAGAGGAGTGCAGTGCGTGCGAATGGCTGGCTGATTATTTATAATGAGAACGCTGAGAATAAGGAAGATCAAGACGCTCTCTCAAACATCCGCCAACTGTGAGAATATCGCAGTGTGGCATTTAATGAACAGGAAGAATAAATCGATTAATTTAATTGTTATATTAAAATAATTGTAATATAATTTTTTACTTTTAATTTGACTATTACTTTTTTTTAAATGAAGTAAATTTTAATAGCTTAATATCTGTTTAAACATTCAGAAATAAGAACTATTTATTAAAACACATAAATTTTAATATTTTTTATTTAATCATATTTAATATAATAATTTATTTTAAATTTTAATTGACATTGTTTAAATAAATTTAATGTTATTACTTTTAGACAGCAGAAAATAAATTTTAAATAACTTGATATTAAAAAAAATATTATAGATTTTCCTAAATTCTCTGTCGTTTCAATTGTTTTGAAGTTATATTCAAATTTATTTCACATTCAAAGATTTTAACCTTTTAACCCCAAGAAACGACTGCAATATACAAATCAGCCCAAATCACTCCACTATTACTAATGTACAATTATCGGAAAGAATTTTGGAAGTAAAGCTTTTGTGTTATTCTGATAATTAATTTTATAATAAGTGATCAACAAAAAGAGTCTGCGAATATCTTTTATCGCTTCTACTGTTTGTTCTCTTAATTAAATCTGCAGAAACACATTTTCTTCGTTCTCTTTTGTTTTCATTCTTTATACTTTCTTGCCTTTCTCTAACATTTATCTCTTCCTGCACGGCGCGGAAATAAAATTAGCCAAAAGTAGCTCAGTCAAGACCGATATAACGCATTCTTTTTTTTCTCTCTGTCTCCACGCATTTGTAATTTCGTAGAAAAAGCCGAAAAATCGCGGCAGCGTGCGGTCCAAGTGGCGTAATTGGCGCAATATTTCATGGTCCACCGCCCCAATTAGCCGCTGAGCATACATTCATCCGCCTCTCGCGCATTCTACGCTCTTCCCATTTTTTTTTTTCAGCAGCGAAAAACCACTCGGCAGGTGCACGGCACGGAGATTTCGAGCCGCGAGCTCTCATTACGAGTTTGGCCGTTCGTTCGCTCGCGCTCGCACACTGGCCTACTTTCTCGTCCGTCGCACACTTAATTCTTGCCAGGCAACTCTTCAGAACTTGATTCGCGCGCTAGAGTGTTTTGCCTTTTCTTTCTTTCTCGGCAAGCGCGACTCTCGCGCTTCCTGTTCGTTTACTGACCTAGTCCATGCACTCGTTCGCCAGCTGCCAGACTTGAATTTGTCTCCACCTGCGATCAATTTTCTGCCGATAGCGATCGGCAATTTCGGCGACGCACCTGTGTAATGAAAGTTTACTTGTTGCGCGAGCAGGTTTCGCCCCGGTTAATTTTCGCAGCAGGAAGCGATCGCTTTTTTCGCTTCTAAAGCTTCTTCTCCCTTGCAAGGATTAAAAATGATTTTCACTTTTAAACTTCATGAATTTATTATACAAACCCAGTGAATGAATATCTTATAATTGCGTTCATTGATACCAAATTATGAGAAAATCCTGATACGAATTTCAATTTGAATACTTATGAGGTCAATTTTAGCATAAATTGATCAACTTTGGCTAATTTTAATGGACGTTCACATATGCAAATTGCTCTCAAATCTCATATCTTGGTAAAATTTGGCCTCGTTCTCTAATTTTTGCCTGAAGTGTAATTTTAAACACACGTAAATGATTGACCTGACGTAGAACTCCTCGTCAGATGATCTCATTTCAGATTAATTTTATGCTCGGTGAGATTCTGGATCCAGTCCAGTTTTCCTCGCCCGCATGTTGACATGTTTATCCACACCGTGCTCATTAAGCTGCACTTTATGTAGAGGAAAATCAAGATGAAATTCTGCAGCAAATGACACACCCTTAGCCAGAGAAGGTCTCCATTAAGAACCTCTTTCATTTTTTCGCTCAGGTCAAAATATGCGCAGGTTAACAAAATGACTCTGAACTTCAAATCATTTTAATTATTTTTAATTTATAAAATTTTACTTGGGTTGTTTAATCTAAAGATTGTCTTGTTATAACAATCACAGTCACACAAAGTAGAAGATAATTAATCAACTTAATTGGTAAAATTTACTGCAAACTCATCGCCAAATTAGCTCAGAACGCTTCACAAAAGGCATCAATGCCTTTATCACAAATATTCACAAAGCATGGGAGGAACCGAGAACCTGATCAAGTGATCAGAGAAAATTTTGTTTATTTACTCGCAGATTAAAAAATGAATTTTTTATTAGAAAATAAGTCAGTTTTTAGTTGAATTAGTACAAAAAAGAAAAGCCGACATTATTCATTTGAGTGTAATTTTCCCGTCTCGGACAGGAAGCGGTGATTAAAAGCGAATTTTCGTTTGGCATGAAGCAATTAACTGTAATTTGCAGCCGCAATTTTGCATGTTGTTTTTTCGTTTAAGTGAAAGGGACATGTTTTGTGAGTATTTTTCGCAGTTAGCCTTCCTTTGGCCGGAGGAGACCGTGCGCGCCAACTCGGCGAGATCACTTTCTTCGCTGTGAGCACAGCTCTGACGCAATGACCGGCTACACTATTGCTCTTCTGACCCCAGTGAACTTTTCACGACATTTTTTTTTCTCAGCGCGGAAATCAACACCGTTTCTAATTCGATATTGGGCCTGGAATTAAAGGGTTACGCTGCTTTTTCCCCCGACAAATTGTTGCAGGCCCTTCTAATGATGATGACTACAAATTACTTTCTTCGTCGGGGTCCATCTTTCACCGGACCTGAAACTGTGCAGCGTAATCGCTCTCGTCCCTGCGCCTTCACTATTTTTAAATTGATTACCGGGGTTATTTTATTTTCGTAGCCGTATAATTTATGGCTTCATTTCTGAGGATTTATTGTGGGTACTGTTACAAATCCGTCAGATTTTTTAGACGAAATGAGAAAATCCTAAGAACACGCAGGTGATAATACTGCACAAAAGTACAGGTCAAATTTAATTTTCAGCAATCAATTATTTTTATCTTATTTTATATTTTTAAAGCAAAAATATTTTAAATATTTATATTATATAATAATATTTGCACTCTCAATTTCTTATTTCTTGAATAAATAATATAAAAAATCGTGGAGTCCATTTTTCCACATTAATTGAAATTTATTTATTTTATAAATAAGAATCAATCTTAATATTTGGAAAATCTCCAATCTCAGTTTCTTTTAGTGGTTTTTTTTTTCTAAGAAAAGCAAACCCAACCGTTCCAGACCGTCTTGGTATCCGTACGTATTATCTAACAAGAGCCCATCGAAGTTTATTGACTCTTCGCACTCTTTCAACAATAACACACAAGCAGAAATGCGAGCGTCGAAGTCTCCACTCGCACCTCCATGTCCGTGTATTCGTTGTATTTTATTATTTATCTCAAACACACAATCAAAAGTGCTAAAGCGATGCTCAAACAGTGAGTTAGCCTCGTTGCACCTCAAGTGCAGCTGCATTGGCAGGTATTATTAAATCAGTGGCTTTTGACGTGCATAATAAACGTGAATTACAGCGGCCGTCGCTTTCGTGCTCTCTCATTATTTCCGCGAGCTGCCGCTTTTGACAAGCGGGTTGCGTCAATTCTTTGAATAAAAAATTAATATCACAGATTTTCACACGCCACTCATCGATGCAAAATTCGCAATCGAAATCGATCATTGTGGTGCACCCACTGAGGTGTGATTTTTATCGACTTTCACTGCGAATTAAAAGAGAGCCGTGTGATCTCAGGGCCCCTTTCTACGCAAGCGAATAAATGGAGGAAAAAGGCAAAGGTTGAAGCAGAGATAAAAGCGAAAGATTGTTTGCTCCTTAGCAGGAAATTCGAATGAATAATACACCGGGGAGCAGTTTATGCATATTATATACGCGACTGGGTGTTGGACCGACGAGTGACTATTACTAAAAAGGAGAGGCGAGTCAACCCGAAAAAAATTCACGTGTGGGTTTGGGCGCTCGGTTTATATTGCAGGGCAAATTCGAGAGTGCAAGTTGTAAAAAAGCGACCTGCTGTGAGATCGAAACAAAACATTAGAGGCGGAAAGGCCGCAAGCTTAAGAAATAGCTCAGTTATGATTCAAAATTCAAAGCACCCAAATGTAAAAAACAATTCTGATAAGTTATTTCGCATTAAAATCTGCAAAACGTTTGCCAATTTTATAAAAAAAAAATTGAATAAACCTTTTTCACTCAAAACAGATTATTCCAATAGGACAAATAATAATGTTTTCCTCAAAAAAAGAAGTCATTTAACTTGTCGAACTTTCTTTCTCGTTTTCCAATTTTAATTTAATTTTTTGCTTCAATTATTAAAAATAATTCCTACCTTAGATCAGGCTCCTGAAGGAAATGTAGCGCTGTCGTTGCACTCAATAAATCCTCGCGCCGATCAGCATGCTGTGTCCCTTATACACGCGCGAACTAACTGGCACTCTCACAGACGAGGACCCAATTATTGCAGCCGCCGTGGTGCTCGCCGAGTCACTGGTGTGCGATCTCTCGAAGGCTCACTCGCCTCGCGCCTTCCTCCTCGCGATCAGCGCCGCCCCTCTCTCCTTTCCCCCGATAAATTGGCCGCTCCACAATAAGAATTAGCCGAACCTTGTGGCGCCACTCCCGTCTTTTAACACTATTTTCTTTATTGATATTGGTCATGTCAAAATTAAATTTTTTAGTAAATTATAAATAAATAAAAAATATGTTATAATTAAGTATTCTAAAAATTTATTTGATCAAAAGTTATTTTTTTTCATAAAATTCAAATTAATAAAAAAAAGTAATTTACTGTATAACTTAGAAAATACCAGTCATCTTAAACGAATTTTTTTTCTTTTTCCGTCATTAATCATAAATTAGTAATATTAATTTAGTTATTGTAAAATTTAAAACTAGCTACTTATCATTGTCAATACTAATAATTGCATTATTTTTGTTCATTTATTTGCTTGGGATTTTTAAATCGTAGACTAATTTGAAAAAATGTATTGCCATTTGAATGAAGATTTATTTTGAAATGTAGATTGGAATTATTTTTTGCAAGAACACAAAAAGTTTTAGCCACATTTAATATTATATTATTTATTAAATTTCAATCAGTCAAAAATTAAGTGAACGTAGCAGAATAACATACAAAAATTATTTATACAAAATAGTCTCAATTCTACAACTTTAAAACAGCTATACCAAAAATTGACAAAATACGATTAAAACCCTGCAATCTACTTAAAAATTGAGAAGAACTGCATTAAATACATACATCACTCTATAATTACAGTGCAACAGCACTGCAAAAACATATTTCTTCAGTTTTCTTATTTTTCGATCAATAATGTATTTTTACAGCTCAAATAAGAGCATTTTTTCTTCTAAATTTGCACAGCAAAGACATTTAGTCAATCTACAGTATATGAAAAAATTGTTTCGAAAACCTATAAATAATTCAAAAGACTTCATTCAATTTAAATTCTGTACTTTTTCTATCGTATCAACCTCTCTTGACTGGTTTTCTTCAACTAAATTCTTCTTTTCTTCTGGTTGATTTACCTCTGGCCTTGTGTCGATCTCCATTGACATCTCGTGATTATTTTTGCTTGTGGATGGCTGTGGAGATGCGTCTCGCATTGCGACGTCTTCGGATGGAAGGGCAGTAGCTTCTTTCTTCAAGTTTTCAGGTTCTTGGTTTTCAATTTTCTCCATTTCAGAAGCATGGCCATTTTCAACTTTGGATGTGCTTGCAGTTGGCTCGTTTTCAGCTACTGCCGGACTCTCCTTCTCACCCAGAGACACCAATTCAAGCACAAAGGACCAGATAAGTTCTTCATTTTGGTCTCTGGGAAATTTCGGAGACAAGGATGCTTTCAGCTTGTCCAAATAGGTGACAGATTCGTCAAATACTTTGTCCGCAAATTTAATTGCATCTGGCTCTCCTTTGTAGAACTCGGCACATTTTTTCTAAGAAATTAATAAATTTTAAAAACTCGGTCAATTTTTAATTTAACATGCAAACCATTTCATTCAGCGCGTCCTGAGATAAAAATTGTTCTTGTGCGACTGAATAGCTCATCAGCATAGGCCGAGCATACTCGAGGGGTCTGTTATCAGGCGGAGGCATAACCCAGTAGCACATGATGGACGATTCAAGATTAAGTTTGCTTGTAGACTCAATTTCAGGCTGGTAGTATGGAGCTGTTTGAAAAAAAGTGTAAAATTTGACAATTCTATTCATTTTTTTTAACCCTACAGCAAATGACTCCGACACAGGGAGTGTATGTTGCATCACTGGGCCCCTTCATTTTAATCTCGTATTCCAGTTGTGCATCGATGTCCTTGATGGACGGTGCGGCAGGAGATCTGGGGTGGCTGTGATACCAGCCTACAAGGGTTAAGCGTCTTTGTTCGAGTGCCTTGTAAATGTCCACTTCAACGTGAGCAGCTAATTCGCGGTCTCCGAGGCGGCATCGGCATGGAAACGCATTTGTTATGGACAAAGCTGGAAGCAATGTCAATGATAATCCATAAAAATGTATTTTAAGAATTTAACTTACTGTGCGAATTGACATCCCAGTGGCCAGCTAAGTATCCGACAACTTCTGAGTTGGTGAGGTGGCAGTGGAAATCCATCACCATGCAGGCGTTTGTGCTCATTTGAACTAGAAATGGTTGGATTTTGCCCAGAGATGGAAACGGAACACTTTCAACCAGGACCCTTGTGTCCCTGTTTTGACGCTTTATAAATGAAAATTTTGAGATTAAAAAAAAATTAACTCACTGGTTTGCAGTCCTGCAGCCGAGGACACTGTGCTTGACGACCGTTTTTGGACCTCTTGAGCAGGTTGAAATTGTAACTGGTTGTTTTTCCACTTCTTCCTCTGTAAACCAAATTCAGAATTTGGGAACTTGATGAAAAGTTGTGCATACCTTCGGATTGAGCATTTTCCTTGCTCATGTCGAGCCGCTTCTTTTTGAAGTAGGCGTTCTTGTACGCGTCCAGCTTTCGGCCTTTGTATTTCACCTGCAGTTATTATAAGCCAATTAGAAAAGGTAATAATTTAGTTTATTGTCAACTAACCGATGCCCAACCGCAGCCTGACTTCTTGTCAGGGTTGATGATTTTCTTGCAGTGGATGGCCCAAGCGCTCGGTGAGCTGAAGACTAGGTCTGTTTCTTGCGACCTAATTTTACCGTTTGGCAAAAGATCTCCAACAAATGTTTGGCCCTGTAGAAATCAATCATTTTTAGCTCAACATAGTCATATAAAATTGAAACATTGTTAAAAGGGGAATTGGCGCCTCAGTAGATTTTTAAAATCATTTTGCAAGTGAACTTGAGCGTCAAGAGTCTGTTCCTGGAGTATTAGGGGACAAGGAATGGGAAATGTAGCCTTGGTGTGATTTCAAGAGTAACTTTTCAAACTCAAGAAAGTTACTATTGACTTTTTCAAGGCCCGTTTTGTAATTTACGGTGGTTTCAAGCGGCAGATAAAATAAAGGGAAGAAGGGTGAGGTTGGGGATGATGATATTAAGGCATTTGGCTGTTTATTCTGCCTCATAAAATTCTCCACCCTCCAATTGAAACAAATCTCGAAACTCGGCTTAAAGTGCATCAAACCTTTTACTTAGTCATCATTGGCAATTGAATTAAATTTTCCAATTAAAAAATCTTACCAGGTAATGAATGGACATAGCCCCCTCTCCGGGGGTAAGAAGCCTCTCCCTCAGAAGGGTGAAAAGGGTCACGCACGACTTGCTAGGGGACGAGATGTGCGTTCCTCCCTCGCTTTCCTCGCCAGACGTGCAGCCGAGGGGAGAACCCAACGAGTCCTCTAATTCCTGTCCAAAATATGAAACGCTAAAAATTGGATTCTTATTTAATTGATCATGCAGTGTTCTATGAGGTATGAATTCTACAAAGAGTGCAAAACTTCAGTCATGCGATCAGACACAATCAACGGACGGACGGAGAGAGAAAAAGAAGGGGTAGCACACCTCGTCAAACTCATCCTCATCCATCAATTCCGCGCAGTCAGCACTTGTTCCCAGGTTAATTTTTCTTCTGCCAGGGTGCATTTAGTTCTCAATGCAAGCCCATTTTACTAAACCACCACCTTTGCACTCCAAATACCCTGTAGTAGTTACAGGAGCCATCATTTTTGTACAAAACGTTAATGATTATTAAATAAAAAAATATGCTCAATTTCAAAAACTCAAAATAATTCTTCTAGATTAAAAAATAATGTGTATTGTTTATTGTTTGCGAGACGGAATGCCAGCAGCGTTAATTCCGCTGAGAGATCCGCCGTGCTCAGAATTTCGATTAATTCAATAATTCTCAATAAAAATACCTTCAAAACGACTAAATAAAGCCGCTGCACTTCAGTTATCAACTTAAGTAACTCTCAAACCAAAAATACTCCTTTTTGACAGTGAAATTTACCTTTTTTTTTAGATCAATTCACCGACTCGCGTCTACGATCGACACAAACAAAAACACAAGCAAAACATCACACAGCTTGCCAACGGTACAGATTTATCAGATATGCAGAAAAATTTAATTTATTGTAATTGTCTGTTCAAAATCCAAAATTTATTACACTTTACTTTATTTTTTCTTATTTCACGTTTATTGTTCTTACAAAAAAAAATTAAAATTGTATTATTTATGTACGCTTTTTTCCACAGGTTATGTTTGCAACACTGCAGTCATATGGCGGCTTACGACCGGCGGCCTTCCCTCTTTTTGCTTTGCTCTTGCGTCTGATGTTGATGCTGTTCACGCATGTTGTTATTGTCTAAAATTTTAAACAATTTTGCAATCATTGCCCTGATTATCAACGTCTCGATCTTCTCGTTGTATGCCCTGCAGGAGCAGTCCCTCTGAAAATTTTTTTTACAGGGTTAAGTTTTTCATACATACATCAACGGAAAGAATCCTAAATTTGCAAGAATTGGCAAAAATCTTTAATATCTTTATTTTTGCTGTCACTTTGAGCAATTTTAAGTACATATTTTCTTCATACCAGCTTCATACATATGTTCAATATCATAATCCATAATATTGCATTGATTTTTCAGATTAAACAGAATTTGAAATGGCCTTGAATCTGGGCGGAGGTGCAGGAAAGCCTGGAGGTTTTACGTTTGGTCAGCCTGCAGCAACGACAACTGCAGCGACTTCAAGCACTACCTCCTTATCAGGCGGAGGTTTGGAAATCGATTAATTTGAAAATTCACCTCTAATTTTCAATGCGTTCTCCAGGATTCTCATTTGGCAATCTTGCCGCCCCTGCCGCTTCGGCGGCCCCCACAGCCACAGGAACATTAGGATCTGGATTTGCGCTGAACACTTCCACGCCCAACAAACCACCCCTGATCGGCGGAGGTCTCACTTTTGGCACCACTCAGGCTGCAGCTCTAAATCTAGGCGCTACCCCGAGCCTGGCTACAACCCCTAACCAGGGTGCTGCCCTTAGCCAGAGTGTCGCCCCCACCCCTGCAACTGGAGCCCAGAGTTTCTCATTTGGTGGTTCTGCCAACTTGACATCTGGGACGAGCACTTTTGGTATGAACTATATCTTGAAAAAATTTGCAAGATTTTAATTTTTTTATCAGCCACCCCTGCTACAACTGGAATAGCTTCCTTAGGGGTCAACCCATCCCCAGCCTATGCTACACCTACCCTCAATCTTCTTGCCAAGCCTGCCACTCAATCACCAGCAGCCTCCACAGCAGCCAGCACAGCTTCGACTTTGGGCGGAACAATGTTTGGTGAGAAATAAATCAAAATTGGAATTTCCGTCAATCTCTTACAATCTTTAATTCCAATAGCAACCAAAACAACTCAAGATCAGACGGCCATTGCAACTGCACTTACTTCATCCACAGCTGCGTGAGTTATTGTTTATTAACTTTTTCTTTTGAGAAACTGAATTTTCCTCTAAGTTCCAGCACAAGCACATTGCCCAAGCTCACATACGCAAAGCTGGAGGAGGAAATCAACAAATGGAGTTACCAACTGGAAGAGCAGGAAAATATTTTTATCCATCAAGCCACTCAAGTCAATGCCTGGGATCGACTCTTGCTCGAAAGTGGAGACAAGGTCGGAGTTTGCGACGATGTTTTTGAGTTTTTTTATTCTCCAATTTTTGTTGCAGATTGCCCTTCTGAACTCAACCATTGAATCATTGAAAGTGGAGCAGCAGAAATTAAATCTTGAGCTGGATTACATAGCTAGCCAGGAGCGTGAGCTCGAGGACAGTATTGCGCCGATTGAATCTTTTGTAGCTAATTTGCAACTGTCTGATCCAGAGAGAACTCAGACGTAATAAAATATATTCCTTTGAGATGTTGCATGACTGAAATATTATTATTATACATTCGCAGCTATGAAATGGTGGAAAATCTTGATGGCCAAACTCAACAGATGGCGAATGATTTGAAGAAGATCATTTCCCACCTCAACATCATCAACAAGGAACAAGACGAGAACAACCCGGTAATATTTTTAACATTATATTTATATTTGTGCAAAAATTTGAATTTTTGTCCACAGATTGCACAAGTTGGACGCATCTTGAATGCTCACATGAACTCGCTGATTTGGATTCATCAGACTTCAACCTCGAGCCAAAACGAAATGGACGAGGCCTCTAAGATAATCAGCACACTTCAGAAAGATATTATGGACCATTCAAGCCTGCTCAAAAAGTAATTTTTTAATGTCGCAATTTAAAAATTTTAAATGTTTGGTTTCCTATCCACTGCGACAAAAATTTCATATCGTCAGCTATGCGGACATATGGCCACTCTCCTCCACTTCATCCCATTTAGTTCTAAACAATAGACGTTAAGGAAGCCACCTCAGATTGGCCATTTGTCCGCGAAGTCGACAATATTTTCATGTCCTCAATTACTGAATAAAAGTTTTAATAAATTAAATTTCATTCCATTCGATTGTATTTTTATTTATGCGTATCAAGTTATAGAATCTCAAAGTGAATTAAATTTCTGCATTTAAATATTTTAATTCACATTTTTACTTTTTTTATATGTTAGATAATGAAGAAATAGTTAAAAAAAAATTCCGTAATAAAAATCACGCATTTTGTATCCAGAGTAAAGAAACTTAAATTCTAGATATACATTAATCCGAATGTTGTAACATAATTGCGCAAATTAGACGAAACGCATGCATTTTAATTTTAATTGGGGCCTGCTTCCGTTCGCATGAATAAGCCGCAGCTCATTTCCGTCCACCTGTTCCGATGAGAGCGAGAGCATTCTTTGCTATGTGCGCACACACCCAGACGCAATACGAGGGGGTGCAGCATTATTTTGAGTCCTTTTCGTTTCTCCCACACTTTAGTTGCAGTGCGTGGGTCGGCGTGTGAAAAGTGCCAAAGTGTGTTCTCTCGCGGCTCGGAGATTTCGACTCTCGCGATTTATGAAGCAGCGAACGGGTGCCAGCAAAAGCAGCAGCGAACGTCAAGTGGTGCCGCGACTTGAATGCTGATTCGCGAAGATCACGCCCCGGTCACATACTTTGAAATATCATATATTGTGTCCGGCGCGCGGCCGTGGGACCCTGGCCAGATATTATTTGCGTCTCTCGATCATACCAACAACGCTTATTATACGCGATCACCGCAGCGACAGCAGTTGTTTGGCCGTTGCGTAGAAAATCGAGAATATTATGTTGCTTTGTTTTAACATGCAGGCAATCGAGGAAAATTATTCTTTGTTACTACGCGTATAGTGAAAAGAAAAATTGACTGGATCTATTTCACTTGAAATTAGTTTGTCTGCTACACGGAGGATAAAAATGAAGACGACAATTTTACAAGCTGAGGTAGGAACACATTTCTATTTTTCAAAATAATTTTAAAAGTTTTTGCACAATGAAAATTTATTGTATTATTAACTAAAATATACAATGCCGGGGACTGCAAAATTTTCCTGAATGTTTTAAAACGGGAACTTTTTGTACGACATATGACAAATTAATACAAAAAATAATATTATGTTTAAAAAAAACTTTTTATAGTTATGGTTTGTTATTTAATTGTTTGAATTAAATTGAATATTTTAATAATCCCGAGATATCTTTCAATATAGTTTCCAACAAAATATGACAGCTGCTCTTGATCACACGCAATATATAATTTCTATTCATTTTTTCATTTAAATAATTTATTATGCATTTTCATGTTACATATAATATTGTAAATCTCATTTCACATAATGGGGAAAAAACAAGCTTGTATATTTATAGAAAACCCTAATTCAAATGCGGGATTGCAGAAAGTTGGCGACGTCGAAGGTTGGGTGCGCGTATTCCCAGGGCCCGAGAGCGTCGATTCGCTGTCCGAGGAGCACCACGGCACTCTTGTGTCCGTGCAGACGCTGACGACGAGCGGCGAAATCTGCAGGTCTCACTTGGGCATGTCGCCCGACTCGACCCTTTGGGCTCAGTATGGCGCAGGACCCAGTTGGCGACTCACATCCTCGGAAGCGCCGCTCCTACTGCAGGAGCTTTTTCTCAGGGCGCTCGGCTATGAAGATCCAGAACGCCGGAAACGCATGGGAATCGACCCTGAACTAAGGCACCTTTTAAGATTTCACACAGGTAGATGCACAACATTATGTACATTTATATATTTTTTATTAAAGTGATAAAATAATATTAAACAGTATAATTGTTTAAAATTTGAATTTTTATTTAACAATTTTGCTTACATATAAAATTGAAATTAAAAAAATTGTGCTTTTATTCAATTTTATCTTATTATTAATTAATTATTCATGGTTTAATTTTTAATTATGTATAATATTTTAGACCAAACTTATATTTAATTTATTATATATTTATTTAGATGCATGTCTGATCTGCTATTATTATTTTATTAAATTTGATTAAAAAAAATTAAAAATCCGTCTGGATATAATTTTAAATTATTATTGAATATTATTCTTCACTACACAAATCATATCAGGAGAGACAAAAATAACGAAAACCCAATAATTTTCTTTCCTTTTTCAGGTCCCTCTGAACCCCAAGGTTCAAGCCCTTCATTACTTGGATTCCCCAGGGCTGCCAGATTATTTGTATTAAAAGGACTTGTTGTGCCAAGGTGGCGCAGGAGAGCAATCGCCCTTCTTGGTTCGCGGCTTCTTCTTTTCCCAGGTACAATTTTTTATTTCTTGCTACTCTCTTTTAATTAATCTATTAAATTTTCCCTACTCTAACCTCTCTTTAAAATAATATGGCAAGCGATGTGCGATGAGCCTGAAAATTGTGCGCAGTTTCCAGCGCTCCCCCATCAAGGAGGGGTTGATAATTTTCATGATGCGCGCTTCCGGTAGAACTCTCGCATTTTTTATCTTCCGCTTCAAGAACGCACAGTGTTTTTATAGAGGGTGAAAGATCGCACCGACGGATGTGCTATAAACCAACGCGTTTGTCGCGTGAGAACAATTTAAAAATAAGAAAAGGGCTTATTTTATCCTGGAATTGTTAAAAAGAGTAGCGACGCCTCCACTAGATATGATCAAGAGTATCTTTTGTAATTAACTTTGCCCTCTTTTTTATACATTATTTTACTTCTCTAAATTTAAATTTTTACTCTTCAACTTAATTGAAATCTACTGTTTGAAAGTTTTTCTCCAAAGGAATCAATATACATTTAAATTTAGGATTGTCAGTTTATTTTGAATCTTGACGATAACTTGAAACGCCTTTTATTCCAGTCACCGTTTTGATGAGAAATATTTCAATCGAATGATTTTTTACGTCAGCAGAGGCCGGTGCGGATCCAGAATTAGAGTTGGAGCTCAAAGGCGGTCGTGTGGAGGCGCAGGTGCCGCGCGGAGGGTGCCTGGTGCTCAGGGTCATACCTGGCGAGCCAGAGAACAACAACCTGCCAGGCGCGGTGGCCAACAACAAAGCGGCTTCCAAGCAGCAGCAGGCGCTTTTCCTCGGCTTCCAGGGCGAAACCGAGCGTGACCTTTGGCTGGCTTGGCTGACCAAGGTAATTATCACCCGACGAAAAGTTGTATAGATTGCCTATCTGTACGCAGTGTACAGTTGGAACGGACCATTGCGGTAGAATTCGGTCTGGTTGAAAATAGCAGCGTAAGGTAGCTGAGCTGAATTCATCTCCACCAATATTTTTATTAGAAATCTTATAAATAATTTCGAATGCAAAATTAAAACATTTGAAAAGTTTCATTTCAAATACTTTTGCTTCAATTTGTCTCTATCTCTAATAATTAATAATTAATATTACGAATATTACAACAAGTCATTTTCCAGGTCAAAATTTTGTTAACAACTAAATTGTACTAAAATATAATTAATTATTTTTTAATTTAATATTACTTTAATATTTAACTATTGAAGAAAATTTAAAGTTGCAAACAATACATGCAGATTTTCAGATTTGCACTTTGATTTTCCTAAACCTTTTACCTTTTTTATTTTATTACTAGATGAAGAAATGGTCAATCTCCTAAATACAGTTATAAATAATTAAGAAATTAATGCTAGTCAAATGCATAATCAAAAGGGAAAAATTATGAAAACAGGCGTTTAATGAAATCACTCAACAACGGTTCCTCTTTGACTCCCACTTTTCGTTCTTTTTGCGGCTCCTTCCTTTCCTCGTTGGTCCGTTTTCGATAATGAAGCGTGCTTAGCGCGGTGGCCACGGCGCGTTGAACACGGTAAAATACTCTGCGACTAGACAGCGCGGGGATGAACGCTCTTTTTTCGTTGCTTATATTTTATATTATGTAAATGCACTCTTTCGGTTCCGTCGTACATTTGGTCGGAGCCGCTGTGAAGAGAAGCGGCGACTGGAGCGTGACATTATTTTCGAGGGCCATCGCATATAATATATGAAAAGGTTCGGGGGAAACGTGCAGTCAGCGAGGAACTCACTTCCTCCGCGAGCGCGAGTCTATTCTCTCGCGCGTGCTCGCGCACCGGAGCAGAAGAAGAGCGTCGAGAGGTGACTCAATTCAATTTCAGGAGCCTCCGTGAGACGCGGTGTCGGTGCTCGAAAGTGCGAGTAAATTTATACGAGCAGTGAAATGAGTTGGATTTGAGAAGCGCGAGTTGGTAGTTTTTAGAAGTTCGGTTGAAATGGAAATGGACTCGTTAGAGGTGCACGTTGTGGACACCGTTGACGAGGAGGAAGATGAGGATACTGTGGAGGATTCCGATGATGTAAAGTTTTCACTTTCATTTATCTAGTTATTTTCTTGCATTAACGTATGCTATTTTTTTCAAAGATTATAAAAATCTTACAAACGAAAATTATGGCTTATTGCAAATTGAGGTATTAAATCAAAAATTTAAAGTCGGCGTCGGAAATAAGTTATTTCTTTTTAAATACACAAACATTTAATAACAAAATTAAATTAAATAGCTGAAATATCATGGAAATGAAGAGATCGGGCTTTTCCTCGTTGCAGAAAAATTGTTTTTTTTTTTCAAAAACAAATGGCTCTACCAGTTTCAGTCACGGTCTGCGACCCTATTTCATGAGCAAGAAAAATAAAAAAGTCAGCAAATTTGAAAAAACCACATTTTAACATAAAAATAAAAATCTTAAAAACTAACAAATTCAAGTACCAACCTATTTCATGAGCAAGCGCGCTGCTCGCTGACTAATACAAGAATGAGCTAGCTAAAGAGCCATTTGTTTTTTAATAAAAAACAATTTTTCTGCAACGAGGAAAAGCCCGATCTCTTCATTTCCATGATCATCTCCTTGAGTGTCAACTTCTTCAAATAAAAAAGCTGAAATATCCTAAACTTTATTAATTTATCATTTTTTTTTTTTTTTACATATTTTTAAGCTCTCATCATAAATATGTTGCTGTTAAAGTTTTCGTAGTTCGTGATGATTTTTTTTAATTATTTGTATAACCGTTTTAATGTACATTTTACGTCATGTGAAACAGTTTGAAAAAAATAATTTTTTGTTTGCTTCTGTTATTTAAATTAATTATAATATTATCTATTATTTATAACATAAAAATGTGCTGGTAACCCAGTTTATGAGTTTGATTATTTGAATAGTTTATTTTAGTTCATCGTTCATCTATGGATATAGATTAAAAATATCATGAAAAACGGGTGAGCAAACTTTACAATCGAAAGATATGAATAGAAAAAATGCAAATTGTTGCTAAATACCATATGATATGCCTGAAATTTTGCACTTTCCCTTTTCAACTGATCATGAGCGTGAAATAAAAATTTTTCCCTTGTTCAATCAAAAGCAATATCCTTCATTTGTGCCAAAATCAATTTGCAAACGAACAATGCCTCTTCCATCGCTAATTGACCTGTTGCGAAATCAATTTCGCCCGTCCGCTGCATGCTAATTGCAGTGCAATTAGACCGAGAGTTCCCTCCTCCGCTCTGCTCGCAGGCAGCTTCATTAGCCGGACAGCGGGGATTAAAATTATTATTAATGCACATTTTCGAAACGGTCTATTGTTTTCACTTGGAGAGTGCGATGCGCGCGGAGAAAGGAGCCGCTGCAGGCAATTTACATGATTTTTTTTCACTTCACGCCCGGTTTGCCATCCGAATCGAAAGAAATATCCATTCGAGTGGCAGTTCGCGCATTTGAATGAGAGCCTTTTGCGTTTGCAGGCGTGCGACCGGCAACATCTCGCAGCCGAGGACATCTCGCCGCAGGACTTGACCGCCGAGTCGCGTCTCTGCCTCGCCAGGAGCGGCCTTCGCAGTCTGCCGGCGCAGCTCTTGTCCGGGCCGAGACTCACCGTCCTGGACATCAGGGACAATCTGCTCACCGAACTACCCAATGATATTTGGAGGCTTAAAGGGTGAGTCAAATTAAAAAGCGTTTTTACTTTATTTTTTTTACCAACATATTGGTTTTGCTGTTTGCAAAAAGAAAAGAATATAATAATAGTCCAAAAAACACCTTATAATAATTTATTCTTCAAATTTGAATAGTTTCGTTGGAATTTAAAAACTTTGATTTTTTCTATTTTATTTGGTAAAAAACACCAGCATTCATTAAATTCAATTTTAGCAATTTTATAATATTACTATTTTGTTCTTTCTCTGAAAATTAATAATTTATTAGCTTAATTTAGTCAATTTCATGTCACATTATCATAAAGCTCTTTTTTTTGCTGATTGTGCATCTTTTTTTTTAATTCCATGATTCTGAGACTGCTTTAATTTTGTTATAATTAATACAACATTAACTTTCCCATGATACTGCGCGCGTCTTCCCACATTTAATTTAACATTATTCGAGGAATTTTCATAATTTTTTATAAGAGCATCAGGTACGTAACCTGACTCAGGTTTGACACTGTTTTTATGCATCCGCCGCCATTGACATTTTATTTACCTTAAAAGTTTCGCCCTTTTGCTCTGGCTAATTCCCACATCCTCTTCAAATTATATCTGCCTAATCATAATTAATCGCGCGTCTGCTGTACACGCCAAGCAGTTCTGCTTTCTTTTGGCTTATTTTGTGTCGTGCACACGTAGCTCCGAAGGTCGCGCCCCTGATTCATAATTTCTTTGTTGTATAAAACATGCTGTTCACCGGTTGTATGAGCCAAGAGGTGTCCGATGCAGTGCATGACTCTGCCGGTGTCATTACCCAACAACAATGCAATGCTGCGGGTTTCTTTTGCTAATAACTTTCGTTTTGCAAAACACGTTGACATTCCTTTTTTTTCTTACCTTTAGACGCTATTTTCTGTTTTTTCTTTCAATTTTTATTTTACTGGAATAACAATTTTTGCCAAAAAAGTTTATTTTAAACATGTTTATAGTTTAAACGAATTTAATTATGATTTGCACTCTTACCAGAGCAGCATTGAGCCAGGGAATAGAATATAACGTACAATTATAAAAAGCATGTTTTAATACTTATATTTCTTTTGTAAAAAAATATATATTAAAAGTTTATTTGAAATTATTAAAAAAAAACTGCTTAAAAAAATTTAATTCATTTAAATCATTATATTATTGCAGTAAAATTTAATAAAGACAACTAATTTCTCATTATTACTTATTTTTAAATAAATAAATATTTAAAAAAACTTCTTAGAAATGAACATGGGAGTAAAAATTGGAAATTTATTTATTTAATAATTTTTTTCCAAATTTAATGATAATCAAAGGAAATTTAATATAAAATTTTTTTCAAATTTTTATAACTTTGTTTTATTCTTTTAAATCATTTTAAATATTTATTTATTTAAAAATAATTAATATAAAAATTAATAGTTTCTTAAATTTTAATTTCAGTAATTTAACGTTTTATTTTCAATTTCATTTTATTTAAAACAATTAATTTTTTAAATTTCAAATACAAGTTTTAACCATTTCTTTTGCTGCAAAAAAATATATTAAGAATTAAAATATGCCTCTACAAATTGTATGTGATTTCCTGGCGCAACCAATGCAAAGCGATCTGGACAAGGGTGCAAATCATAATTCATGTAGTGTGTTAAAAGTGTAAAATAATTAATGGTATCCGGTGCACAGTCAGTGCACATCATAATAAGAGCCACCAGTTTCAAGTTGTAGAGAAAGCAACTGATTGCATTAATTATCAAAGAGGCCTCTTAATATTTTTTCACGCCTGTACATCCATTGTTTTCATTAATAATTAAACCGAATCAAATTATGTTCTATAAAGAAGTACAGAAATGAAAACTAGATTGAACAATTAATAATTATGTGGGCAAGAAATAACTTAACCAATAATATTTCAGATTGCAAGAAATGCGGTTGGACCGAAACGCGTTGCGCGAGTTGCCCGACGGGCTGGTGCAGCTGCACGATTTGCACACCCTTTCAGCCGCGCAGAACCGAATCACCACTTTGCCCGCGGGCCTCCTGGGACACATGGAAGCGCTCAGGTCACTGGTGAGTTGAACATTTTTTCTCATCTCGTTTCACCTCGGCGAAGTTGCGAGTGAAAGGGAATGTTATGCGTCAGTGGAGGAGATTGTTTGAAACAAAGTATTTTGAGAATTTATTGCTTCATTCAGAGCGGAAGTAGTGAAAATACGCATAATCATAAATTTGAGACGGTCCAGTGAAATTCGCCTTCATCTCAATTTATAAGATAATTTTATTTAATAAGAAAGCTAAAAATTTCTTGCACTTTTCCATTTTTAAATGCAATGGTTTTTTTCTTAATTTTTAGACCTTAAATAGCAACTTGCTGGAAGCGGCAGCTGTGAGTGCCGCGGCACAAAAGCCGATTCGCGAGAATGGAAATTCAAATGAAGGGGATGGTATTGAATCCCTGGGACCTTTGAGTCACGTAGACTTGAGGGGAAACTCTTTAAGCGGCTCCATCGTCTTGGCTGACTACGGGGTAAATTTTATTGCTTTTTCCACTTTGATTAGGAAATAATTTGCTAAATCTCACAATCAGGCGTTGACGTCTCTTGACGTGGGTTTCAACAAAGTACAAAGCCTGGACTTGGCCGCCCTGGAACAGTTGCGGAGATTGCACTGCGCCAGCAACGAATTGCGACATTTGGCCCTCAGCGGCCGCAGTCTCGAAGTGCTCGTCGCGACCAACAACAGTGAGCAATAATTTCTTTTTAACATTATTTATTTTTGAGAAATTGCTCCAAAATTTCAAGATCACAATCATTGTGAAAGGGAAACGTGACTAACCCAGAATTTTATTTTCCTTCGCAGAATTGCAGATGGTTCAAGTTGAGCCGCCACCATCTAAACTGCAAGAGCTCGATCTTTCAAGGTAAGCCGTTTGAAATTTAAATCGAATTTAATAGCGACGAGTTGAAAAGCAAGAGAGAGATGGTCATCAGTGAGAGCGAGAGACTTAATTTTTGCTTGTAATTTAATAAAGAAAACGAACGTTGCAGAAACGAGCTGACGATGATGCCGTCATGGTTAGTTGAGTGCCGCGGCTTATCTAGCATCGATGTCTCTCACAACCAACTTACATCATTGCCTGAAGTTGTGTTTCTCCTGCCGCACCTGCACACGCTTCAAGTAAATCTAATTTCACTCGGTCACTGAGATGTCGTTTAATTTTTAATTCAATTTTCAGGCCGGGCATAATTCCATCAGACTTTTGCCCACTATTCAAAATTCCAGTTTGTCGCTGCAAATTCTGCGCCTCCAAAGCAACGTCCTTGCAGCCCTGCCTCCGCACCTTCTCAACAGCTGCACCAGGTTAATAAAAATTATTTATTCCTGTTTTTAATTATTAAAAATATTTTTAATAGATTGGTAGAGTTGAATCTGAGCAGTAATAGACTGATGGTAATTTTGGATGATTCGGGAGGCCAATTGAAGTCTTTGAGACGGATGTTGGCCTCAAACAACCAACTTGGGGATGCAGCCCTTCGCCAAATCGCACGCATTCCTAACCTCAAATCGCTTCATCTGGCTCACAATAGAATTGCTCAAATTCCCGAAATGTGAGTGTTTTTATTATTCTAAATTAATCTATTTTTGGCTTTTATTTGTATATAAATAACAAAATCATTATTTATTTATTTTTCTTTAGTTGCATTGACTCGTGGTCAGATTTGCATGAACTTGTCCTGTCAGGCAATCAACTGACGTCGTTACCAGAGAGCATAACAAACTTGAGGAAACTTCAAGTTCTACGTGTGCATTCGAATCAAATTAGAAGCTGTCCAGTTGTAAATCAAATGCTCTCCCTCAAGGTAAAAAGAGAAACTGAAACAAAGGTGAATCCTAATTTCACTAACAACGCTTTTTTAGGTTTTAGATCTTTCCCACAATAGATTGGAACACGTAGATTTAGCTCGACTGGCCCCACCGGGACTTCAGTGCCTTGATATAAGTTGCAACTTTAGGCTACATGTTGACCCCAGCCATTTTAATCAATACAGGTATTTAAAATACTGAATTTAAAAACATTCATTTCATCTTTAATATTTGGAAGATCAAAACGAGCAATGAGTTTGGTAGACACAAGTGGACAGAACAGAAGTTGCCTGCCAATGTCACCTTATCACGAAGCTGCAGCCCTGGAATTACCCTGGACACTTGGATTTGCAGAAGCTGGAGCCTGGTCAAGGTAGAAGAAAAATATTTGTATATAGTTTTTAATTTTTAATAAAAAAATTTATTCCCTTTTTTTCTAGGTTTCCAATAAGCCAACTTCGAATCCCAGCTTTTTGCAACACAGAGGCTCTGTTAGGAATTTTTGAAGGAAGTGGATCTTCGGGACCAGAAGTTTCAAAACTTCTAGCCCAATCAGTACCGCGATTGCTTTTGGAGGAGAGAACTTTGCCAGAGACGGCGCACGAGTACATGAAATACACGATTTTGTCAGCACATAGGTGAGCAGACTAGCCCGCAACACATCTGCGTACTGCAGGCTGCCTAAGTATATAATTCGCAGGCGCTTTAATATTTTTTACTACTGTGTTCAATTGTTGTTGTTATTATTATCTTATTTTTTTAAGAAAATCACTTGCTTTAAAGTTTAACAGATAAATTTTAGCACTGTTTTTAAAACTAACTTTTTTAGAGAGCTGCGTCAGAAAGGACAACTGAGCGGTGCCAACGCAGTGATGTGCCACATTTCGCGACCGTCGCCAACAAAACCTTACACTTTGCGTGTGGCCAGTGTCGGCCCCCAGGGTGTCCTCCTAGCTCGTATCGGCGGTTCCTGCGCCAGACTGACGAAATCTGCACCTCACTCGGAACCCAACAGAATTCTCGGTCAATCATCTGAGTTTCCTCTTGTCATTCCGGACCCTTTTGTGACAGAGGTCGTGCTTGGAGAAACAGACCAGTTTCTCATTGGTGCCTCGGAAAAGTATAAATTTCAAATATTCGTATAAATTGAATATTCATAAATTGTTTCCAAAGGTTTTGGGACTTTGTACCGGAAGAGGAAGCAGTTCGAGAAGTGTCTGTGACTCTCGGAACAGCTCGCGGCAGCAAGGAGGCAAACACGGCGGCCAAAAGATTGGTGGATCTTGCGCAGGGTTACGGATGCAATAGCCCCATCAGTGTTCTTGTTCTCAGCTTACTCGGAGAGGGGCTTAGGCCTTCCAGTCAAAGCGTCAGGGTAAGTTAAAAATATTTTAGTGCTTGTCTTGCATTAAAAAGATTTTTTTGTAGAATTTTGGCTCATGTTTTTTTTTTTAACAATTAAACGCAGGTTGTTTCTCCAGCTGAAGCTTTCGTAACTCAAGCCAGGTCATCACCAAGCGGTCAAAGTGCCGAAGACGATCCAGGCCTAGAGCACTTCAGTAGCGCAAGCAGTTCTCACAGGTTTGAAATTTTGGTTAGAAACTGTCACAATTTTTTTTTAAACCGAAGCAATTTTAGCGTGCCTCTGTCAAGGTTTGCGGCACTGCCTGGGTTTTCAGACATGGGTGGAGACGCCGAGGATGAATTAACAGACACAGGATCTTACGGAGCAAACTCTGCGGGGCCCGAACAACTGAGATGTTGGGAGTACATGCTTGAGAAGAACAGTAGAGTTCTCTTTGACAGGGATTTGCAAGCTATGAGGCCTACACTGCCAAGAGTGGGAAAAATTGGGTCGGACATTTCAAGTGTAAGGTTTTTTTTACTTTTTTTTTTAAATTTTCTAAATGTAAGATTTTTAAATTTCAGACAAAAGGTTCAATGCGCAACAGAATAGCCTATGCAGGTCACAATGCAGCTTACTTTGGTTCCCTTCAACGACTTTTGCCCACGCTGACTAAAGATACCTCGAGAAAATCCCCTGCGTTCATTCGCGCCCCCTCGGCTGAAATGCTGCAGTACGTGCCTGAAGAAGATTTTGGAGAAATAGACCCTCTGCAGTGCAGCAGAATGCAACGTTATTGGGGCGTAGCCACCACAGAACTGTGATTTCTGTTCTACAGAACTGCTTTTACCAATGTATTTTAACTATTCAGAGTTAATGTAAAAATATAAGTGTAAATTTAATATAATAAATTTAATTTTAAATTTAGCCGCCATTTGAAAATGGGCAACTTTAATTTATTGTAAAATAATTCAGTCACTGCCTTTTGCCGCACTTTAGCGGCGTTAAAAGTAAAATCACATTATGATACTTTGCCATTAATAACACAAACTTTAGGAATTTCACTCAAAGTACCTGACTTTTTCCGGCCCTTCTTTGAAAGCCTGGAGAAGCGTTGTGCTTGGAATAGTAATTGATGTTGGTTTTGGTCTCTCGGGAAGGTCTTCTTCCTCCGCCGAGCCACGAGGAGCATCGTCAATGACAGCGATTGGAATCTGATACTGCTGGTCCAAGCCCATGTAGCAATTTGAAATGAGATACAGAGATAGAACTCCAAGACAGGCTCGTGATGGTGTCTCAAACTCAATCGAAGTAGTTCTATCAGAAGCGGGGATTCTAAAAAATTCAATTGAAATTTGATTAAAATACAAGTTAATAAAAAATAATTAAATTGCATTATTAAAAAAATTGTGGAGTATAAAATAAAGCGTCAAACCTTTTAAGTCCAAGCAGTGTGCCAGACTTAGATCCATCTGGATCATTCATTCCAAGAATCACAAACCAGCCGATGTCCTTCTTTCGGGGGAAATGAGGTGCAAAGGCATAAGTGGCTCTGGGGGTGCCCCTTGGAGTCAGACAGATGACATAGGTTTGCCCAGCGCTGAGTGTAGTGTAACTGGAGCAAGGTAGACTCAGACGAATACTGGCCTGTCTCGACTGGGACTCTCGACTGTATCCATTGATCGAAAGTCTCATTCCAGGTGCAGGCAAAGTTTTCAGCACTTGTTGCAACTGGAGAAAAAAATATGTAAATCTAGCCTTTTGATAATATCAATTTTCCACTTACAACTTCCACATCCTTTTCGGGCAAGCAGGTCTTCAGAATTTTTCTTAGAGTATCAGGTTGTTCACGACCTTTGACGACAAGAGTAGGCAGATCAGAAGCAAATTCGACTGTGATTTCTCGGAAAAGCTGCTCAGTCATGAAGGGCATTTGCCAGAGAGGCTCACTTTCTGGCCATTTGGCTTGAATGATGCTCTGCAGAACCAGCTGGATTGTGATGGTGGTGCTAAGCAAAGCTTTCTCAGCACTGACGTCCAGCATGGCCTGCAGGATTCGAATGCACTGGTCAAGCACAGACTTGAGGTCGGTGTTGTAGTCTGTGCTGGGCATGTGGAGATGCAGGAGGTATGCTTGGATGAGTAGGTTGGTTTTCAAGTGCGGGTTATCCAACTCTCCATCCACCTTGACACGAACTTGCTTCATCAACTCACTGAAATATATACGAGATAAGTTTGAAATATTGATGATGTACTCTATAGTAAAATGTTTTCTAATTTAATTTGATTGTGCCAAAATGCTACCTCATTCAAACCAAAAAGCTTAAATGAATTACGATATGGCAAAATAATATCGCCCAAAAGAAAACAGATTAAGTCAGTTTCAACTTTCTGACAAGCATTTTGGGCTCAAAACATGAAAAACAATAATTTATTTTGATTTACCCGTTGATGTTGTCCTCATTGTGTCTGACGGGAAGCTCGTCGTATTCGGTGGCATTGCTCAGGAGCTGGATGATTTCATAGGGAGTGCAGTCGGGATGGAGCTTTTCATCAAACAAGGCAATGGTCTTATACGAAATGTAGTAAAAGGAGGAGATGCGGCCAAGTGATGTGGCCATAATGCCTCTTCCGTCTTCAGCAATCATCACACAGCCTGCATTGGATAACTCGATGACAGTTTTTTCAACCAAGCTCGAGAGGAACATGTTGATGTCATGGGCCTCCAATGATACCAAGCCATAGTATGTTGGATTTTTCAGTAGGCGGCGGAAAAAGAAGGTCCAAGTTAGGTAATCCATGGCATCTTGCTTGCTTTGAATTGTACCAGCAACGATCTATTTTTAAAAGGACAGTTTTTATTAGAAACATTTTTGCATTCTGTGTCTTACCTCAGCATTCAAGTGATCAGGAAGAACAGCTAGTAACTTTGACTCAACAGGGAATGGTTCATGAAGGAATCTCTTGTAGAAGGCCTTCTTTATATCCTGCACTAGAAGGACAGCCACTGCCTGGTCGTCATACTGTGGGCGACCAGCTCGGCCGATCATCTGCAGGACGTCTGTAATTGGCATGTCCTCGTATCGTTTTTTCTTTCCGTCAAAATATTCAGTGCCCTTGACTACGACCAAATGGGCAGGGAAATTCACACCCCAGGCAAGAGTTGCAGTGGTGACCAACACCTAAAATTTATTCCATAAACATTTGTTCCTTTAACATTGCAAAATATTATTTACCCTAATTTTCCTTGTTACAAACAGCTCTTCAACAATCGACCTGTCTCTGTCCTGAAGACCTGCGTGATGAATACCAATACCAAAAGGAATGAGCAGCTTCAAGTTGGGATCATTCAGCGAGTCAACATTTTCATAAGCTTCCTCCTCGGACATTCCAAGCCAATCTTTAGATCTTTCTGGATCAGAAGCTTGGAACTGCAGCAGAGCCATGGCTGTCAACCTCGTTTGTCTACGAGAGGCAACAAAAACAAGGGCAGGTTTGTCGGGAGAATGAGTCCTGATGGCCTGAAAGTTTTAATTTTACAGTTTAGAAAATCAACTTTCAAATGTTTAGCCTTATTCACATTCAAAATATTTGTTAGAAACTGGGTCAAGGCTACTGGTAAAAGCAAAGCCAATTGACGACAGTATCTTTTAATTTTGCTCATTAAGAAAACATTTGGACTCATAATAAAATCCATGTCAAGCAATGAGCAGCTTCTATAAAATTTATGAAAGTAATCATTACTGATTATTACTATACCTGGAAGGTTGGTTTGTTCATAGTAGCCATTCTTGGGCAGAAGTGCTTGCCAGGAAAGCCAGAAATGTGGATTTGCACAGGCACGGGACGTACGCTTGGCCTAAAGTTGTAGAGACCACGCTGGGTGCTGATTCCCAACCAAGCAGCCAAGTCGTCTGAATCAAAAAAAAAAAAAAATTAAAAAAAAAAATAATAATTATAAATTAAATTTGATGGTTTTGTATTGATAATCCCCAAAGACACAGGTCACAAAAAAACCTTAAATGCAAATAGGAATTTATCAAATTTTAGTGTTGCCCATTTAGAAAACGGCTAGCACCACAAGAAGCTCCGTCAAGCAAATATGGGCAAATTTAATATATTTCAAACAGAAACGAACCTGCATTGGCCAGGGCAGTCGACAATCCTACAACTCTGCAGTTTGTGGCACCGCCTTGTGAATGAGCAGCAATGTAGCTAGCTCTGGAGACAATAACCTCCAGGACAGGACCACGATCTTCTCCCAGCAAGTGGATTTCGTCAATGATTAGCAATGACACTTGGCGAACGTAGTTTCGAGTTTGCCAGCTTCGACTCACACCATCCCACTTCTCAGGAGTTGTGACCTAGAATTATTTTATGTTTTACAGGTGAATGAGAGTCAAAGTTTTAAACTAACCACAACATCAGCAGAAGCAATTGCAGCTGCATCGGGACTGGAATCGCCCGTCAATTCTATCACCTTCTTTCCCAACTTGCGAACCAGCTTTTCATTCCAGTCCTTGATTCTCTCTCTGACCAAAGCTTTCAGGGGAGCAATGTACACAACCTAAATAGAATATTTCCCTATATGAGAAATATATTTAAAATTATAAAGTAAATATACCTTTGTGTTAGGGTGTTCCTTGAAGACACGGAACATGGCAAGCTCAGCTACAACAGTTTTGCCTGAACCAGTTGCAGCTCCAAGAACCACGTTTTCGTCAGTGTGGTAAAGGCAGTGGAAGACTTGAGTCTGAATTGCATTAAAGGCCAGAATTTCTCTTCCAAAGAGACTCTCAAGTTTTGGGTCGTTCAGAGCACTGATTGGCAGAGGATCCAAATCCAACAAATCTATATCAAAATTGTATGAATTCAGTCATCAGATTTTATTTTGTTTCTAGTTTTATACCTGTGTGAGCAGAGTATCCATCGGGAAAAGTTACGTCCTTGAAGCTAAAAGACTGGCAGTAATCTGCATGCAACCAGCGATCACTTACAACCCTGACGATGCAAGTATGTGATGAATAGTCCATGTCTTGCAAGTTGAGAGGAATCATGATGGTCGTCCTGATCTGCTCTCCAAATCTGACCTGCTTTTTGGTGATGAGGACAGATTCATAGTGATGAATTCTGCTCGTGGTGCAGTCTTCGATCCACAACCAAAATACTTCAGCAGTCTTTCCGTGAATATGATCATTCCACCTTAAAATACAAAAAATAACACTTCCTCCTTTTAAATTAATTTAATAGTTGTATACTTGAAGGTTGGTGTGATTGTGACGCTGATCTTGACAACAGTTGCAGTGATGGGCTGAACAACAGTGTCAATTGCTACACTGGGAAATGCCTCAACGCATTGCTTCAGTTCAGGTCCCAATCTTGTATTCCTCACCATAGCACCTATGCATTAATTAATAATGAAATAATTTAAGAGTTTATTTCTGATCTTACCAATATCCGAACCAGACATTTCCCTCATTCTATCGAGACTCAAGCGACTCTTTTGCAGTTTGTCAAGCACGTCCATTCCAAACTTCCCTATCTGAGCCAAGGGGTGCTCAGAGTCCCACATTTGCTTTTCCATCATCTTTGCAATTTTCAGAGTTCGATTCGACAATATAGCATCACCATGCTTTAGGGCCAAATCAAAAAGCGCCCTTGCAATTCTTGCAGCATTCTAATCAATTGAATATTAATATTTTAAATTATTAAAAATGTAAAAGATGTACATCGGTAACGTAGCCCTTATCGGAAATCAAAGAGAATGATTTGATGAAACCTTTGGAGAGGTAGGTTTGCAAAAGGATGTTCACTTTTCCGTGAATATTATCAGGTCCGCCTGCAACTGGAAGGTAGCAGTTGCTCTCAAAGAGTTCGTCCAACTCATCCATTTCATCATCGCGAAGCTGAAAATCACAAATTTTTTCACATGAAAATTTACAGACAAAATTATTTTATGAACCTTCAGTTGCTCAAATTCTTGCGCTTGAGACATCAATGCCACAATGTCAGCATCACCTAGAGCCGTCATGTTGTTGTCGCTGCCTGCATTCATTGTTTCGACAAACATCTGCATTGTATCATATTTGATATAGAAATAGCTGGCAGTCCTTCCAATGTCTGTGAATAAATTTAAGGGAATATATCAAAACCAATGTGAATTTTGCATGTACCTGTTGCGTCAAGGCTGCCTGTGGGGTGGTGGAATCTAACCATTCGTGCCTGTTGAAGTTTGTCAGCAGACAAAACTATGAGCTCTCTACACTTTTCATTCAGCTCAGGATCATCCTGAAAAGAGCATTAAGAATTATCTCTCATAGTCAGTGTACCTGAAAATATCTTACTTTGAGCATTTGATTTGTAACTCCATAGCACATAGGATTTTTCCGCATCCTCACGTACAGATACGAGTACTTAAGCCACTCGATGGCGTCATTGATACTTGAAATTGTTCCCAGGACAACCTACATGAAAAAAATTTTAAACTCGTCTCAAAATTGCAAAAATTTGGTACCTCAGCATTGAGATTGTCTGCAAGGCAATTGACAAACTGACTCTCGATTGGGTACTGGTTTGTCAGTAGAGAAAGGTAGTGGTTTAGTTTTTCATGTGAGGTAATGATGCAGCCATGACCAGACTTATCAAATTGAGGTCGACCTGCTCGACCAAAAATCTGAAGGACATCCAATATTCCAAGGTCAACAAAGGTTCCATGCTTGGCGTCGTAGATTTCTGTTCCTTTGATGATGACAGCGTGGGCAGGCAAATTTACACCCCAGGCCAAGGTTGAGGTGCACACCAAAACTGGAGATTGTAAAAAATGCTTTCCTGCACAATTTTTAATATTTTATGAAATTACCAGAAATAAATCCTTCAGCGAAGTACTGTTCAACCAAATTTCTGTCTCGTCTCGGCATTCCAGCATGGTGAACAGCAAAGCCGTGCGGCATCAGCTCGGCAAGCTGCTTGTTCTGCAGCTTCCCTGAAGAGCGCAACGCCTGTCCTTGGACAGAGGCAGTTTTTGGCTCAAAGGCTGCCAGTTGACCATTGACTTGAGCCTTGTTCTGCAGAGTCTGCGCTGTTCGGACAGTAGCATTTCTTGCATGCACGAACACCATCACCTGATGTCCTTTTTCAACCATTTCAAGGACCTTGTCATAGCAAACATCATCCATGTCATTCATCTGCTGCAGAGATTTTCGCGCCTTAATGCCGACAAAACTCATGCTGAGCGGAACTGGACGGAACCTGTGGTCAAAGTAGAAAAGGCCTTTGTATAGATTGACGCGGAGGAAGAAGGCAACATCCAGGTAGTTTGGAAGCGTCGCTGACAGACCAACAATGCGAACCATACGCTGAGTTGTTTCCACCTGCAATTAATGATTCTATGAATTTATTTATTTAAACTAGTAAGAATATAAAATAGGAATATTTTTATAATTATATAATCAAAAATAAATTGGTATATTTGGTACTTATTTATTACCATTCTCAGTGTTCTTGCAACGATAGCTTCAAGGACAGGGCCTCGGTCGCCATGCAGTAGATGAACTTCGTCAATGATGATAAGTCGCACAAGTTCTGTAAGCTCAACATCTGAACTTGGATTAGACTTTCGGGACACTACGTCCCATTTTTCAGGCGTTGTAATTAGCATCTGTGTCTCTTCAATCTCCTTCTTAGTAAGATTCATGTCACCAGTCAGTTCTCGAACTTTAATTGCAAACGGAATAAGTCGCTTCTGGAAACTCTTTGCCATTTCAGCCGCTAGAGCTTTCATTGGTGCAATGTAAACAATCTGCACATAAAAATTAGTGTAAAAAAAATATATTGGAGGTTTTAACAGTTTGAAGCAAACCTTGAATTTGTTGAGTTCAATCCTATCATTGATGTAATACTGGCGAACAACGTTCATCACAGTTAGTAAAGCGACGTTTGTCTTTCCAGCACCAGTCGGAGCGCAAATTAATAGATTCTCATTTGTGTTGTATGCAGTATCAAATACAACGCTTTGGATTCTGTTCAGCGATTCAATACCGTTAAAAGCTGCCTGTCCAAGCTCGTCGAGACTGGAGATTTTTACTTTGTCTTCGCCAACCGTCAAAGGTACTGGCTTGGAAATCGGAATGTCAACTTGTTCATACTCTTTGGTGTCTTTCCTGGTCACATTTTCAGGCAGCAGCATCTTCATGTTGGTAATAAACCCTGAAATGCACATAACCAACAATTTAAAATCAATAAATATTTCTGCTTATATATTTTGGCCCATTCTAACCTGCAGTTTGACGAGCGTCGTTCTGGCTGTCATACACATTAGGAAGATCCATCCAAGCTGGTCTGCTTGGCATTATCATCTTCTTTGGCCCAAAAAGCCCCTTCTTCTGCACTGCCGTAAGCTGAGCAATCCTGGCAGCTCGTAACTTTTCAGGGTCAAACTGCTCCTCTTCGTCCGAGTCTGACTCGACGGCGTTTTTCATAGCAGCCTTGTGCATTTTTTTCTCTTCTTTTCTAATTTGCTTCATGAGCAACCTCTCGTCTTCTCGCTGTACAGTGACTTGGCATGCAAGCGTAGGTGCTTGAGCTTGGGACATTCCATCTGCATGGAAAAAATTTTATTTCATAACTAGATAATTGCAAAAAACAAACAAACATTTTAAATCTTTAGGAGGCTTTCGTTTCTTGTCAGCAGCATTTTCTAAACACGTAGCAGCATTTCGTAAGTCTTCGTTAATCAGAGCTCGTTTCTCCAGTAAGATTTGTGCAAGTTCAATTTTCTCAAACCCCAGCATGTCCAACAGCTATAAAACTATTATAATAAGAAAATATATTTATCAACAACTACCTCTTCTTGAAGTTCATCATTACTCCTGTAAGATTTCAGCATTTCTGCCAGAGAGTTGGCAACTTCATTGCTAGGAATTCCGCCCATAAAATCCTCTCCGCACCAACACTCAACCTGATCAATAATCCATTGCATCCCATACTATAAATCAATGCACAGTGATTATTAGGATTCGGGAGTTTTTTTTTATGGAAAAGACAAACATTCTGCTTGCGATCAGGTGCACTTTGTTTGTATTGCATTGAGAAATTATCCACTGCTTGGATTTTCTGCCTCTTAACAGTCATGTCCTGCAGCCTGCTGAAGTCCGGGATTGGCCACGGTTCAGGAGGAGCCACTTTGATGTTGTCACCAAATACAGGAGTGTTTTCGATCGACTTCAAAACAGAGCCACTGCAAATTGCCTTGATCTGTTCCACTTGATCCGGACTCAAGTCTGAGCTTAGATCTTTCACAGCCTGAAAAATTATTTCTCTAACACATGAAAATATAAAATAAAAGACTAAATTTTAACCTGGAATGCACAATTGGCCTGAGCTGGAGTGATGTGGCCAAATGGGGTCCCTAACTTTTTCTGCAGAGCATTCGTGAGAACATCGTTCCCAATCAATATTTCCAAAAGTGTTATCACAGTTTCTTCCGCTAGCTCATCTCCACTTTCAGTTCCTTCAAAATCACAGGATGGTTGTTTTACAGATGAATTATATAATAATTTTAAGGAAACTTACCAACAATTTCTTTGGCAACATTCTTCAGTTTAGTGAGTTTTCTGCTGGCGTCCTGAGACAACTGTGAGAGGAAATTCTTCAGGTCCGCTTTAATCAACCTGGATTGATGTATGTATGCAAAAAAATAATAGATAAATAAATTCATAAAATAATCTATCAAATCCTACTTCTTTCTCCTATTTTCTTTCCACGATCTGCGAGCCTGCAGAGCCACTGCAAGATCTATCTCAGGAACAACAGGTCCCAGTTTTGCAAAGGTTCGTAAGTACCTCGAGAAACTTGGTTTAACGTGGGCCGACATATTTTCTTCCTTCAAATCAATAAGACTCTATGGTTGCTTATTCCCTGAATTGTTCAATCTCGTGCAATCGCAAAAAGCAATACGTACGTGGAGAACAGAGATAAGCACCTTTTTAATTCTAATTTTAGTGGACAGCGTGGTGCTGGGCTCGTTCGTCGGAAGTCAGGCACACGTATTTACATGTTTAGTTCAAATACCTAGCAAAGAAGGCGCTTTTTATGGCGCAAATTTGAATTAATAACAAGATGGCAGCAAGCAAGGTGGCAGCACGGGTGGCTCGGCTCCACGAAACAAAAGCAATGAAGTTGTATTTCTCACCGCTAGGTGGTGTAGGAGGTATAATTATGAATGAATATAAATGAATCCGGGTTTCTGGTGCTCGGTGCTGCTCCAGTGGCTGGAGATCGAGATACGACTGTAAACAAAAATCAAACCAACCAGTTTCAAGAACATTGGAATAATAGAATAATTCATCAATAAAGGGACTAAAGAGGTTGAAAGGTGGTTTTGATGAAGATATAATAGTTCGTGAATCGATTTTGCCAGCTTTAAGATATTTTCAATTCTTTTTTTTTTTTTGTAACATTCAATCAAATTATTTTTTATTTTTAACCACGTTCTTCAGCAATTCATAAGGGTGAGCGTTGCTATTGTCAGTTATGCATGTTTTAATAAGAATGCGTGTATTTTGATTACATAAATGTATTGTATTAATTTATAATATAATGTGTAATTCACACTTTCAGGTAAAAAAAGAAATGAATTTGCTGGTAAAACTGTGCAGCCGGTTGGCTGTTTCACCTCGACCCCTACAAGTCATGCCTTCAAGGGCATCGGCTTACAAGCACGTCGAAAAGCCGGCTCCTGGCACTGGCAAGGCATTCCGAAGAATTGTCCACTACCCAGAAGAGTACACTGTGAAGCCCCTAAATGTGACTAACCTGGGCGGCAGGGATCCAGTCTCAGGAAGAATGGTGGCCAAAGGCATTGGTGGCGGAATCAAACACAAGTATCACTGGGTCGACTGGAAACGACTTGCACCCAAGGATGGATCACCATTGGTCGAGAAGGTGTTCGAGGTCATCGAGGATGGCTGCAGAACTGGGCATGTTGCCCTCGTTGGGCAGGGAGATGAATTGAGGTGATAATTTTTTTGAATTTGAATGTTTCAAATTAATAATTATATATATAGTTGAAAAAAGTATGAAATAACTTTATTAAAAACTACACAGTAAAAAAATTACAACCACTGAAAAAACAGAAGTAGAAATTTCATCTCTAATCGTGTTAATACTCCAAATTTTAGGTACATAATGGCTACTGAAAACATGAAGCCTGGCAACCTCATCACAACCTACAGCGAAATCCCTCGAATCCCTGTCCGGCCAAAAGAAGGTGACGCCCACCCTATTGGAGCTCTGCCCCAAAACACAAAAGTGTGCTGCGTTGAGATGCACCCTGGACGTGGCGCCTTCTTTTGCAAAAGTGCAGGTAGTTGTGCCACGATTGGCCGGAAAGTGGGCAACGAAGTTCTAGTCACCCTGCCTTCCAAGCGCGAGTTTTTCCTGAACCAGGAGTGCATTGCAATAGTTGGTAGAATCTCAAACGCGATCCACTCAAGTATCCCTATTGGCAGCGCTCAAAGATTGCGTTGGCTAGGATACAGACCACGTTCGGGACTGTGGCAACGGAAGAGCGGCATCCACGGCAGGAAGATTCGGGCACCCATCCCCATTATGGCCATTACGAAGCCTCGCGAAAAACCTGCAGAGGCCATCACTTTTACCCTCAAAACTTTTTGAGCTGTTCCAATAATAAACAATTTAAATTTGGTTAACATGCAACTGTTGAAATTGAATTTGTTTATGAATTACCCTTTTTAGACTATGTCTTAAATCACAGAATCACTTAAAAATATATAATAAGTCACAATAATTTTTTGTGCTTAATAAAAATGAAAAGTTGTTTGCAGTTATAATTATTAATTTTTTTTTAATAGATTATAAAAATAGAGATAAGTGTTTAGAGGCCATGCCATTACTACAAAAAAATATTTTTATAAATGTACTGTAAGAGATGCTTGATCCAGACAAGCAAGTAAAATTGTGGAAAAATTGACAATAATTGATTTGTATGAATAAAAAAAATATTCCAAATTTATTTGCCATAGATAGACACAGATAGAGAGATATAGAAGGCACTATAAAATTGTTTATAAAATAAGGGTATAAGAATTAAATGCTGATGTAACAAAATGTTCAATCATTTTCGAAGTTTGAGCGAAAGCTTTTTGTTGGAACGTGGTTTAGGAGAAGCATTTTCAGCTTCAATTTTTGATGTTGAAGCACTCACTGTATCCACTGACCCAGTTTTCACGACTGAATTACAACTCAATGTCTCTTTACAGTTGGGAGGAGATAGTGGGGTGGAGGATTCAGAAGCAATGCGATGCGTTTCTTCTTGATTGCCATTTTTCTTGACGCTCCATGTCCCATAGGTAGAGAGCAAGTTGTTTACTGCTTCACCTAAAATTAAATTATCATTTTTATTAATTATAGAAACTCAATTTTCTTAATAATACCAGTCAGAGATCCTAGTTTCTTTTTAGCAAGAGTGGACAAAAAGTAGTAAAGCTCAGCACGGAGATTTTCAGTCAAATCCACAAATTTTCCATTTGCTGACGAAAGCCACCACATAACTAGTGAAAACCTAGCAGCAAGCTCATCTTTTTTCTCATCTATCAGAAAGAGGCAGAATTAATATTAGAATTTTTCAATTTTTAAATCAATCGCGAATTACCTGGCCTGTGGCGGACACTGTTCCTGATTAAAATCCTAGCAAGAAGCGCGAATATGCATTTTAGGCACTCGGTAGATCCAACCAATGATAGGCAAGAGGGAACTTTGCTGATATGAGCAAAATGCAAGCTTGACATCAACTCGATCAACTTTTCAGCCACTCGAGAAGCAAACAGCTGTTTCTGTGGACAGCTATTTCTCAGCCCTTGCAAAAATTGGTCTGGTATTTTTTGCCTTTGTCCGTTTGAAACATTCTCATCAAAGACAATCACAGTCAGATTTTTAATAATTTCACTAACAAGGCAAGCCACCGAGCTTTCGTGGCTGCAGCTTGATGTCAGGATCTCAGGGTTGACTGAAATGATTGATTGGACGGCACTCACTAAGCTGATAAGGACGCAGGGTATCGGCTTGATTTTGGCACATCTGCGCAAGATCCAGCAACATAGACCTTGCCTAAAAATCAGAAAAATTACTTCAAATGACAAAAGAATTTTATAATTTTTACAAATCATTATTATTCTGATGGAGAAGAATACTAGTGGAGAAATTTATTGATGCACAAATGAGTGGCCCGAAGGAGAAAAAGTCGCTTCGAACAGCAATAATATCACAGATTTGAGCCACTTGCTGCAAGATCAGAGGAGTGTTGAGCACCAGAGGCAGGTCTGTATTGTCACAAAAACTGATCCCATCAAACTCGCAGGTCCGACTGATGGCCAATTTTGAAATAAGATGTGGTGTTTTTAGGAGACCTGAAAGCTTTTGCAGCTGTTGACTAATGTCTCGAGCTCCCTCATGTCCATAACTAGAATATGATTTTATTCCATTAACTTGTTTTTCATCAAGAAGATTAAATTTTATTTTACCTCTCACAAGAAACAACACTAAGCTCTTCCCAATAATGTTGAAAATCTTTAGCTATGCAACTTCTTTGGTTGTAGTGAGGAACGCTCATTAATTCTCGAAAAAGGTCAGCAAAGAGAGTCTCAGTTTTTGGCACTTCAGTCAAGAATAACCTGTAATTTTAAATTCATAATTTAAAAATTTAAAAACAAAAAATTAAACATACTGCATGGTGTTAACATACTCTTCGTCTGGTAAACTTTTAGAAAATTTCCATGACCTAACAAATATAAAAATAAACTTTTTTGGATTTCTCAAATTTAAAATTCTTACGAGCTTTCTACAACTTTAAAGTGGAAGTCTAAAAGAGAGCTATTGCCATCGACTACATCTTCCGAGGATTCAGGAATTTTTTCAGCCCTTGCCAACTCTTTCGAACTTGAGATTTTCCTTGATGAGACAGCTGAACAAGTTGTAGAAACTGTAGCGTCGTTACTATTCACTTTCAAATCCTTGAAACAATTTTATAAATGTAAATAATCAAAACTAGTTCAACTTATTCAAGTTAGTACCTGCTTTTTAATTATCTTCACGTCATTCTTCTGCACTTCATCTTTGTGCTTTTGAATTTTTTGTTCCACAACAGTCACCTTGTTCTTAGCCTCAACTTTGACTGGTGGCTTTGCAGTGACCTTTGGTTGCTCCCGCTGGTTCTTGATGGTCAAATCTTGCTTCTGAACCAACGGATCTGGAGGCCTCTCGTACTGGGACAGCAAGGCATCCAGTTCGGATGTGTCTATGTCATCATCATCGTCGGACCAGTTCCAACCAGTGTCCGGTTCGGCCTTTGGCGTGTCTGCTGGATTTGCCGGGGCATCCGTAAGGGTAGAAGCTTGGCTGTATGAGGCACCAACGGTTTGCACGTTTAACTGCGAATATTGCAGATTTATTTTCTGCCGAGGCTTTTTCGGCGGTGGTGGTTTGAGTTGCGCGTCCCGGTTAGAAAACTGAGACCTCATCTCAGAAAACTTAGCCTGCGAGACCATGATTCAAGTTTTGCGCAAATCTGAAAAACGGCAACAATAAAAATTATTTTAAATGTGATTTATGTATTTCAAATATACGTTATCAGTTGAAAATCTTAAACAATATATTCTTACATTCTTTTAAAAAATAAATCATATTATATGAATCATTATTGAAAATCTGAAGAAAAAAGAAGAAAAAAAGCGGAACAAATACTTGGCCGGTAAACGAATTTATTTATGTATGCTAAAAAATGCATCATAAAAATTTACGTTTGGTCCATTTCAAAGTTTTTCACACAATTTCAGAGATTGTTTGACTAATTATTCGTAATTATGTATTATCAATATCAAAATAACACATGAATTAACACTAATAATAATCAACAATGTAAATACCGGTAAATACATACATACCTAACCTACATATAATCAGCTCAGGATTGACAAGTACACATAAATAAACTTATGTAAGTTCCAAACTGATCGTTTCGTAGAAAAAGTAAACGTTTTGAATCCATTGATAATCCATCACTCTTTCAAAAAGTCCAATTTACTACAGTAAAAAATCAAAACACATGTGGTGCTGCTTGCTCCTTGAGCTTGATGTGGTGGATGGATTCGGTTCGGTTAGGATTGTTTTGTTTTTTGTTTACAATTAGATGACGAGCACCAAGGTTACTGGCAAGGAGGTTACTGCTTTAGCCAATCAGACCACAGCGTTTTCCAAACATTCACTCCCATCAACCAATCAGAGACTTTGTCCAAGTCACGTGATACCAGGAAAAGCGCGCGCTCGCAGTGCCGTTACATCTGTGCTCAATGAATTTCGGTAAATTTCATGTTTATTATTATTTTATTTCGAGCTGAAATTGGCTGATGCGTTTCTAGATTGGTGAGATTTGGAGCCAGCAAAAATGTTCCACCAGCTGCCGAAAAGTCGAGCTCAAGCCGAAGAATTCTTCATCAGTTACAAGAAAAACGTACTAGCCAGGTTAAAAAATGACGCCTTGGATAATTCCAAAAACCTTTCAAAATGCATTCAAGACGGAGTTTCAAACCTCTTATGCGAACTAAATGAAAAGAAAATGAAGCTGCAGGTACGCAATTTTTTTTTTAATTTCCAATTTAAAAACTTCTATCAACAAAATTTGATGTTTATGTATGTAGGAAACAGGAGTGTCAATTGTAGAAGCCAAGAAAAAACGAAAAATTTTGACTCAGCGTATTAAAGAGGCGAGTTTAAAGGACAGAGAAGACTTGGAACGAAAACTGAAGGAAATCGACAATGTTTGCGAAGGCCTGGAGATTGAACGAAAGCAGATGGTGATGCGTCTAGAAGAGAAGAAAATGGAAAAAAGACATGGAAAAATAACTGTAAATTAATCCATTTTTAATTCATGTCCATTTACAACTCATTTAAATTTTCTTCAGGATCAAATAGAAGCACTTAAGGTGGCTAAGTCTTTGTTTTCGAGCTTTATGCAGCTGAGCATGTCTCCCACCAATTGCAACCACAGAGTGTTGCTCAAGTTTCCGTATCGACAAAGCCAGCAGACCCTTCATATCTTGTTCGACACATCAACAATGACTGTCTATGAACCACAACTTGAAGTGAAAGAATTTGCGAGAGGCTTGGAACAAGATGGTAATATTGCTTTGTTCTTGGTTAAAATTTGGAAGTACTTGAGAGCCAAAGAGAAAACCAGATTGGATTGAAATTTGAAAAGTAGCAATAATTCAAGTTTGTTTTAAAATGTGTAAATATGTAGCATTCCCTGGTATGAAGTTCATAAAACAAAATCGATTGATTAAAAACTTCAAATTACTTGCTAATAATGATTCGAATCTCAAACCAGCTTATAAAACTGCCTCATGTGATATAGGTTGAAATTATAAACAAAATTTCTTTATACAGATTGATAATTTACTTCACTTTGTTCATGTTTTATTAAATTAAATCTTTGTAATTAGATCGAATTTTAATATTTTCCTAGATTATGAATTATTAGAAAAGGCACAATAAATAATGTACAGAATTTTAAAGTCATTATTAATTAGGTTCTTGGAACTTAACAGAAGGAATTTTTTTCAATTTTGGAAATCACAGCTCTCACTAGTATTGACATAACATAAATTTATAAACAGAAATCCCAATTCAACAATTCTATCAACTGTGCTACTTTTAACTCCAAACAGAGAAAGCGTCAATTGCAAAAGTGATCAATATGAACTACAAAAACTAGGTTCACACATGCATATTTTGCATTTTACCCTTCGTTCTATTTTTTGTACAGATGTAGCTTTTTTCACTGGAGGGAAGCTGCGACCACTCGTAATTTGTGTATCCAAGTGCTCTCAAATAGATTTGCCGTAGAAACGCAGCAAAAATAATTATTGCCAAGATGAGGCTGTAGACACCACTCACAAAGCAGATGGCGATGCTGGAAATATTGAGAAATCAAAATTGATGCTTAACTCTGATAAATATATCAAACTTACTTGTAGTCGTAATATACATCACTGCAGTCATCTGGGACTAAAATAAAATTGTAAAACATAAAAGGGTGACAGGCTGTAGTAAGAACTAAATAGGAGTTGATGATCAAAGCAGCCGAGATGAAAAACATTCCAGTGATGAACGGTCTGATATTTTTGCTTCCAATGCAGCAATCCAACCTGATTTAATAAGAACTTTCTGTTACTAAAGCCTATTACGAGTAAAGTTCAAGTTATATTTAATAAGAATTGTTAAAAAAAATTATATTTCGAATTATTTTTAATACAAATATTTTTTTTCACTGAATTTTACTGCTAAAAATTACATAATTATAAAACTGACCAATAGCAGTGATATTCTCCTCCAAGTACGTAGTGGTCGCAGATATTGCAGTGCATCAGTTCAATCGGACATCCTTTTTGGCTAACTTTTTCATCATTCTCCTGGTTGACACTGACGGTAGCGAGTCGAGTTTTGACAAGGAAAACTAATCCTGTTGCTAATGCAACGATCAAAAGAAAGTTTTCCGAGGGCAAAATCTCCAGTCGAGGAATGATCATAAGTTCAAAAACGAAAAACATACAAACAGCAGAGGTCAACGACCAGGATAGAAAAAATTTGTTAAGTGGGAAATATTGTTGGTAGAACTTTTTGGAGTAGAAAATCAGGAACGGAATTATGAGAGCCACAGCAACTGTGCACCAAACGCTGAGAGATGCGAAGAGACCAAGCAGAGGCAGTAGGAAAACTGGCAGGATGAAGTCCAAGGGCACAGGACGTGCGCCACCCTTCCACGGAATTCTACATCGGTCTTGAAGGACTCGGTACATGTTAAGGTGGATGTCGTTCGGTTGCGCTTGTCTGGTCAGTTTCCTGTGTTGAAATAGATTATAATAATTGAAATATTATTGTTTAAGTTAAATAAAACCGGTCAAAATATTCGTCAACATGCTCGCAGTCGCAGCAGCACCCAAGGAGATGGCTCCTTTGCCTCTTTAGATTTACGTATTCACAGAAGCAAAGAAAATTGTTCTCTTCTCCGTTGTCTTCTATGATGCGATATTGTTTCATCTCACTAGTCTCTAGACATACCTATTGCCATTAATTTTTTAAGGCTGGGCTGTTACAAATTATCTAGACTGACTGATTTAGGTAAAAATTTTGATAAAAAAAAAACGGAATATTTATTTATTTTCGTTTTACGTCAGTATAGATAAGGCGCCTGAAATTTCTACAAACAAGGGGGGCGCGGTCGATCATTCCTTAACAACAAAACTACCAACTTTCCAAAACACAAGTTTACGTTGGCCAGCTTGTAACTTGTTTTTTCGTCCATACTCCATTGTTGTTGGTTGTTGTAAACGATTCGTCGGAGTGTCGGCATCTCCACGTTTTCTGCATTTTGTCGCCGAATATTGTGGAAAAATGGCTGAATATTTAGCCTCGATTTTCGGCACTGAAAAGGACAAGTAAGTGAATAATTTTTAGAGCTGTGGGGATCGCAAAATATAGCAATTAAGACCAGGACGGGACACGACCTGTGTTCGACCGCGCCATCGACGCGCGTTCTAATTTTTGTTTACTAACCGGCCCAGTAAAAATAATGCAATCTCCTTTGGGGTTTCTTTTCACATTTAAATGTGTCAGTTGTCTTAATTATTTGACATAAATCATAAATTTTAACTTTCCCAGGGTGAACTGTTCTTTCTACTTCAAAATTGGTGCTTGCCGGCATGGAGACCGCTGCTCGCGAATACACAACAAACCAACTTTCAGCCAGGTATGATGAATTTTTAATTGAGCTGATCAATTGGGCAAACATGACCTCTCTCTTTGCAGACTGTCCTGCTACAAAATTTATACGTCAATCCACAGAACTCGGCTAAGTCGGCTGATGGATCCCACTGTAAGTTTGTATTAAATTTTGTATTCATAATGATTTCTTTCCCCCGATCAATTCTTGTTTTGCTGCGTATGGCAGTTTTCACCACTTTTTTATTTTTTTCAGTGATTGCAAATGTTTCTGATGAAGAAATGCAGGAACACTACGACAACTTTTTCGAGGATGTTTTTGTTGAGAGTGAAGACAAGGTCAGTTTAGAAAAAAAAAATATTTTCAACACTTTAACTTTCCAAAAATAAAATAACTCAATCTATAAATATCAATTTTTCAGTACGGCGAAATCGAGGAGATGAATGTTTGTGACAATTTGGGTGACCATTTGGTGGGCAACGTCTACATTAAATTCCGCAGAGAGGAAGATGCTGAAAGGGCAGTTTCTGACCTGAATAACCGCTGGTTTGGCGGAAGACCAGTTTATGCTGAACTCAGCCCTGTGACCGATTTCCGTGAAGCTTGCTGCCGCCAGTATGAGATGGGGTAAGTTTTGTCTTTCAATGAATATCAGTCAGTTTATATTGATAGTAAATATTAATTAATTTTTATTGTGTCATTCCAGCGAGTGCACCCGCAGTGGTTTCTGCAACTTCATGCACTTGAAGCCAATTTCCCGCGACCTGAGGCGCTACCTTTACAGCCGCAAACGCAAGGGTGGTGGCCGCAGGTAAAGTATTTTAAAATTAAACAGTATTGCAGAAGAACACATAATTTTTTTCTCATTATTTTCATTGGCCAACAAATTCAATGAACATCGCGAGTATGAACATAAAATTTAATAAGTGAGTCGTGTTTCCTTAAGCTATTTTTTAAATAACGCTTTGTAATAATTGTGAGGGCAGTTTTGAAACAAATTTCAAATTGGCAGGTCTCGATCTCCTCGTCGCAGGTCCCGTTCGCCCAGAGACAAGCGCTCCCGCTCCAAGGAAAGGCGCCGCAGAAGTCGCTCCAGGGAAAGAGAGGGCAGGTCAGGACGCTACTAACAACGGTACGTGCATCATCAAGCGCTCGAACTCTTTTATTCCCAACTTCAATCCGTGTACTAGTTTAATGATTGCGTGTTAATTTGAATAATTAAAATAATATAAACGGTAACTCTTGTAAAAGTGCAAAAGTAAGCAATGCGTTTTTCAATTTTTACGAACAAACTACTCTTTAAAATTAGTCCGGCAGTTGGCAAATTAAAGCGGTTCCGCGCAGAATCCAGTGCTTTGGATCTTCAATCGTGTCGAGTTGGACTGAAAACAGGAAGTTCGAAGAAAGACCCGTCGAGTTTATAGATCCCTTGCGTTCAGACGTTTGATAAACCGGGCAAGTGTATTTTTTCGCATCAAAATCGTCCGCTAAGAGAAACGACTTCAACCAGACCTAGATCGCAAATAAAAACTTCATTAATAAAACTATAAATCCAACAATTAAATGCCTACTTTAGGGAATACATTGAAGGGATTATTACTCTCAATTTCAGCCAAGCGGCCATTTTCCATGTCCCACTGTGCGCCATTTATGTAAAGTCCAGACACAATTACTCCTCGGTCGATATCCTTCTCGCCTTGCAAAACCTGTTTCGGAATTTTTTATGAGAACGATGCATTATTAATGAGAATTGACGTACTTCGCAATCAATTGCCACTTTTTCCATGTCGAGTCGGTCAAACACCTCTGCGTTGCAATCTGATAGCAAAACAGACAAGAAGCTGTTGGGTATGAAAAACCCTGGAAGCCAGAAAACTGTTGGTTGACCATTTTCCACCCAATCCTGAAATCATAATATGATATGAAGAGTGAAAAATAGCTTAAATTTATCATACTTGACAGAATTTGACTCTTTCATTCAAATTTGTTATAAATGAGTCAAGCGGCTTAACACAGGCGTAGCTTTTTGATTTCCAGCAATCGGGAATTTTATTTTGTGCCAAACTTTGTGCCAGTTGCTCCAACAAAATGTGCATCTTGGCGTGACCTGGACAAGGACAAACGTTTAATTTTCCCTTGAGAGTTTTTAAACACACAACCTTTGACTGCTCCCACTAGATTTTCCAATGAAAATGCTATTTCTTCTATCAGTCCGTTGTATTGGATCAAGTCTTGGATGAGGATTGTCGCAAGACCGCCACTGATTTTTCCTATCGCCAAGTGCAAATCAAACTTTGCAGGAAGTGCGCTAATTATTTCACGGACTCTTCCGAGCAGGAATTGCTCAGATTCGTATTGCGACATCTCTTTGAATGGCTTCGATTTAAATCAATTAACTAATACTCAAATTCTAAAGTAAACCGATTACCTTAAAAATAAATCCGGTCTAATAATTAAAAAACAAAAAATTATCAGTAAGTAAATGATTGTTGTTAAACTTTTCTACCTGAGAATGATTCAATTTGGCAATCAAATTCTGGGCCAAAGCCTCATCACTTTTTCTACCAATGCTGTTGCTGATGCCGCAAAGCTCCGGCTCTGTTTGGACCGACAATCTTTTTATATGACCGAGTTGCTCTTCGTACTGCAGATTAATGGGATACTTGAACGACTCTGAAATTTCAATGTAATTATTAAATGTTGACTGTATTCTCTGGTCAAACCGTTTTTGTCGCAGAAAAAGTTGCACGACTCTACACAGGGTCGACAGCACTCGTTCAGTAGCGTTTCTAAGCACCTTTGATCCCACGGGTCAAACATCAACCCACCGTAGTAGCACTCGCTGGCCACATAGTAAATTAAATTAAGGGGCAACTCCTGTTTAAAATTTAGGCTATAATCAAGTTTTATGGTTAATTAATGAATTTTACTGTTGCTTCAAGTAAAATTGATTGCAATTGCACCAAACTGGACCTGAGGTCCGCCTCTGTGAATTTATACGGCTCCGTCCAGCCGAGAGGCATGAAGGATGTTCGCTGCATGGCCAGGGCGTGGAAGAAGCAAAAGCCGTAGAGAAGTTTGTGGAATTCAGAGCTCATTCGGGCGCAACTCTCAAAATAGTCTAAGTCCGAAATTGGATCGGTAGTAAAAGACCTAATACAGAATTCAGAAATCTCTAATAATTTTAAAATAATAACTAATTTACATGAGCATGTTTTCCTTCAGCTTTTTCGGTGGGTCAAATACGATTTTAATTCCACTTTGTAAAATCGCCTCTGGAAAATTCTCCGAAGAAATCGTCGAAAGCCAAAGTCGGAACTCGGGGTGGGTAGACTCTGCGTTGAGTCCGTCGCAAATCTTAAATTCAACTTTAGTTTGTAATTTCGAATGTAGAAATAAACCTGAAACCTTTTCTAAGTGGACCGTCCATGCAGGCTCAAGGTGGCAATTCTGCAATAAAACCCAGGAACCGATTTTGACTGCTTCTTCGATCAAACCGGCCGCAACTAGGCCTTGATGTTCCCCCAGAGAGACAATTTGCATTTTTTGAGTCACTCGCTGAAATTTTAAATTGGTTAAAATGCAACATCAAAGTTAATTATTTATACCATATCTGCTGCAAATTTGAGCAGGGTCAGAGTTGGATCTGAACTGGCAGGGTGGATGAAAATCAGCGCGTTCTTGCACGATGAGCTGGAGAACGACGAGGGCAGATTGAATATTGGCGGCTCTGTGTATTCTGAACCCAGAAACTCTGACAAAGTGAAAACAAATAGTTATTTTGACGTCTAATTTTTATCATATAGCAAAACCTTCAATTAAATTCGTTGCTGCATTTATAAGCATATCAGGCCTGATGCATTTAAGAATTGCCAAAATTTTGAACTTTTCGAATTTTACTGGGCAAAGATCAATTCCCTTGCTCGGTGTATTGTAAAAATCCATCCATAGACTTTCATTCTGTTCCATATGGTCCTTGATGCTCTAAAAGAGAATTAACATTGTTAAATCGATTCTAACAAAATAAGCTCAACCTGATAAGCTGGAATCTTGAAAAGAGCCTGAAACTTTCGCCAGTAGGAATTTGGAAGCCAGTCAAATCGATTTCCATCTCCATTCTCGCTTTCATCAAATTCATTTTCCACCAAAAACTTCCACTCCTCCTCATCCAGATTTAGCTTTCCCATCGCCTTTGCAAGCAAAATGACAAACACTTGCTTGTCCTGGTGTAAAGAAATCAGTCATTGCTATTAAATTCAAAAGTCGCAACCTTTTCGAAAATGCAGGGCAGCACGTTTTTGTAAAGGGCCAGTGAAAGTTCAACGCTCAAATCCTGCATGCGTTTTTGCAAATCCTCGACGCGCTCCGTTGTGTCGATGACGTTTGTAAATAAGTCAACATACCAAGTCAGAGAAAATTTGTAAACGGGCTCCAGGGCCAGAAGTTGCACTAAGCTGAAGTAGAGATTGCTCGCGTGTTCCGCCACCGGTTCGTAAGCAAAACGCGACTTGTCAATTGCCACCTCGGTCAGCTCGTTGTTGGTCTTCTTCTCGATGACCTCGTTGATCAACGTTTTGGCCAGGCAGACGGCCTGCACGGCCATGTCGTCCTCAAGGATGTCGCCGTTCGATGTCCAAATCTCGTCCAAGATTTTGTTTTCGAGCTCTCGAAGTTGCCTAGAATCAATTCAATTCCATTTTTCCGTAACTTTTCAATTTTTTTTTATCGCTAAAATCACCTCAAATTATCGGCCCCAGAAGTCATGATTTGTGACTTTTCCGACTCGAGGTCGGGCCTTTCCCTTTGCACAGTTACTGACAAGAGCTGCTCTTGCAATCCCTTCGGCGTAAGCGCAAAATTGATCAGACTCGCTTTCGAAGCAAATTCAGGAGACAATTTTAAATCACGTTTTCGAGTCGTAATGTAAAGCCTAATAAAATCATTGTCATCAATTCTTTTCCGCGTTGTTTTGAGTAAATAAATTTACTTAAAATTGGGGTTGTACTCGACATTGGAATCTCCAATTTTGACTGCCACAATCGATCCCTGTTTAAAAGTCTGCTTCATTAACAATGGATCCAAAATAGGGTCCAGCTCCTCGCTGATATTTTCCAAAAGTGCCTGATAAGAAATTTTTAAAAATAATTGGGTGTTAAATTACAGTATTTTTTAATACAGCTTTTCCGCCTTGGACACACGCGTCCAAGTTTCTTATGTAGTCCGAGTCGCAAAGCCGAAGGACTTGCAACTGATTTGGCGCCTCAATTGCTCGGATCCACCTGAAAATGGCCAACTTTGAGACTTTTTATTAATTTTTTTCCCTAAACAAACCTATTTGCCTGTCCGTCCGGATCAAATATAAGCGGCCACTTTCCAGAGAATCTAAAGTTAATTAATTTTTAATTGCAACGATTTTATTTTAATTTTAAATACTTTGTTATAATGGCGCTTCCCATAACAAAAGCATCGTTCAGCGGCAGTCCAATATTATTCCAATCGAGCAACTCGACAGAATCGCCCAAGATGGAGCTCAATTGGAACTCCGCAGGCTTTGCAGAACATTCAAAACCTTGGGCGTTAACTTCTTCCACCCACTTTGTGGTCTGTTCGTGGCGCAAGCGGGGGCCAAACGGGCCCAAATAAGCGATCGACGCGGCGCAAATCAACATGTCACCTGAATAATTTCAATATTCAGATTATTTTCTTGAAAGTTTCGACGCACCTGTGATGTGCTTGTAACTCTCGGCAAGTTCCTTAGCCCTCGTTTGCCATTTGCCAGTTTCGCTCAAAAGGGCCGCGAGCAGTTCTTCCGAGCGTTTGATCTTTTTCTGGCACAACTCGAGTCGCGAATGCAGCTCTTCCCTTTGCGCCTGGGCCTGCACCAAATCCGCTTTCGCGTCGGTCAACTTGCTCTCGGCCTCCCGCAATACCGCCTCTTTTTCCTGTTTTATTCCGAAAAATAAAAATTAGTCTTCAAAAAAACCAAAATAAAATCGGCACCTCTAAAACAGCATTCGCGCTTTGAAGGTCGTCGTTCGCCTCAGCCATCACTTGCCTCTTTGGAGCGGCCGTTTTCACTGCCACGTCGTAATTGTACAAAGCAATCACCCATCTGCACAGAACTGATAGATTTTTTTTTCAGTAAAACTTTTTTTGAATCAATTCAAATCGTACTTTCCGCCACAGGTGCAATGGCTTTTAATTTTTCCGGCTCGAAAGTCTCGTCTGAAATAATTCGCTCCTGAATTTGCTTTGACGCTTTCGACGGAATATTTTCCTTGTCGATTTGCATCAAACCCTCGATGAACTTCTGGTCGGCCAAAAGTTTCTTTCCTGGACCCCAGTAGTCGTCCATCGTCTTGCCGGGCGCGTTTGGATTTGCAACCTTTTCAGCTTTTGCATCCTGAAATTTATCGAGTTGAAAAAAATTTAATTTCATGTAAAAAAAAATCCCAACTTTCATCAAGCAAATTGCTTCCATGAGTAGTTTGAGGTTTTTCGGCGGACTTTTGATCGCCCTCAGTGCAGAAATATCGGCCATTGGCAGGGTTTCTAAACTTGCAGTTGCCTCTTCCAGAGGCCCGAGCATTTCACCCACACTCGACTCGCATTCTTCCTGTAAGACTCGAACTTGTTCCTTTTTTGCTTCCACCGATTCCCTGTCAGTCAGAACAGTTTGCTCGGCCTGTCAGCAATTCAGTTTTATTTTTGGCCCAAATTGAGTTTGAAACGAAACTTTTACCTCCGCAACCTCTCTGGTCTCATTTTCAACTGCCACCGAGCCGAGCTCCACAAGCTCGGAAGACTTTCGCAGTTTCGGCATCAGATTTTGAATTTCCTCCTGCATCTCAGGAACCTCCTTCTCGGCGCCCAAAATCTTTTCTGCAGCCGTGTTGCACTTGTCTTGCTCCTCAATCGCCGATCTGAGAAATGCATTTTCGTGAAATTCAAACGGTAACGTGAAAATCCATTTTTCAAAACCTTCGCCTTTGAAGTAAAATCTGCTTGAACGTTTTGAGAAACTCGATATACGTCGTTGGTGTAATTAGACTAAAAATTTCGTTTTTCGCAAGGTTTGAAAGAACTTGGGCGTCCGCGTGGAATTTCTTGCACAGTTCAATGCAAATTTGCAACTCTTTTGGCTCCAGACCGACTTCGCCCAATAAATTTTCGGCCACGTCTTGCAACGCATCGTCAGGCCAGTTCTTTGTTTCGAATTATCTGTATTCTTATTTTGTGTAAAAAAATTTAAGATCTTACCAAAAACCAGTTCATCGTGCAGTTATTGATAAGCGCAGGAAACTTCTGCAACCGCGATTTGAAGTTTTCCGAATCAGGGTTGAGACATATTAAAATGTGTAATTGATCCCTCAGTTTTTGCAAAAAGAAGTTCAGCAAGGCCGCGTTGCTACCGTCAGTCTTTTTAAATTCAAATTAAAAAGGATTTTCGTTATTATTTTTCAAATACCTGCACTGATTTGTCTCTCTGTCTGTCGATTTCTCCCATTTTTTCAACAATTTCCGTCTTCTCATCCGCCGTGATTAAGTTCGAAATTTCACCAATGCAAAGCAAATGATTGAAATCCTCCAAGTAAACTTCGCTCTTTTCCTACGCAAAAATAAAATTGACTGGCGATCAGCATTTTAAATGAAAATTCAGTATATTATACTTGTTCATCTGAGAAGAGGAGAACAACATTTTGATCAGAGGTGCCGCTTCTGATGAGCAGTTCCTTGATATCCTCTCGCCATTTTACCATTGAATAATTTTTATTTATATCCGGCTGAACAAATTTCAAACAGTTTTATCAAGATTAATAAAATAATTTTGAAAATTTTGAATACTTGATAGAGTTCGTAGTAGCAAATAGACGCAGCCAATCTTGCCAAAGACTGTTTGCCAAGTCCAACTGGGCCAATTAACAGTCCATGGCTGCGGGGTTGCTTCAAAAGTCTGCATATTCGCGAGAGATGCTCCATTGCGTATCTAAAGCATAATTAATTAATTAATTTTTCTCAGAATTCAATTATTAAAATTTAAGTTGCTTGTTTTTAAATTTAAAAAAATATTGACCTAAACATAACCAAATCGCTTGGCTTTTTTGTCATGCTGTTGAATTCTCCGAGGCACCGTTCGACCACGCTGCGCAAATTTTCCAATTCGTGAACTTCACTGTAATTCCGCGAGTCAGCTTTTGGGTTTGCGTAGTCGCAGAACAGCAACTGCCGCAGCGCATGTTCCGTAACCTTTAGAAATATTTGAATAATTTAAAATTAAACTATAATTGTAATTCGCACCGGCTGGTCGTTGCTGGTCAAGTGCTTGAACATTTGATCCATGTCGTTTCCCAGTTTGTCGATGCACGTCTCTCTAACCACCTGAAGAAGCCAATCTCTGTCCGCCTTGTCTGGCATTCGGTCGGCGAAAACTCGCAAAACCTCGTGGACCCACAGCCGCTTCATGGCTGCCAAGTCTTCAATCGCCTCCGGAACAGACAGCAAAACACCCTTTAAACAATAAAATACATTTCTGTCTTTTAACATATTTAACATTTTTACTTGAATCACTCTTGAAAAATCACGCAAATTGAAAATGTAGTGGCATTTCGAAGGGGTTGGCATTAAAAAGCCCTTTGTAGTTGTGTAAACCTTCAACGTCGCGGCCACAACTTGGTCTATTGACGGATCAAACTCTTTGCTGAACCCTCTGCAGAAAATTATGTTTAAAAAAAAAATTAATTTCGATTTAAATATTATGGAAACCGAGTGTCCAAGTGCCAGAGCATGAGCCGGCTGAAAATCGCCACCAGGGTCGATTCCTCAAATTCGTTGATGGAAATTGCTGAAAAATGCCGCAAAAATCTTGTTGACGTTTTCGCCAATCCAACGGGCGCCGAGCCCATCGCACAGAGAATCTGCAGGTCCGTGATTTTCTGCGGCGAACCGGTCGCAATTTCAAACCACGTCTCGTGGTCCAGCAACTGGCGCAGTAGCTCGATCGGGGGTTGACAACCGTTGACACTTTCAGGCATGTTGACGTCGTCCACAAAAACGAGACACCTTTTGCCCAGAGGTGGGCCGTAAACTCCTATAAAAATCGATTTATAAAAAAATGTACTCAAATTTAATATTCAAACCTTTGCGCCGCTTGTCAACGTTGCTCATGACCAAATCTTGAATCTCCTGAGCAGTGGTTTTGTTGGAGAAAAGCACAAACAGCGGTTTGTAAACGTTCTTGTCAACTTTGTTCTCCAAGAAATCCTTTCGTTCACAATCAATTTTTATTTTTTAAATTTTATTTTTAATTATATTAATACCGTGATATAAATTGATTTTCCAACTGCAGAGGGCCCAACAAGAATTATAGGTTTGTTATTTCTGACAAGTTGGTTGAGAAGCGTCAAGCACCTCACAGTTTCCAAAGTCGGTACAATTATTTGGTTGACAGGGATGTCTCGTGGGATCGGAGGAGATCCTTTCAGATCCTCTTCCCAAGGCCTCCATTTACCTTTGCCCTGAAAAATTCCTTTGGTTTTTAGTTCACAACATTTTTTACTTCAAGATTACCTCTTTAAAGTATCGATAATTGTAGACGGAAAAATTATCAGGAATGGGAAAGATGTACGGCTTGACCGGCGCAGGGATTTCGTCCACTATGCCGTACTCGGAATTTAACTCTTGAGGGAACTCCTTCGCTAAAAAGCCACGGAATATTTTGTCAAATTTCACTCTGCTGTCGGCGTCGAGCGCTCCTCCAATAGACCAGATGCAGGCGTAAAAGAAAATTCCCTGCGTTGGTCAAATTTTAAAATTGATAATTTTTATGTTCAAGCAAACCTCAAGTTGAGCTCTCATGTCAATGCTTGAAATCTCGTCCTTTCCGTCGTCTACAGTGAATTCAATTGCATAGCAATCAAAAATACTTGTCGTCGAACGTAGTAAATTGCACTCCATGAATGGGAACTCGGACTAAATGTCAGATTAATTTTAAAAGTCCATTTAAAATTTAAATATAACATGCCTTGAAAATGCCTTGTTTGTGCATATTTATTAGAGGCGGATAAAATCGGTCAAACAGGTCTTGAATAATTTGCAAGTAATCTTTCAGTGCAGCTGGCAAAGTTTTGATCCAGGTGCTCAAAATTGCATTCCAACCAACAGCTTCGGAACTGACGTATGAAATCCCGCACCTCGAGACCTTGAAGATTTAATTTAATTTAATTGATATTATCATTAATTAATGTCCAAACTAATGCTGGAGACACGTTGTTTAATTCGTCCGTCTCAAAAATTATGTTCATTTCCTGCGGCAAATGGCAGTTTTCTCCCGACATGAGAAAAAGGCGCCTGCTGTCATCCAAAACCGTGTTTAAATTCTCTGCCCAAGACGAGTCCATGGGGCCGTCAAATACCAGCCATTTCCTGATTTAAAATTTTCAATTTTATAACTTCTTATATGATTTAAAACCTGTTGGGGGTCGCGGCCAAAGCCATTTGCCTGAAGCACTTGGGCAAAACGCCGTCCGACCATTCGTGGGTCATCGAATCAAAGGCTCCATAAAGTTGGTTCAGAGTCATGGATTTTGGATTGATGATTGTCATTTGAACTTTTCTCTTTTCCTGAAGCCAAAATTAAAAATATTTACCATTTCAAATAATTTTCATTTACAATTTCACTCAAAACGGCCGCGAGAACTTGGTAGGCAGTCGTTTTTCCTGCAAAAGGCTGCCCTAAGATAATCACTCCTTGTTTCACTTTGAGCAAATCGTTCATTTTCAAAATGCATTCAAGGAATTTTTCCGTCGCCTGCAAGTCTCTGTCTTGACAAACCGATTCAATGGTCGTTTTCAAGTCAATGTCAATTTCCTCCATCTCGTTTTGGAAAACGCCAGCCAGTATTTCCTTAGAGAATTAATTTTTAAATGTTAGAAATTCCGTGGTTTATTTTTTAAAACCTGATAAACTTTCAAATCGTGGCTTGTGTATTTTGAGCTGTTGACGCTTTCAATCGCATTGCGAATTATTTTCCCTTCCGAATCGTCTTTGTTGGTAAATCGCCACTTTATGGCGCAGTCGAGAACTGATTTTATTGCCCTTAAACCTGAACATTAAATTTTTTTAGCCGTTTCAGCAATTCTTTAAATTAACCGTGATCGTAGTGCGTCTGCAGGGACAGTTTCCGTGCACACTGACTAAAAACTTGCATCATTTTGTTAGCCAAAAGTTTTGCATCGCGAAATCCGTTTGATGTTAAAACCACTTCTGCCAAAACCCTCACTGAGGGTATTTTCATTGCCACTGGTCTTAGCAAGGACTATAATTGTAAAAATAAATATTAAAAAAATCTATTCAAATAAGATTACTCTTAAATTCGCTGGCAGTTTTTCTGATCCTGAATTGCCGAGTGTAGCTAAAATCAAGCATGTCGAGTCCAGTTGAACTTTGCTGCCGTCCAAAGTCACAAACGCCTTTTTAGCTTTTGTTGCTCTCTGAATTGCCAAAATTTGATGCGACATTGAGGAAAGCGTTTCCACGCTCAGTCTGTCCAATTCATCAAGACAAGTCCAAGCTCCAGACGAGGCAACACCCTTAAATTGACACAGATTTGTTAGAGAATTTAAAATTTGTACAGATTTGCTGCTCACCTTAAATAATTTCACAAGTGTGATGCAATCCATTTCTGCCGAGCAACTGATGCAAACGCAAAGTTTTGCGGCAATGTTGGCCAAATCTTTAATGCTTTCGGTTTTGCCCGAGCTCACTGGCCCATCAATTACAACACCTGTTGTTTAAAATCTGGTCTTTGAATTTGAAATTTAAATATCAAATCAGTTTTTACCTAGACTCAGTTTAAGGGCAGCAAATATAGCTTGGAAACATTGGACCGTTTGCGAGGTCAAGACCAAGCGCACAAAGTCTCCTAAGTACTCGTAGCCGTAAGCGACACTCGCATTCAGCATTTTAATTGAAATATCCTTTTCCTAGTATTTTTTCCAATGTAATTTTTAATTAAATGAAAACATTTATTTTGCTCAACCAACCTCCCAATAATATCTAAGTTGCGTAATCCAATGGAAATTCTCAACTTTATCGACGTGATTGTTAACCAGAGCCAGAATTGCATTTTGGCAGTAAATATTTTGTGTCAGAAGAGAACCTACAAGTAATATTTTCAAATAATTAAAAAAAAATAATAATAATAAAAATAATAACCAAGCATCGACCGGTTGCTGCTAGAAATTTCTCGACTCAGTAGTTGCGTCTCCTCTTGTACGTGTTTTGTAAATTTTGCGAGCAAACTATTCAAAGTTCCGTCGACTATCGCCTTTTCCGTCTCTCGCGTCCAGTTGATGTGGAAAATTGCAAGAACGGCCTGGCTGGAATTTTGCAAAACCCACTGGCCGTCCCCGTCAAAATTAACATCACGTTGGCAGTCGGAAATCATCTGAAATCAATCGATTAAATTAAGAACACTTTATTTTTATTTTTGCGCCTGCCTTTTTCACGCTCGTTTTCATCCCGATTTCCAACTGTTGCATCCACTGCTCCACCTGTCCCCTCGCCGAGGCAGTGTCAATGACCTCCACCAATTCGACTTGCTCTCCCCGAGCCGAAATAATTGCCGAAATCGCCATATCCTCCGTAAATGACAATCTCGATATTCCTCGGAAACACTTTCTCAAATTTTGCTGCACCCTTTAAAAATAATAATATGTGATGCTCTCATTATTTTTAATCTTACTTATTTTCTCACCGAGATGGATCTTTTGTCTCCGAGAGAATTTCCAGAAGCTCGTCGTTGGAAAGGAAGAAAAAGCGTGGGAAAAATGTGCGTTTCTTGTCCAAGTAGTCGTTCAGTCCTCTCTGAATTGCGTCCAGCAGGTCGCTCGATTTGTGCAAACGTTCGAGCATTTTGTCGATTTTGGCCACGACCAATACGTGCAAATCGGTCAGAACCACCTTCATTATGTCTCTCCACATTTTGTCAACCGCTCCGAATCGACGGCCCTCCTCAGGCATTTGCGCGTTAATATCCGGGGAGGAGAAAATCGGCTCCAGGTACATCCAGGTACCCTGAACCTTCATCCAACTGTCCAAAATCTCTTGCAGAAGCATCAGATTTGTCTCCCACTCACTATTTTGATTTATGAATAGAAATTAATTTTCATTTTAAATAATTTTTTTAGAATTACGTAATGTCTTTCTCAAATGGCTTGATGTAGGGTGATCCTCGCATTGTTTGCGTTTTCACGATGTGGTCGTCTAAAAGAAGCTGAATGTCGTCTATAGAGGATAAGAAGTATGTTCCACTCTCCCTAAAAATAAAAATAAAATCATTATTAATTCTGCCAAAAAAAAAAAAAAATAACCTAGCGAATTTGGATGATTTTTTTTTATTTTCTTTGGCAAGGGTTTTATTTCCAAGGAGATATAACAAGAAGATTTAATTAACACTGAAAACTGAAATTTTAAAAATGAACAATATCTTTAAGGAAATTTTCTGTAACCATTTTTTCTCCAAATTGGCTTGACTAAATTTTACAAAAATTGCACTAAACCAAATTTTTCCCCATCCCTATTAATTGTAAAATTAAATCAAGAAATATCTACAAAATTTGGATTATCCTTATGGAGAACTTTCAGATAAAATTATTTTCGTAACTGGTTAAAAAAATTTATAATAATAACGACACGCCAACCTGTACGGCACGATGGAAAATTCCATGGTGACCCATTCAGCAATCATCGTATTCAGAGCCTTTTCCAAATTATTTTCTTTCGTGGCCGACTCGCTTATGACCTGAAATTTGCTGTTGTAGTCGCCGAGACCGAAGTCAATGATTCGCGCCAAGGTCAGCGCTGTGTCGGCCTTCAGAGGAAATCCGACTATTTCCGAAACTTTCTCCCAATGTCGCTCTTTCATGTCCGGATTGCCCAAAGTCTGGATCACGGGCAAATTGTCGCGAAACTCTTCGATCCGTTGGTGCACCTTTGAAATTTATTTCGACTCACATTGCAGCTCTTTATTTAGTTTTAATTATATACTTTGCTTATTAATTGTTTCACAATCAGAATATCGGTGAAAGTTTTCTCCAATTGTTGGACCGTCTGCCAAAAGTGTTCCGCCTCAGCCTCGATCACCGCTGGGTGAAAAGCGCCCACCTGGCTGCTCATCCACAGCTCGTGTTTTGTAATAAACCCGTTCGCCGTCTCGTAAAGCTCCAAATATGGTCCCAATTGCTCAGAAACCTTTTTTAATTATTTTTTATTAAACAAAAATTAAATTACTTGTTCCCTGAGCGGATATTGCGAAGTTTCCCAGCCAAAAGCGACCTCCTCGGCGTTGAACTGCTGAATGTCTGTCAGAGCCGCGTTTAGTCTTGACTGGAGAGTCCGAGCGCGTTGCAAATACTTTGGAAGTTCGTTAATGTCGCCCAGGGTTTGAAATTCGGCCACCAATCGTTCTTGCTGGGAAAGCGATTCGACGAAATTTTGCGTTCTGACCTGAATTTTTTTAATTCTAATTTAAAGCCATCGTTAGCGAATCGAGGGAGTTCTTTACTTTTAGTGCTTGTTGGTACTCTGCAGTTTTCTTCAAAACGATTTCCTGATGCTCCAGGAGGACGTCGGGCATTTTGCCGTACCACTTGAACGGAGCCGCGTTCTGTTTCACCTCGGCCGGCACCACGGTCATGTGGTCGACCAGAAACAGCATCGACAGACAAACCTGGCGCAGTCGTTCCTCCAACTGGGCCAACGTGCTCGACTCGACTTGATGCACGAATTCCTTCAAATCCATCAGTTCGGCCGTGTTGGCAGGCGGGCTCAAGGCGCGCGTCGCAATTTCTTCATATTCTTCACTCAATCTATTGTGACATTTTTTCTTTCTTTCTTAATTTAAAAATGAATTTTATAAAAATTACTTGAACGAAAGAGCCAAGTGCTCAGCTCGCATGTGTGCCAGAAGTTGATCTCTGAGGGCGATGGCAGCCTGAACGAGCGCCACCACCAGAGGACCTCGGTGGACTTCGAAAAGTCCCGCGTCCACCACTAGCCACGTGTCGCACGGAATCGTCTGGCTCAAATCGTGCAACTCGGTCACCCTGGCCACCATTTCCTCGTAAGACTGTTTGTTACGCAAAAAATGGTCCACTTCCTCTTGCCACTGTTTTTTTTATAATTAGTTGATTTTTATTTCAAATTCCTTTCCATACTTCTCCGTTTATTAAGCTGATGTAGTTGTCAAAATCCTGAATTCGCATCTCTGGCAGAATTCGCTGCTCCTCTAGATTTGCAATCAGAGTCTCTTTCGCCTGTCTTATTATTTTTTCCGGAATTATGGGCTAAATATTAAAATTTGAATTAATTTTTAATTTGTATAAAAAATCGTGGCAGTTTAAAATTGCGAGAACTGCCTTGCCTGCAGAATTCTGTGTAGGCTTTTTGCTCGGCATACCTGTCGTGCCGGTTGCATAATACGTACCTTTAGAAGGCGTCCCTCCTGCGGAAGCGGCTGCAGCCCCAGTTTTTCCACGAGAACGGTTTCAATTCGCGGGATTCTCGACACCGCGTCTTTGAATTTGTCGATCAGATTTAAAATTTCTTGCTTGTATGCCGAAAAAGACGGATCGAAGACGACCACTTTGTTCCTGTAAGCCACCTCAAGCACAAAGCCCTTGTTTTTCCTTGACTAGAGACAAATTTTTTTTATTAAATTTCATTTATTATTGAAATAAGAATTATTTTTACTTTTGTATCGCAGATAAACTCCGTGAAATCTTTGATTGATGCAATACAGAGATGTTGTATTTGGCTTGTCATTATCGTGGCAACGCACTCGAAAAAATCCCTCCTCTGTTTTTCGGCAGTTGCCGGAGGCAAAATTCGGTTCCTCGCGCCCTAGTTTTAAATAATTTTTAAACTTGATATATATATATATATACATTCTTGATTCCTCGTACCTGGAGAAAAATTGCCTCCAAAGATGGAAACCAGTTATTCTTCAAATACAAAACCGCTGTCTGGATTTGCTTGCCAATTAATTCCTTGAACGGTTTTAACTCGAGCGCCTTTTCTACAGAACTCAGCTCCTTCAAATCAACTAAGCGAATGTCACTATTAAAAATTTAATAATTATTTCTATAGATTTAATTATGAAATTGAAAACATTTACCTGTATGATTTGTGCCAAAGGTCTAGCACGTGTAAGATGCATTTATTGACGACGTGCAAGTTTTTGCGGACGTAGTTTCGCGTTCTACAAACCGCCTCCTTGCGCTTTTTGTCAGCGATGGCCTGCCTCGTTCGCTCCACAGAACTGAGCCTTGGCCGTGCATCAGGGAAAACTTCCAGGGCGCTGTTCTTGTGGTGCAAAACATACTCAACGACAGAAACTTTGACCTCTTGGATGAATTCCTTTTGCACTTCGGTAAGGAGTGTTTGCAGATCATCTTTGAAATTTTTCTTTAACCTATAGAAACCGTTTTTTTGTTGCAAAATGTAAAAGTAATTTTACCCAATTTTAAAATTTTTAACTAAAACGATCTAAATTAATTATATGAGCTATTTTCCTTATATTAAAAAATAAAATAAGACCTTGTTGGTATGAGACTGAGAATTCTATTGATGAAACTTTGTTGGAGAGGCGCAATATGCTCCGTGCCTATGCCATGCTGGACATATCGTCGATACCTCCGCATGCGCCTCTCCGACCTGTTCTCTTCACTTTCGCCCTCTTCGCCACCATCATTCAGGTACTCGAGAAGCTTTTTCCTGTATTCGATTCTCTGCTGCATCATCTCTGTGTAAGGTCTGCTAATTTTCTAAAATATAAATTCAATTTTGTATATTTTTATTAATTTTATTAAAAACTATCAACCTTTGCTGTTTTCTTTTTGTGGCAAGTCTTGATTGGAGGTAAAAGTTCCTTCCTCTTTGGCTGCAACCCTACAACAGACCTTCGGCCGATCTGCCTTGGCGGCTCTTGGTTCACCTGCAGCCGTTTGAGCAGCTCCGCTTTCAGTTGGTGATACTCCTGCACAATGTTGAACTGCTCGGGCTGCGCGGCGCCTTCCCTGTCGTCGCGCAACAACTCCTGCAGGAAAGCCATCTGCTTTTTTGCATCTCCATCGTCCTTTGATTTCGACGGATCTCTCTTCCTTTTGTACATTTTTTCAATAATTATTTAGACATCAATCAAGATTTGGAGTATTCTTGATTGCAATGATATAATATAATTGTTACCATAGCAACTGACATAGCTACAAGAAGATATATCCATATAAAAATATGTTACGACGTTGCTTGTATATTTCTTTAGCTGTATTATTTTTTATTTTATAGCTAGTGAAAAATTTTTAAGCGTAATTAGAAAACTTTTTCTTTGGTTATTTATCGAAGTGAGGTGTTTCATTTTGTCTCTCAATGAAATGCAATTTTGAAGGGAATGATTAAGAGTCTTTTATTTGACCAAGCTTTATTAACATACCATCATAATTAATTTTTACAATTTTCCATTATCCAGAGTATTTTATATTTTAAATTACTAGTATGGCAAGGACAAGAATAAAATTTTCAATTTCATTCCAAGGATAAATTTTCAATGTTGCAGCGTTGCTTTTACAAATTCTGTTTACACACCCGCATCATTCATTAACTTGTCTCTCAAATTTAAAACCCGATTCAGTGTGGGCCGCTGCGAGTTCACACATTCCCAAACTCAACACTCGACTCTGAGGAGCTGCTCGAGAGTATGTATTGCTCAGGTACGGCAGGAAGGACAGCTGCTCCTGGCAAACGGAGGCCCGCAGTGGGCGCCAGGCGGAACATCTCGTCATTTTCATCAGCCGAGGGCGGAGACAGCGTAGCCTCATCCTGTTCCTGCAGCATCGCTCGGAACTCCTGAATGTTTTCATTGAGCGCCCACAGCTGTGAGAGAAGGGAGAGATCCAATTGCCTTAGACCAACCTAAATCAAATTAAATGATTAAATAATTTTTTAATATCACAAAATCTTTATTTGTACAATATTAAAAAAATATTTGAACAGAAAATTTATGAAATAATATTTTACTGAATACTTGGATCCACTGTTATTTGAATAATAAAGCCCAAGAAATTTCAAAGCTGAAATATAAAATATTTTAGAAATCTAAACTTTTATTGAATCATATTCAGTTTGGTTTTGAGAAAATTTTCAATAAATCAAAATTAACGAAGACAAACCATTTCCTGTCTGAGAACAGCCAATTGAGCATCAAGAGATGACGACGTCCTGACTGACGAAATTGGCAGACGGGACGAGGAGCTCTGGTGTTGCAAACTGACAGGCGGAGGCGGCACCGGCGGTGCATGCCTCTTGGTGGAAGGGCGTGGCGGAGGCGGATTTCGAGGTGGGGCTGGCGGCGGGTTCCTCGGGGGAGGCGTTGGTCTCTGGCGAGTCGGTTGCTGCTGCAACTGCTGCTGTTTGAGCATCTCCTCCTGCAGAAGGGCCAGGTTGTCCTTGTCGAAGGCACCGCTGAGGCTTTTTGGCAAAGGGGGCAAGGTGAACGGCATCGAAGGTGGAGACGACATTTTACATAAGTTATCCTGCCAAAATAATCATTTTAAAATCAAACCATTTTTCCAACGTCCATTTCGGTTCATTACCTTAAATTTACAATTTGTGAGGTACAAGCGTTTTATTCTTTGAACTTCCACTCCTGGCGGCACATGGGACAAAGACTGTGAACTTGGTTTGAGTTGAGCCACTTCATAATGCAGTGAATGTGGAAACAATGGGAGCACTGGCCCCACACTGAAAAGAGAAAAGAAAAAATTACGATAAAAGTTGTGCAGTCAACCAAAAAAACACAATATACTTTTTGAAGTTGATTTTTTTGTTCTCAAATAATAAAAATATATTAATCCGGATTTAAAAGTTGCGTTACTGTTTGATAAAATATATTTAAAAAATAAAAACATCAACAAAGAGATGACCCAAAAACTGGGGAGACTATTATTATTGTATTGAATTCAGATTAAAACGTTTGATATTTTCATATTTCGTTTAACAAAAAAACTGAAATTACCAAGAGGACAATCATCGCCGGGCAATTTGCACTCAGGACAGCAACCATCGAAGGGCATGCGACAAATGCCGCAATTCTCGTCGTTTGCCACCCAACGCCAAGTTGCGACTCCGGCCCAACCTGCGAGCAAATTTTTGTAGTTTGCAAAGGCGTCATGTATTATGCTAATAGCAGAGTATACACTCACACTTGATGGTCACTTTCATTTCTCCGTCATTAGGCGTCGAAACATTAAATAAATCAAACGAGACGGCCGCGGGGCGACGGAGAAAGTGATTTTGCGAAAGGTGCGCACGCCCTGGACCTGAAAACAAACGGCACCTGCTCGAAAAATTATTAATGTTTGTCTTCAGAAAATGACTTGTGAGGAATAATGTGTTACGGGTACCTCTAATATTGACGAAGTCTCGCAACGGAAATAATAAAATGTAGAGAATCGGCTTTCGAGCTGTCAGAAGAAGTGCAAAACAAACACCTCCGTGACACGCCCCTGTCCCCTTTTGAGGGAGTTTTGGCGCGAGAGGTTTAAATGTTTTTGCAATAAGGAGATGTGTGTGGTGTCATATTAATTTAAAAAATTCCAAACTCTTTCAATCCCATAAATATTCAATATTCAGAGTATTTATTGATAATATTAAATATTTTTAATTATAAATTTGGGTACAAAGAATATATCATTTTATTACAATATTATTTTAATTCTTTTTACAGCTTTTTAATTTTTCCATTTTTTTACACACAATTTTTACGTATAAAGTTAAATTATAATTTCCATTTTTGGTATTGATTATTCGTTGCAGTCACTCCCAAGATCGGCAAGGTCAATTTGCTGGACTCTTTTCAGCCGTGTCAAAGCTGTCCCTCTTTTCTCTCGTAGGTGAATCACAAAACCAGTAGTTGAAACGCCGATTATTAAAATAGCGATAATAATAACGCACACTATCACAGTTTTATAGGAATTGTCATCTTCAAACCAATCAGAGTTTGAGTCAAAACAGTAATAAAACACGACAGCTGCTATTTTCATCAGCAACAGCATCAGCAATAGTCCTGCTGTAATTGCGCCTCTGATTTTTACTGCAAATTTACGTTTGATTCCTAGAAAAAATTTTAAGTTTTAAGACAAAAGTTAGAAGAAAATAATGTTATCATATTACGCTTTTCGTGCATATCATGATCACTTTGATCATCCATATTGCAGAGATGTGTGATCAAATACGGGATGAGGATTCGATTTGTATCTGGTTTAGTCTGATTTGTGTTGCTCAAAAGAAGCAAATATTACACCACCTGAAAGAAAATCAATATTAATTTTTAAAGAATCCTTATATTGTCTAATTCTTAGGCTGTAGCACTGCAGCAGATGATTATTAATAATAATTAATGTAATAAATAACAACTTCATAAACAAAAAATTGCAAAAAATAAAAATAAATGATTTGTAGGTTATTTACCGATCAAAAAGGGTGTGTATTGATTGACGCTTTACAGAGGACATGTTAAAACAGTTAAAACAAGAAAAATTAAAAGACAGTATTATGCCAGTTTAAAATAGACTAATGCACTTGCAGATCGAGGGATTTGAATGTTTTATACGTTTTATAAGACAAAAATTCGTAATATATATAACCTTGTAATAAAAATGACAAATTAGTAAAACCTTACGCTGCAAAAGGTGGCGCATTATCTTGTCCGCTCAATCAAACATAATTTGTGAGAAGACAGAAGAAAATCGATTGCATTGTTTTTCTTCTTCATATGAATTGCTTCTACTGAGGATGAATAAGTTGAATTCCTTCTCTGTTCATAAACCGATGGTATTTACCGTTCGTTTTATTTTACTTCTTATCTTATCACGTTTATGCGCGGTGTACTTGCACTTGCCTCGAAGTAAATCTGTGAGTAAAAAGGTAAACAACCACCATCTGATCTGTGACCTTGAAATAGATAAGAATGAGGGGTTTCTACTGGTTGATTAGAAAAGTGGAAATAGCCAGAGGGGTGGCAGGCGGCGGCAACAATGTGGAAACGTCGCGGTCAAAATTTTCAAATCCCGGCCTTGCGCATGCGCACTCCGGTGTAACAACAGATCCAAGATGGTGCTGGAAAGTACTATGATCTGGTAAGTCTGACCGAATTTCCCAAAATTTGGCGTTTTATCGAAATATTTTTGAAAAACCGAGTGCAATCTAGAAGACCGAAAGTATTCTGCATCTGAAAAAGTCAAATGTTTCGTTGTAGAAATTACAATCGTGTCAGAAATCGTACATTTAAATTTGACGGGTCAATGACTCAACAGCTTTCCAAAGGAAGATGAAAACAAATCTTAAAAAATATTATTCTGAAGTGTTTTAAACCGAACTCAATGTATTTTTTGCTTTCAGCGTCGACAACAGCGATTATATGAGAAATGGAGACTTTTTGCCAACACGAATGCAAGCTCAGCAAGACGCCGTCAGCATGGTCTGCCATTCGAAAACGAGATCCAACCCTGAGAACAACGTTGGACTGCTCACCATGGCTAAGTGCGTAAATTTGTATTATTGCTCTAACGAAATTCCTTATTAAATTCTGGTACTGCAGTGTTGAGGTCCTTGCAACTCTAACCACGGATGTTGGCCGCATCATGTCAAAACTGCATCAAGTTCAGCCGAACGGATACATTAGCCTTTTAACTGGAATTCGCATTGCCCACGTAATAAATTAATTAAAGAGAGATATTTATATGCTTAGCACTTATTTGCCTATTTTGGATTCCAGTTGGCACTCAAGCATCGCCAGGGCAAAAACCACAAAATGCGTATCGTTGCTTTTGTCGGCAGCCCTGTTGAGATGGAGGAAAAGGAACTGGTCAAGCTGGCCAAGAGACTAAAGAAAGAGAAGGTCAATGTTGACCTTGTTAGCTTTGGAGAGGAGGCAAGTTTTATAGCTTTTATTTTTTCCAGAGCTAATTTTTTTTATCAGGTGACTAATAATGATGTCCTCACTTCGTTCGTTAACACTCTGAACGGAAAGGAAGGAACTGGCAGCCACTTGGTCACTGTCCCACCAGGCCCACATCTTTCGGATGCTCTTCTGTCTTCCCCCATAATCCAAGTAATTTTTCCATTATTTCTCGACAAAGATTTTTATAACTTTTTTCAAAGGGAGAGGATGGAACTGGAGGCGCTGGACTTGGAACTTCAGGATTTGAGTTTGGCGTTGATCCCAATGAAGATCCTGAGTTGGCTCTTGTAATATAAATTTCTAAAATTTCTATTTTTATAAACTAAGCATTTAATACAGGCTCTGCGTGTTTCCATGGAAGAGCAACGTCAAAGGATGGAGGATGAAGCTAGACGCACTCAAGCCGAGTCGGCTCAAGCAGCCCCCGCTGCCACTGATGCTAGTGCCGAAGGTCAAATGATTATTAACAAACTTGAATTGTGCATTATAAAGAGATAATTAATAAATTTAGGAGGCGCTGATGATGCTCTGTTGGAACGTGCACTGGCCATGTCCATGGAAGGTGTTGACGAGTCTCGCAGTGCTGCTACTACTGGCTCTGCAATGCCCGACTTTGGGAGCATGACTGAGGAGGAGCAGATTGCTTTTGCCATGCGCATGTCCATGCAAGATGCCCGTGAGTCTTAATTAAAAATGAGTGAAATTCGGAATTGAAATTGAATTTTTTTGTGCAGAGGAAACGCCAATGGAAGTGGACGAGGGCACTGGAGGGGCAGCAGGTGGCGCGTCGGAAGATTACGCAGAGGTGATGAATGACCCTGAGTTTTTGCAAAGTGTCTTGGAAAACCTGCCTGGCGTGGACCCTCAGAGCGAGGCTGTGCGCCAGGCTGTCGACAATGTTGCCAAGGAAAAGAAAAAGCCTGCAGACAAAGATCAGTCCAAGAAGTAAACTTGCATTTATCTCACACAATTGAAATCCGATAGATATGAATGCTTGCAATATTCTTATTAAATAATTTCTCTGATCCTCTGCTGTGCAAGTGAATTCCACATTACGTGTTTATTTGAATTGTAATAAAATAATATTGCTTTAAAAAACCATTTTGATTTTACTTGAAGTTTTTGCAACATGACATATATAATTTTCAACTTAAATGTATTCTTTTGCGGTTTTATTGTTAGCAAATTTATCAGGAAAGTCATTGAACCGGGATATAATTAGAAATTTAGTCTTTGTGTGATTCACGGTATTTTGCTTTGCTCCATGTATGTAATAATAATTATTAGTGCGTGTCCTCAACTTTCAAATAAAAATATTCGCTCCCGCCAAATTCTGCACAGTTTTCAATGTACGCAAATTTATTAATAGGTACGAAAAGTTTGATGCAAACTGATACATTTTAAAACTAAAATTTTTATTCCTTGAAATGTGTTTTTAAGTTTTCAAATAAAAGAGTTTTATTTGAATTCGCAGCTGAAAAAGTCTTGATTTGACTCCAATGTTGAAGGGTGGACAATTAACTTCCGGGTTATGTCATTTCTCAGCTGGAAGTTGGCGACAGCAACTCAGGGTTAATAGAAAATAACCCTTTTTCCTCCTATCATGACACGTCCGTAATTTTTAAAGCTGTTTTCATTAAAATGTTAATTGTTGGAGATGTTATGAATCTGCATTGAATCGGATCGGAAGAGAAATGGCGACGTTAGACGAGTTGAAACTCGAAGTGGAGCGGCTGACCCGTGAACTGGACCAGGCGGTCAGCGAGAAGATCCAGTCGGCCCAGTATGGACTTGTTCTGCTCGAAGAAAAACAGGCCCTCGAACAGAAGGTCGAAGAGCTGGACAACATGTACGAAAACACCAGGAGTGAGCTCGAGATCACGCAAGAGGTTTGTCAAAAGCAATTTTACAAAGTGGCAAATGCACGCTCTGAAATGGTTTGTGACGATGAAAAAACTTTCGAAACTCAATATATTCAGAAGTTTGTGCGATTTTGACGCTTTAAATTTAAATTTTAAACATTAACATTATCCAATTTAAACTTCCATGAAATTAATAATTTCCTATTGTGATTTTACAGGCGCTCACAAAATTTCAAACCACCCACAAGGTCACAACCATGACTGGAATTGAACAGGAAGAATCACTTTTGAGTGAATCGGCTATGATGGAAAACTCTCTGAATTCGCAGATCCTCGACCTTGAAAATGAAACCAAATTCGTATGTTATAAAAAAATGCCACTTTTTTTTAAATAAACTAATTTAATTTTAATTCACAGATTCGAGCAGAACTTGAAAGGGTGAAAGCCGAGAAAGAGAGAATGATCAGCGAAAACAACAACTTGATTAAGAGCCAGGAAGAAAAAGAATGCGAACGGAAACAGCTGAGGTGTGAGCTTCGAGAAATCAAAAGCAGAGAAACAAGCCTGTTGACAGAGTATTCGGAACTGGAAGAAGAGAACATAACGCTGCAAAAACAAGTCTCTGCCCTGAAATCAAACCAGGTTGAGTTCGAAGGTGTCAAGCACGAGGCTCGACGTTTGGGAGAAGATGTGGATTTGCTCCATCAGCAGGTTAATGAACTGAGCTGCCTGAAAAAGATAGCAGAAAAGCAATTGGAAGAAGCTTTAAACAGCTTGCAGGTATTTACCATTTAATTGCATAAGATCAATAATACTAATAATAATAATGTCAACCCATTTTTAAAATAAATCATTTCCAGGCTGAGAGAGAAGCAAAGTATGCCTTGAAGAAAGAACTGGACCAGAGAATGAATAGCCAATCAATGTACAACCTGAGCAATCTTGCTCTTAGCATCAGAGGTTTTTAAAATTATTTTAACTAATTATATGAATTCTATTTAAAAATCCTATTCCTTCAGGTCTTGCAGAAGGTTCGGGTCTGGGAAGTGACGGAGAAGAGGATGAATTGCCTGAGTTGAGACGCATAGAGGCCGATTTGCAGTCGGACGAAAACGCTCCCAAGAACAAAGACAACAAGCAGGTCGACCTGTTCAGTGAAATCCACTTGAATGAGTTGCAGCGATTGGAAAAGGCTGTTGAGCAGGCAGAGACCGACAAACAACTTCTGACTCAGAGCTTGCGAGATGCTCAAGGGCAATCCGAAAAAAGTCAGGCCGAGTTACAAGGCTTGAGCGCTCGTATTGCCACCCTGAGTGCCCACGTCGAAAGCCTCCTCTCCCTCAAGAAACGTCTTTTACCTGATGGAGTTCCAGTAATTGTTTGTTTTCTTAAATAACATCATTTTATATGTTCAAATATTTACTTCCAGCCTTCTGATGTTGTTGCTCTGAAAGACTGGTGTGCATTGTCAAGTCAAGAAATCCAAGAGTTGCAGAAACAGCTGGCTGATCTGGAATCTGGTCTCAACTTCTCGGAGACTGCCCAACAACTCAGAGAGGACATTGCTAACCTGAAGGGAAAGGTTTGTTTGATCTAAATTATCCTTCATTTACAAAAATTACATGATTTTGTATGCAGCTTTTGGACGCCGAGCAGAGAGCAAGAGGAATGTCTGCAGACTCAGTCGTTCTGGCCGAACTTACGGCTGAGGCGAGCAAGGCCTTCGACGCAGCTCAAACTGGCCTGAGCACCACCTGTGATGAACTAGCCACCCTCTACCACCACGTGTGTACTGTGAATGGAGAAACTCCGTCCAGAGTCATGCTGGATCACGAGAAGCACTTGAATGAAGGTATGTTTATTTGAAGAAAAAATAAATAAATTTCCGTCTGTTTAATCATTGATTTTATGATAGATGGCAAAATAAAAGCTGAAGAGACGGAAAACAAAATCAGTTGCCGACTTGACGAAATTAGGTCCAAACTCCAAGCTGGAGGCAACACTGCTGGTCTGGAGGGTCTGTGTGAAGCAGCAAACTTAGCACGCAGTGTCGAAACTGCGCTTGACCAAGTTAGACACTTGAGCAAGGCAGTTTACCACACTTTGGAACAAGGAAAGGGATCGCGCACAGAAGAAGGTACTTTTTTTGAAAGTTCAGAATTCGAAAATGTTGAATCTGCTTTTTTTCTAGTCTCGAGAGACTCTGCGGAAGCCGATGATCTCAGCGAACAGGTCATCAAACTGAAGGCTCTTCTTTCGACCAAGAGAGAACAAATTGCCACTCTAAGAACGGTCATTAAATCCAACAAAAACACCGCTGAGGTTGCCTTAACCAACCTGAAGTCCAAGTATGAGACAGAGAAGGCTATTGTCAACGAGACCATGACCAAGTTGCGCAATGAACTCCGAGTGCTCAAGGAGGATGCAGCAACTTTCTCAAGTAAGAAATGATTTGAAATTTAATTGATACAACTCCCTGATGATAATTAACAAAATATGAACTAAAAGTTTTAAATAACAGCCTATGTAGATTTTATTATAAATTGTCTTTTACAGGCCTGAGAGCCATGTTTGCTGCTCGCTGCGAGGAATATGTAACTCAAGTGGACGAGCTGCAGAGACAACTGGCAGCCGCCGAAGATGAGAAGAAAACGCTGAACCAGCTGCTGCGTCTGGCCGTGCAACAGAAACTGGGATTGACGCAACGGTTGGAGGAGCTGGAGGTGGACCGCGAGATGCGAAACGCGCGCGGCCGCCATGTGCAGGCGCAGAGGGGCGCGCCAGGTCCAGGTCGGGTCGGAAACCGACCCACTCGTCCTCATCGTAGTGGTGCTGGTGATTTCTTTTAGCCCTTCCTGTAAGAAATACACAACTAACTTCCTTCCTTGAAGCTACGCAACATAGAAATCTCTCAGAACCAGTCGCCCTAGTCGTCGAGGGTGAGCTAGATTCTGAATTAATGTCCAAGTAAATTGTACCGTCCCTGTTTTTGGTGGTGGCGAGTTGGTTTTTTTACGGTTATATATACATACACATAACAATCGCATTTTTATTGTACTGGGGGTTGATTCGATCGGTCAGTGACCAATACCACTGACTTGGAACGCCATTGCAAGAAGATCGTCATAGTGTGATAAATGTTCTAATTTATTGGCAACTATGCATAAATAATTACCACTGGAAGGTGTGACAAAAAGACGCGGAACATGAGGAATAGTTTTATATTTTCTACGCACCTTTTCTTTTTAATGAAAAGGTCTAGAGATGATTTGCTCTCCGGATAAACATATTCTTGTAGGTCACAAAGAGGCCACAATCTGCTATTCTTCACTGAGGATTTTTCTCTCCTGTTTTCTGTTGATTTTGAAGTTTAAATATTTTTCTTTTTTTAATAATATCTGGGATATCTATATTCCGACCAAAGTAAAGCTTATAAGACTATTCTTATTTGTTGAAGAAATGTTTATTGGGTGCATTGCTTTTGGGCTTTTCCATGAATTGTGATAAAAAAAAAACTATGTACTACAAATCGAAAGAACTCCATGCCAAGTGCATCTCTTTTTGCTCTTTATTAATTTCCTTTGCTGACAATATATTCTTCCATTGGTAGATCTTAGTCAAACAATATCACCGAGTCGCATATCTCTAGTGGCTCCTTATTTCAACTTTACTATACTTACTAGTCTGAGTGAATTCGTTGACAGTCTTTGACAATTTTTTGAACTAGCTGAGTTGAGCAAAATACTAAAAAAAAAAACAATATTTAGTAGATTTGAATCAATTTGAATTATTATTGCCTGTGAAAATGAGGGGATATTAAGATAAAAACTTAGTTAATTCGTACTTTAAAAGAAAGAATTAAGTGGTTTTTCTTTTACAAATGAAACTAATGCAACTCAATTATCCACCAAGGTTACACCTAGTAATAGTTAATCAAAGCAATGTTACGTCTATTTGTTGCTTTCTAATTAATTGCATTAAACATGATTATGGTAGCTGTGTAGTTGGACTGGTTGTAAGGTTATTAAAATATTGAATTATGATAATTGTACCATGCACTCTTTTTCTTTAATTTATTAAAAATGTATTTAAATAATATTACTTATCATGTTAATGATCAGTGCACCTAACGCATTATATGAGCTAGCCTTTTTACCTGAAATATTTTTTAATGTTCATGAGGTAATAATTAAAAGAATCTGTTGAAAATAATTAAAACAGTGACTTTTATTTTAATTTTTAATTTATTGTCACTTCATTCTTTCAAAACCAACAATAATAACAGCGAGAATTGACGGAGAAAATAAATATAACACAAGTTGAACTTTTTTTGCTTTCAAAAATTCTTCACTTTGAGGGCACCCCACGTTGGTTGTGCCACCACGTGACTAGAACCTCTCTTTTCATCCACAAACCTTGTCCGTACATAGCCCAGAAAATGCCAAAGAGGGCACCGCCGAGGTGGGCCGCGTGGTCGAAGAAGCGCCACCGGAGCACCATGCCCACCGAGTCCATCAGGAGCAAACACTTGATGGCCATTTCTCCTGTGAAGTTGAACTGTGGCAGGAAGATAATGGACAGTCGAATGTCAGGGTGCGCTGTGCAGACATAGCCAAGGATGGCCATGATGGCACCAGAGGCTCCCAAAGACCTGCCAGGGAACTTTGTTGAAACTTTGTAAAGGTGACTGACCAAAGAGGACACAACCCCTGAGGTCAGGTAGAGTCCCAGGAACTGCTCCTTGCCCAGTGAAGCGACCGCCCCTGAGCAGAAGCTGTGCAGGACAAACATGTTAGTCGCCAGGTGGAAGGCAGATTGGTGGCTGAAGGTGGAGAGCAGCATTGGCCAGCAAACGGCTCTTTGGGCAGGGTCGGCGCTGAAGAAGCGGTACATGAAGGGCTGCAGTCGAGGAAGTTGCCAGGCGCAGAAAATGGCAACGTTGCATGCGAGAATGGGCACGAAAATCCTCTGCCCTTCGGTCAGGTTGTTCCACCAGCCGTTGACGTGCTGTCTGAAGGTGCCTGTCTTCCTGACCCTTGGCTGCAGAAGAGTTGAGAAGTCTTGTCGTTGGATCACCTTGGACCTGAGGCCTTCGTACTGCCACAGGCTGGCGCCGACGAAACACGTTGAGCCCACCACGCCGGTGAACAACACGGGCTTGAGAATGTTCCTCGAAGGGTTCTCACTGCTCGGCGCAACTTTGCCCATTCGGAAAAAGCGCAGGTGTCCTCCGCAGGGAGGCCGAAACAGGCGCCGCTGCGCCAAACTCAGCATTTTGCAACGCACTCTTCACTCCGTTAGCAAATATCGACTCGGTAGGTCGTCTGGAATAATTCATAAGATCAGTTCTATAGAAATATTAAATGATTGCATCACTATTTAATCAAATACTTACCAAAACTGACCAAAACATTAAAAAAATGCTAGACCAAACAGGGATGGCAATCATAACATTGTGGATTGTGCTGCGGAGACGCCCCTCTTTTGGCAAGTGACCAATGAAATGCAATGTTGAGTCTCACGCACCAATCACGTGCTGGGATTTGAATCTAAGTGGCGGCAACAGGCAACATGACAAGAATTTTGCTGCATAGACATTTTGTAAAAATAAAATTATGTATTTATTTAATTTTGAATGTATAAATGATGTATCCCGTTATGGGCAGCAATTGTTTATTGGATCAATAAACACAATTTGCAACTATTTATCTTGTCATAGCATCACAGCATCTAACGAAATCTGCACCTATCAAGGAAATTACGTAATAAGTACGTTGATTATTATCTGCAGCCGTGTTAAAAGGAGCGGGAGTATTTTCTCTAGGGCAAGAGTGTTGTTGTTTTTTATTTGTCTTTTGGTTGGCCAGGTTTACATTATTCTGGCTGTTTTTGTTATTATTATTATCGATTATTATTATTATATTTTTTTTAATCTAACTTGCCAAAGACATGAATGCTCAGGAAAGAATTTAAATGCAAGAGAATTTTAAAAACATTGTTGTTATAACAAGTAGATGTACTTGTAATTGTTGCAAGATATATTTGTGAACTGTAACACAACAATAACAATTAAAATATAATATAATTTAGCTAGAGGGCGCGTTAACAATTTTTGATAATTCAAAAAAAGAAAATTTAAATTCTCTTCCGACGGCCGAAGTTTTATGTAAGTATTTTCTATGTCTAATTATTTGAAAATTAATTCGCGAATGAGAATTCTCATGCCCCGACTCTCTCCTGCAGTGGAGAATCGTTGCACAGGGTCTCTTGCATGAGAATCTTTGTAAGAATTTTGCTACAGAATCTTTGCAAGAATTTTTGCTTGATGAAGTACGTTGCACAAATTGATTCTGAGCAAGAATTCTTGCAAGGATTTTCAAACAAGAGTTCCTGTACAACGATATTCTTCACCGCATGAGTGAATCGATACAAGAGAATTATCAATCGAGAACTCGTATTTTATTCTGCATTTTTCATTTACCCTTTTTTTTATAGCAAGCCAAGAAAGTTATGAAGATGGCCCTGGAAATCGAAAAGGTGCCGGCCGAGGACTCACCCCTGAATCACGCGGATTTGGAGCAAGATATCAAAGGGCTGCCGGCTGGAGCCTCCAGTGCCAGATCATTGCCTAGTCTGGCGGAGCTGCCTCTTAAAAGCAAGCTGAAAAGGGCTCAATCCCTCTTTGCTGCTAACAGGAGGCGGCTTGGCCACCGCCAGACAATGGCCAACATCGCCATCGACTATGGGAGGCACTGGACTCACTGGAGGTAGAGGAAGTGACGCATTTTAAGGAGTTAGCGAAAGAGAAGAAGAAAATGCAAAGGAAGAAATAAAGAAAAATTTCAATCTAAATATTCTGTTATTATTATTATTATATTTTTTTTTTTTTATGAAAAATACACAATAATATTTTAATCTATTTTTTTTTTTCACTGAATTACATAACATCTTCTAATGATCCGCTTCCTAAACAAGAAAATTTACCTCATGAGCTCAAGTTCACCTTCAGGCGGAATGAAGTTGATGGAGTGCTCGGTTTCACACTTGGAAACTTTGACGCACTGATGGAACTGACAGTCATCAAACACAACCACTAGTTTTCCAGACCTGGCCGAATCCTTGCAGGTTGTCACTTCCCTCGCCTTTAGCCTCCATTACAATTTTGTCGAGTTGATTCCGAACTTGCACTCGGGCATGCCAGACAGATCGCATGACAACTTTTTCCGCAACGTGGGCAGACAAGACTTGGTCTATATATAAACAAGAACAGTAAATATTAAAACTCTTTAAAATTCTATTTGTTAAAAAAACTGACCTTGCGGAGACATAAAAGCAGATTGACGATTGACATGCTCAGGGACGTCCAAGAAGCGTTCGTTGCGCCTGTACTAAATTCCCTCTCGTCGCCAACGGTACTGATTTGGCCTGCGCGGTTATCTAAGCTTGCTGATCGCCTCCTTCCTCTGCAACTGTTTGCCCTGCTGGGTGATGAAGTTCTTCGGCACACCAGTGTCGGTGTTCTGTCAATGGTTTTGTGGGCAACCAAAAGTCAGTAATCTGTAAAATTGCAAAGAAAAAATTATCGTCACCAAAAAGACGGTAAATTTATTATTTCAGCAATTGACATTCTTAACCTTTACTTAATTAATGAATACAAATTTTAAGTAAATTGCAAGATTAGTTATGCTTCAAAGACGATAGATTCAAAATGCATTAAATGCAAACAAAAATGTTAAAAATTAGTTATCCAAAAACGATGGATTAGAAGGGATTCACAAACCATCGATCGGCTTGTAGATAAGCAGGAAGTTATTCTTGATATTTTCCTCGGGAAATCGTTCCGAAATACTAACGGGGCGATGTTGTGGTGACCGGCGAGAGCGCACTTGCTGCCTCGCGTGGATGACGTGTTGTTGTGTCCGATGTCGTCCGTTACACCCGAGGGATGAGAACCTCCCGCTGAAATCGTCTCGAAATCCGATGCTTTTACATTTTGAGACCAGCTTTTCCGTCGAAAATATTCGAGTTATCGGCACAGCGCGACAAAGACCAAGTAGTGAATAAGTGCAAGCTCTGGCTCTCTCTCTCATAACTCATTAAAAATTTCATTATTTTTGTTGTTTTTTTGCTCCTAGTGAGGCGATCGGTGCTGCCACTGGAGAATTTTATAGAACCTAATGCAGCGAGCCAAGCGCGGCAAATTTGTCGTTTTGATCTTATTTTGTGGCTGGTGGATTGCAAGATACTTTGCTTTTTAATTATCATTATCACAAAATGACAAATTTATCATAATTATTTTAGCTTAAAGCATGATCTTGCAATACATTTTTGATCCCCCGATTTTCAAAAAAGAGAAATACAAGACGTGAAATAATTAAAAGAATGGAAAACATTAATTAAAGCGTTGAAAAAAAATATTCTACCTATAATTCTTTCCAGTTTTTACTGAAAATTAAATCATTTGCATGTTTGTACTTAAGTCTAATTAAAAAGAAATAAATTATTATTTTCTATACTTTTAATGAGTACTTAATGAGTACATGGCTATACAATTTTATAAACTAAAAACACCTGGGAACAATTATATTGGTTCACTCGGCAGCCACGGTCTCGGTGTAGAGGATTGAGGCAGTGAGTTCTCCTTGAGCATTTTTCTTGAGGTAAACTTGGCTCTTGGGCTCGGCTTCGATGAGAGTGACACGGACGAGCTCTCCATCAGAATTGAAGGACACTTCCTGCCCAACCTCGACCACTGTCAGTGTCTTGAGCTTGTTCTCCAGTGCAGTGAAGATATTGTCTGTCATCGTGAAGGCGCACTGGAAGTCTAAAGGCGCCTGCCTTTCAGACGTAGTTTTTGTCCGGTCTCGATCCCCATTCGAGTCATTACTTCGTCAGGGATGAGAACTCGGCGGGCGTGGCGTGCAAAAAATTTGCCGCTGAATCCGCAATGGAATGATTGCTCCTCGCCAGCAATCTTTGCGTGAAAGACGAGGTCCGTGTCTGCCTCGATATGTGTGGACAGTTTCGCCTCCTCGAGCCATGGCCTCACCTTCGAGCTGAACATCACCTTGTCGCTGTGCTGCGCGTCCTGATACCAGGGTTTTGATGTGAACTGCGTCACACTTGACAAGGGCATCGCGTGGAAAGTTTTGTACGGCATGACGCTGCTCTCAACCTGTAAAAAAACAAAAAAAAAAAACAAAAATTAAAATAAAATCTACATTCGATGAATTCGATCAACAAAAATTGGATGCTTGGGGGAAAAGTGTGTGGCCACACGTTGTGTATTATGAGAATTTGTTGCTGTTGCTGTGGAACTGCCCATGCATGAATTTAAATGTCAAGAGAATTTTTTTAAAACTCATGAATGCTCATGAAAAATAAGATTTTGTCAGGATTTAAATTAGTGCGCGCCCCAGTAAATTAGTGAGAAATTACTCCCACTCACCGGGAGCGCACAATAAGCAAAAATGAGCACCTAGTATGTGATGAGTGACGGCGGCGTCACTCATCACCACGGGACGAACCCACGCGGACGTTCTCGAGTATCACCTCCGTTAAAGGTATTTATGTAATAATTGTCTTTGGATATTTAATAATAACAATGACTTCCCTGGGTATCACATTTGTTTAATTAACTATTCCCATAGGATCTAGCACCGTCAGGGCTTAACCCTGACAATTTTCCGTAAACAATTCATAATTACGCGGACCTAACCTAATTGTGAGTACTGAGGAGTAATTAAAATATGTTTGATTTCTGATTACTTTGATGAATGATCGAATTCTTGTTGGATCGAATCGACGCCGTGAGAGCACAACGCTGGACGCTGGGGAATCACCAACGACAACGAGCAACGACTTTTTTCGCGTGCGTAATGCGTTAGTGTTTTGTTTTTCGATTTGAATTTTAATCTATTGAAATCGGGGTGGGGGAAGAGCGATTGTTTGTTTTTGTTGCCGCCGTTGATGGGCGGCCGTATATGCGGGATAAAAACAGAACAGAATCATGACAATAAATTAAAAATGACAGATATAACAATAAATAAATTCAAATAATCTTATATCGAATTCACAATATATCACCAAGCGTCGAAAAGGAAATTTAAATAGATGCTGCGCGTACTTTCTCGGTTTTCTTGATGCAACACACGAAAGATGATAATTATGATGATATAGTTCAGACAGTTTCAGCACTGCAGACGTGAGTGACTTTTTTGGAGAATGAATGGAAGGTGCAGGGTGTCGCACACACTGTCAGGTATGAGGATGGGAAGGGATTGGTAGGTAAACTTAAGCTGCATGGGTGTACGATATCTGCACCTCCGATTCATTCTCTGAGAGCCGAAGAAGACACTTCTTGCATCTGCATATGGTGCAAAAAATTTCTCACAAAAAAAAAAATAAAACAATCATCTCATATATCGTGTGTTGAAACACACAGCGCCTATCTAAATTTCTTATCTACAACCTCATGAATCTCATGATAGATTGCAAATGCAACTAGAACAAATTATTTCACCTCGAGTGCCAAAAGGGTCCTGGAAGTCTAAAAAACGGGCCTCTGGGAGGCGCCTGCTTTTCAGACGTAGTTTTTGTCCAGTCTCGATCCCCATTCGAGTCATGACTTCGTCAGGGATGAGGACTCGGCGGGCGTGGCGAGCAAAAAATTTGCCGCTGAATCCGCAATGGAATGATTGCTCCTCGCCAGCAATCTTCGCGTGAAAGACGAGCTCCGTGTCTGCCTCGATACGTGTGGACATTTTGGCCTCCTCAAGCCATGGCCTCACCTTAGAGCTGAACAACACCTTGTCGCTGTGCTGCACCTCCTGATACCAGGGTGTTTTGATGTGAACTGCGTCACACTGGACAAGGCCATCGCGTGGAAAGTTTTGTAAGGCATGACGCTGCTCTCAACCTGTAAAAAAACAAAAAAAAACAAAAATTAAAATAAAATCTACATTCGATGAATTCGATCAACAAAAATTGGATGCTTGGGGGAAAAGTGTGTGGCCACACGTTGTGTATTATGAGAATTTGTTGCTGTTGCTGTGGAACTGCCCATGCATGAATTTAAATGTCAAGAGAATTTTTTAAAACACATGAATGCTCATGAAAAATAAGATTTTCCGTAAACAATTCATAATTACGCGGACCTAACCTTATTGTGAGTACTGAGGAGTAATTAAAATATGTTTGATTTCTGATTACTTTGATGAATGATCGAATCGACGCAGTGACGAGCACAACGCTGGACGCTGGGGAATCACCAACGACAACGAGCAACGACTTTTTTCGCGTGCGTAATGCGTTAGTGTTTTGTTTTTCGATTTGAATCTATTGAAATCGGGGTGGGGGAAGAGCGATTGTTTGTTTTTGTTACCGTTGTTGATGGGCGGCAGTATGCGGGATATAAACAACAGAATCATGACAATAAATAAAAAATGACAGATATAACAATATATAAATTCAAATAATCTTATATCGAATTCACAATATATCACGAAGCGTCGAAAAGGAAATTTAAATAGATTCTGCGCGTACTTTCTCTGTTTTCTTGATGCAACACACGAAAGATGATAATTATTATGATATAGTTCAGACAGTTTCAGCACTGCAGACGTGAGTGACTTTTTTGGAGAATGAATGAAAGGTGCAGGTGTCGCACACACCGTCAGGTATGAGGATGGGAAAGGATTGGTAGGTAAACTTAAGCTGCATGGGTGTGCGATATCTGCACCTCCGATTCATTCTCTGAGAGCCGAAGAAGACACTTCTTGCATCTGCATGTCGCGTGTAATTATTTTTCCTAACTCACAACGACAAAAGATGGGTAAAATGCCGGAGGCAATGAAATCACCTCAAGTTACATATAAAAAGTAACAAATTATTTTATTTCAAATTTCTCAATTAATTATACACAGCAATCAATTCTACAATTTTTTTTAACGCCGCCACACAAGTCGCCCCAGGAAACATGGAGTATTTGAAAATATATGAATTATTTGGTGAATATTTTGGTTATATTTTAAATATTTGTATTTGCAGATTTAAATAATTGCAAAAAATCTTTTTGGAATAATTATAGGCAAATATAACATAAATATAAATTAGCGAATGCTAAATTTCCATTTAAATGTATGTGAAATTTTTTGCGAATATTTTGGTAGAAATATAATGGTTTCGCTTCTTGACCGCTGTGGCGCTGCCGGCGCTGTTATCGGCTTTGTTTATCATCAAAAGCAATTTGAATTGGGGAGTCGCGAATTTTGTAATCCGACAAATTTAATCACCTTTTTTGACTGAAGATGCGACTTGAATCCGTCAAAATTCATCTCGACTATGAAATTAAGGTAACAACTGTAGAAATTGACAATTCGTTAGCTTAATAATCTAACTTTTAGCTCGAATTATGTATGCAAAATGCAAACACTTGCCAGGAGGCGGCCTGCCTTTGGCTCTCGGCGTGCAAGAGCAGCAAAAACCGGTCGCCTATTTCTCAAAACGGCCGGCGGCCGCGCGAGGCCAAAGGCTGAAGATGATTCAAGTTGGAAATAACACCGTCTCCCCCCAGCCTTGCACAAACATCCTTGAAGGAAGAGCCTGGACTTTTGCAAGTGTCGGAGTCGGACAACGGGATGGTCAAGACCCTGAATTTTCCAGAGATTGCGACAGATCAGAGCAGCGCGCCTACATATCTGAATTTAATGTGAGTGATATTCGCTTTGATAAGAACGTAGTTAATTTTCAAAACTCCAATTTATAAATTGGTTTTCATTTTTGCAGCTGGAAGTTATAAAATTAATATTCAAGGCAAAAAATCCATTTTTTAATTTTTTGACTATTTAATTTTTTTCTTTTTTGCAGTTGTCTTGGACACTTCTCAAAATGCAATTTGTGGACTTGCCAGCGTGGTGGCTCAGCACCAGCAGCAAAATTTGGGAATCTGGCAGTTACAGAAAAAGGAAAAGAAACATCGGACTTTGGTTCGTCAAAAAAATATATATATTTTATATAAAGCAAAATTGAAATTTTTTTTAAACAAATTTCAACAATTTGTTGCAAATTTTGAACATATCTCTTGGTTATGATTCTAAAATAACTCTGATTAATGATAAAATCTGGTTCAAACTGAAATTTTGAAATTTACGCCTTGTTAATAATTGAAAATGAGAAAATCTGATCGATTTTTCATTCTCTGCACTAAAAAAATTTGTACTGTGAAACTTTTTTTGTCATTCAATTTTTTTAATAAGTCACTTGTATTTAAAATTCTAATTCATTTTACTGTGCAGGCTGTGCAGCAATCATTACTTTTTGGGCCTCATCCGTAAACTCCACAAGTTGTTTCTTTTTTTAAGCAGCGCATTTACAAAATGAACGAATTAGTCGAATGAAGGAGTTGAAATTTCAAAGCAAACAAATAAGAGATGCAGCCAAGCCGACATCTTTTCGTTGGCAAATGGAGGCTTCAAAATTAAGTGAACGAGTGTGAGCCCACCCCCTTGGGCCCCTTGCATCTTAAGGGTGTGTCTAAATTTGCGGAAAAGTACTGCACACCAGTCATACCAAAGCCAAAACAGGGCACCTCCTGCAATAAGCAATACTGATTTTGGCGAATTCTACCCCTCGTCAAATACCCTGACGCTCCTTTCACGCACCTCATATTGCCAGGGGTAACTCATCTCAGGTGGAATTCCCCAATTCACCAATTGGTATTGCCCATTGCATAGGAAGAAGTGCCCTATTTTGCTTTGGTAAGACTGGTATGAAGTCTTTTTGGCAAAATTGGTGCCCACTCTTATATGAGAGGCCAAACGGATCGGGGCACATTTTTTTCGGTGCCAATGAAGTAGCTTATATTGTAGCCCCCATGTTCCTTAACGGTGCAACCCCGGAATTATATTTTATTTCTTAATTCTTTTAGGAAATAATTTCTTTTATCCAAATAGAATTAATTAACGCACTGCAAAAGTTTTTTGTTTTTTGTGGAAATTTTTACAAGTAATATTAAATTTGCAATTTTGCTTAAGTTTAAAAATAAATCTCTGAAAGAAAATTCAACATATAATTGATCTAATTTTTAGCCAAAGTTTTTGTGAAAATTATTTTATTTTTTACTTTTTTTTAATTTTGAACATCTTTGGCGATGCATGCGGATTAAATTTTAATCTTCTAAAAAATTAACATTCTAAAAATGCATTAAGTATTTTCTTCTCTTTGTTTTCTGTTTAATAAAAGCGTCCATGGGGATCGTTCGAGCATTTCATTTTTTGCTATTTTAGAGTCACTGAAATTTGCCGATAATTTCTAGATATTTACGAGGTGGCCTGAGTAATATATTTTAGATATTAATTTCTAACTTTTTAAAATGCTTTGTTCTTAACGGCTCCTTCACTCGACAAACAAATTGCGCTTGAATCAATAAAAAATGTGTTAACCTTGAAGTGATACCCCAATTTTGATGGAACTTGTTTTGCAGCCAACTTCCTTGCTTATAATTCATACTGATAAAAACAAACATACTTGAAAGAAGATAATGGGTTGCTGTTAAAAATTATGTCATGTTCACGTTTTTTATTTTTGAGTTTATTTTAAGTTTTAAACCTGTGTTAATTAATAATTGAGATATTAATTTAAAAAAATAAACTAAAGCAAGAGTTGTGCAGTGCTTAATTACTTTTAAAGGAAATAAACAACATGTCCATGAGCAGTGTGCAAAAATTGTTTCAGAGCTCCTTAGGGCTGTGTGTTTTAAACAAACTAAGAAAACATTTCCATTGAAGTGGTGTATCTCACTTAAATAATTATATAATAATATTTTGAAAATTATTTTTTCTTTCTTTTTAATCTTAATATCATATATGTTTTTGAGATTCTATTTTACATGTAAATGTTCGTTGTATTTTGTATGTTTAAAATTTTGTATTTGTCTGATTTTATAGAAATAAAGATGCATGTATTGCAAAGGACTGTGTTTTAAATATAATTCCATATTCCATGAATAATCTATAAATATTCACAAATATTCCATAAATAAAAGAAATATTCACAAATATTTGAAAGCAAACAATTGACCCGCGACCGAAAAATCATATTGTGCTTGCCAAATATTCAACAAACATTCCACAAACATAAATATAATAATATTCAGGAAGCTTTAAAAAATGTTACATCCTAATATTCGGGAATATTTGTAGCCAAATATTTCCAAATATACAGGAATATTCAGCAAATACTCCACAAATACTTAATGTTTCCTGGGGCTATTCTCAAAGGGTCGGTAGTCTAGGGAAAATTATTTAAGGGAAAAATGCAATGTTGGGGAACAAATATGGCTGACGCCTCGTGGCGACGCCGAGGGTTAATTTCAATTTAATGGGCAAAAAACAATTAATTTTAATCAAAAATGACGGAAAACTTCGCGTCCTCAACGCTCTGGCGGAGTCGCGGATTCACGTCCTTAATTAAACACAAAAGGAATTTCACTACTTTGGCAATTCAAACTACATGGGCAAAAATAAGGGCAACCGTCACACACAGCAAACCAGCCGGTGACGAGAAGCAACCTGATACATACCAATAATTATCTGGGCACTTAACCGGGCCTTCACCAGCCCTCAGTGTGCATCCCAAACAATTATCTCGCACCTTTGAGTCTGTCGGCTCACGAAATAGTCCATACTCGCTGACTACCGATTTCCAACTGACGGCACTGACGCTTCAATTTCAAATCTGGCCGGCGTCTCTTTTTGATCGCCTGTTCGCTTTCGGCCAATCAGAAGCGTCGATTCAAATCAGCTCGGGGTCTGGGCCAATGAGGGTGGGAGGAACTATTTTGGAACGGCGTAGGGAAGAAAAGGGCACCGGGCGTAACGTGCGCTGCGGCTTTTACACCTCAGATTTCTAATTGATGATTTTAATTCGGGATAATTAACTCAAGGTCAGCGGGACAATTAAATAAAACGTGGGCGGGACTTCTGAGCGAGTTTTTATAACTAAAAACCTGCCATGCTTGTCAGAACTCGGGGTCCGCTCAGCCGCCGGCGAGCTCTTTTAGGGCAAAAATCGGGTCTTTTTGGGTCCGGGGGCCGTTAATTTTCTTATCAATTGGGTCGGGCGGGGCCAGTGAGTTGATACCAACCTTATTTTTAATCCTTTACAGTCACAAAACTTCCTTTTCAACCTTCTCGAAAAACTCGTCTCTCGCGTCTTGCGTGTTTACAAACGACTTGTCTCGGAGCAGTTTACCTTTCCCACTCGACCGGCAGGTGGCTGCACCAGTCTTCTTTTTGAAACTTTTCCCCGGCAGCTCACCTGCTGTGATATGCATATAGTGCAAAAAATTTCTCATAAAAATAAAAAAAACAATCATCTCATATTTCGTGTGTTGAAACACACAGCGCCTATCTAAATTTCTTATCCACAACCTCATGAATCTCATGATAGATTGCAAATGCAACTAGAACAAATTATTTCACCTCGAGTGCCAAAAGGGTCCTAGGCTTATTAACAAAACAACTACAAGAACCACTTTGGAAACTTAAGAGTGATTAAATTGAATTTTTCATTCGTCCCAACAATTTTTTTTTCGTTTTCAAAAACGGAACAAAATCTGTTTTAACAAGTTACTGATAATATAGAAGAAAATAAAACTTTTAAATAATTTTATTAAATTATTTAAGGTGTTTAGAAATTAACAAAATATGGCTCTTATAGTAACAAAGGTTGAAGTTATTTGCAAAATTTACTATTTTTCTACTGCATTCATCAGTGCCAAAGCAAAAACAACAGAAAAATAACTTTAAGGGAGTGAGAAGCCATTTTTTTTGTATCTACATCTCCCCATTTCTAAATTTATGTCAATTTTTTACTAATAAATTATCAGTAATGTTTTAACTGCGTACGGCCCACCGTAATCTTCCTATTGAAAATAAATTAAAAACAAACTAATGAAAAGAAAACGTACATATATGTAAATCTCAGTTATGCTTTCCCGCAACCATTGAAGAAACCAGATATAGATAAAAGTTCTATTAAAAAATATGATTAAGTTGACAGAATTCTATTAAGAGGATGAAAAAAGAATTTTGCATATAAGTGCCGTTCAGGTTTATTCATTATACCTGCAATTGCGACTAAAAATTGTAATCCTTAACAATCAAATTTCAAATTGTCCCATTTAGAGGAGGAAAAAAGAATTTTGCAAATAAGTGCCATTCATTCTGGCTGTTTTTATTATTATTAGATTTTTTTAAATCTAACTTGCCAAAGACATGAATGCTCAGGAAAGAATTAAATACAAGAGAATTTTAAAAAGATTGTTGTTACTTGTAATTGTTGCAAGATATATTTGTGAACTGTAACACAACAATAACAATTACAATATATAATTCAGCTAGAGGGCGCGCGTTAACAATTTTTGATGTCAACAAAAGAAAATTTAAATTCTCTTCAAAACTTATAGCGACGTTGACGGCCGAAGTTGTATGGAAGTATTTTCTATGTCTAATTATTTGAAAATTAATTCGCGAATGAGAATTCTCATGCCCCGACTCTCTCGCAATGATCTGGCACTGGAGGCTCCAGCCGGCGGCAGCCCTTTGATTTCTTGCTCCAAATCCGCGTGATTCAGGGGTGAGTCCTCGGCCGGCACCTTTTCGATTTCCAGGGCCATCTTCATTATTTTCTTGGCTTCCTATTTTAAAAAACGGTAAATGAAAAATGCAAAATAAAATACGAGTTCTCGATTGATAATTCTCTTGTAACAATTCACTCATGCGGTGAAGAGAATCGTTGTACAGGAACTCTTGTTTGAGAATCCTTGCAAGAATTCTTGCTCAGAATCAAAGGACGCCTTGATGGCCACCTCTTCGTAAGTGTCAAAGTTGGACGCGTCGCCCGGGCTGCTGCACTTGGGCCGGAACGGCGGCTCGGCCCGCCGGTGCAGGATCTGTTCCCAGTCGATTGGTCGGAACCACCGGTCCCGTTTGATGTCGGCGGCGCCGTCCTTCAGGTTGCCGAAACGCCGAGACAGGTCAAATCTGCAACAGCGATCAGATAAAAAATTTAGTGGAATTCTTGCTGGGAAATTATTGTGGAGTTTTATAATTAATCGTGTCTGCAAAATCTTTTACACAATAATTCTGCGTCCATTAATCAATTTGACCAGAAGCATTGCGGTTTGTATTTATAAGTAGTGCTTTCCATTCAATATATCTCTTATTTTTTAGATTATAGAAGAGTGTCAAAAAGGAATACAAATATATTTTATAAATTTAGCTGCAAAATTTAAAATTTTTGAAAAAAAAATATAATACTTTTTAATGAAATCTTGAATAAAAAAAACGCTATCAAAAATTTCACTTCAAAACAAAGAAAAAGCAAAATTACCACAGAAGAAAAGTGAAAAAACAGCAGGAAGTAAATTATTGAAAATTGCTGCGGAAAAATCTGGGAATTTACAAAAAAAACCTTGAGATTTTAATCTGCAGGAATGAAATTATATCAAAATTGCGATAAGAAGCTTGAAATTCAGAAGAAATGTGACTTTACTTCCTTGGCGCTCTCGGAGAGGCCAAGATGCGTCTGATCGGCAATGCAATTTTCTTATTGTTATTATTATTTTTGTTTCTTTATTGTATTGTTTATCTTACTAGCAATTTTTTCAACCTCGCCAGGAAAATATCAGGTGAGTCTCTCTGATTTATAATATGCAACAAATTCGCACAAAAATTGACAATAGCAAAAGTGCGGCGTGGGTCCTTTGGACAAAACCAGCAGCAAGGGGAATTATTCGAATTACGCCAAGCGCATCGTCGGCGGCACCACGGCCACAAAACATTCCCACCCTTGGGTAGTTCGTCTGCAGATTTGGGATAAAGTCTTGGAAAACGGCAAACCCGTTTATTTCACAAGCACGTGCGGTGGTACTTTGATCTCGAGCTTCTTCGTTCTCACCGCCGCTCATTGCATTGGCGAAACGTCTTCCTGGTCAGTGTTTTTTGATGAGTTTCACGGTGTGGACGCAGATAAATGGCACGTCGAAAAATTTGGAATAAAATACATATTCCTACATTATAAAAAAAACGCGATTCAGCAAAAAAAAATTTGTTATAGGTGGGTAGAAACAACAAATTAAATATTATTAAGTTGTTAATTAAAATCAATAAAAATGTATAATGTTGCAAGAAATAAATATTTTAGAATGTGTTATTTCATTAGTTTTGTGAAGTAAGAAACTAATATAATTTTTGTCCTTATAAGCCAAGCTGATATTAAATTTGGTGTTTATGTTAATTGCCGAAAAGACGAATTCAACTTTCGAAAATCAACATCCTGGTGTCCGGTCACCGGCGTATTAAAAATGTTTACGTCAGAACACGTCACCAAGCGAAACGCAGCCAAAATACTATTTTACTACTCTTTATGCAACGATCTCGAGCGTGAGTCACCGCTGCCGACCCATTCATAAAACCTGGAGCGCCCAATCCTGTTTCTCAGCGGCGCCCGCCTCGCTCTTTGGCTTACGTGATTCCCGGTAATCTAGAGAGGCTTTCTGCGAACTCGATCGCGAGAAGCTGGCTCGCGGCCACGCTGCAGCAAAGGAGCAAAGTGGGCTTTCTCAGTAATCGACTCTTGATCGCCTCCGACAATACTTAAAAAAATTTATTAACATAAACGTGCTCAATCTTTCAACAAATATGTAATAAAAATAAATTCTTCGATGCAGTTACAATTTTTTTAATTCGTTTGCATCTTATTTAGTTGTTAGCTGGAAACGTTAGAAAATTTTTGCGGAATAACATAACTGCAAGTGCAATTAAAAAATTATAATTATATTGTTTAATTTTTTATAAATATTAGTGAAATATAAATGAGTATATTTTAGAGCTCAGACTGAAATAAAATCTAATGTGATAAAATCATTATTATTATTGTTGTTTATTTGTCCACATTGTTACAAATTTTAATTAGAAATTTGAAAATAAAAAAAAATTATATTCTCTAGGTTCTTAAATAAAGCTGATAAAAAAAAATTTAATTCCAAATTTAACATGCCTAAAAAATTAATTTAGTTTTTTTTTTTTAAAATAAAAGAAAATATCGTGTGACTTTTTAAAGATATGAAAATACTGCAATAAAAAAATTGGAATTATTAATGTAAAATTTAATCAGATTAATGATAAATTAATTTTTTTAAATAAATTAAATCGCGAAGCAAATGCCATTAGTGCCGGCGCTCGTCTCTTGCGGTGGATGCAGCCTAGGCCCGACCCGCTGGTGCCTACGTCACGAGTTCCGAGAACTCGCGTCGTAAGTTTGAGCCAATGAGCGTTCGAGAAAATGACGTCAGTGCGCCGAAAATAGAGCGCATGAGTCAGTGAAATAAAGGCACGGTGGTTGCTGGAGGCTCAGTCAGTCGTCAGTCAGTCAGTTGTTTCCGCAGCGAGTGAGTGTGCGACGCCGCTCGGCACGCGAATCGTCAACCCTTTCTTTCAAGCGCAGAGTTACCATAGCAATAGCGATCGACGCCACAATGGCCGCACCGATGGGCAACAACCCCCCGATCAAGGTCGACCCCGCGTACTACGAGGAGCAACACCAGCAGTACCAGCCTCCGCAGGAACAGCAGCAGCAGCAGCAGGTCAACCGGCTCAAGCGCACCCTGACCCTCGACCTGAACAGGGCGCCGGCCTTCAAGAAGAGCAAGCTGGGCCAACAACCGGTGTTGTCGTCGCCCGACCTGCACATGCTCAAGTTGGCCTCTCCGGAGCTGGAACGGATCATCATGCAGAACCAGAACGGCTCGCTGACCACGCCCACGCCGTCGCTGCTGTTCCCGCGTTCCGTGACCGAGGAACAGGAGCTGTACGCGCGCGGCTTCGTCGACGCCCTCAACGAGCTGCACCACAGCGACTCGTCCAGCCAGATGGACGGGCCGCAGGCGCCCGACACCCCCGTCACCTACACCACCCTCGAGTCGCAGCCGCCCCTGCAGCAACAGCAGCAGCAGCAACACAACAACAACACCTCGCCGCCCAACCACCTCCTGCAAGGGTCAGTATCTTTGCGTACCTTTTTGCTCGACCAGCACGACCGCTGGTGTCCCGAGTGCTTTTGGCGGTGCTGCCTCTTCCAGCTCGTCAAATGCTGCGTCTGGGCAGTTTTCTTTCTCGTCCTCGCGCTCATCAACGCCTTCACCAGGCAGATCGCACAGGGTTTTTTCTACCCTGTGTGAAAAAATTTATTTTCGATTAATTAATTTATTCATACCTTCAATTTTGGAGGTTTTTTAATCGTTTTATTTAAAACGTAATTGCCATTAATAAGCTTAAAGCTTTGTTTATTCATAGTAATTTAAAATTCAGTAATAATTATTGAATATTAAATTAATTAGGCTTTCTATGTTTAGGAAAATGTTTATGTTAAAATATAATTTAGAGGTCGATCCAATTAAGTTGACCTGGGATTTCCATCGCCCTAATTAATACCTAAATGATTTTTTTATATTAAATATGTAATTAAAATTTTGAATATTTTCATTAATCAATATTAAGGCAATAATAAGCTTAGATATTATTGCGTTTTTAAAATTAAATTTTTTCATTTGATTCGATTTGTTTCATTTCAAACAAATATTATTGAATTAATTAAAAAAAATATTACATTTCGGGTCACAATTACTTAAATACTCTGCTATTAATTTTCGTCACAATATTATTATAAATGCTAGAAAACAAGCTGGAATGAAAGAGGCGCCAAAACCAATTTGCATCCGCATTTTTTCCTCAAAAATTCTGTTCCTCGCACGCAAAAGTTAACCACTTTGCACTTTTTATTAACGTAAGCAACCAATCTCGGTCATTTTGACGTAATCAAGAATTATTGGTCTGAGGAATCACGCGCCAAACCCCTACACCCGCATCCCGCAGAAGTGGTCGACCGAACAAAGCGGAAAGAAATTTCCGTTTGCCCTTTTAAACTCTAAATAAAAACCAAATTACGAAATTAATTTAGTAGAAATAATCTTTATGCTGTAAATAAATTTTAAACTAATAAATAAAAGCCTATGCTTAATTTTAAAAACAAATATATCATTTTAATGGTAGAATTTCACGATGAAGGGTTGATTTGTGGTGATTTGAATTTTTGCTTTCCCTCGATAGGTTTTGTGAGTTGTTTATTGTTTACGCCATAATTCATGAGCAGCGAAATTATTACAAAAAAGCCTTTTTTCGAATTATTTGCTTTTTTATTTAAACGTAAAACAATTTACAATCGAATTCAATTTCTTTTGTTAACAAAATTTGAGCGTTTTTTTGCGGTGGTTGAGAGAAATTATTTTTCGTTTGGTTTTTCAGATTAAAGATATCTTTGTGAAAAATTATATTTGTGTTTTTAGTTGCCATGAGGGTAAAATAATATAAAATGAACTTTCTGGATCAAGTATATTCGTAACCAAGTGCATTATTTTGTCGATTACGAAAGCAGATAAGGAAGTATCGAGCAGCTTTATCTTTGTGCCGCCCGCAATAATTATCTCCGGCGCGTCTGTTTGCACTTGTTGTCGGCATGTCGAGTGTACTTTATAAAGTACACTGCAGTTTGGTCTCCGTGTAGGAGGTCGTCGGACACTCCCATCTTTTTTTTTTCATTGTATTTTCTCGCGAGGCGAGGCCTTTCCTGGAATCGACGGCTCGTTTCGCAAGCACGCGCAATTATTTTTATTATTATTTGCGCCTTCACGGTTTCTTCCTCATTAGAGAGCCACAAAGAAACAATTCTCGTTCGCATCAGGCGATTAATTAGTCGGCCGTACATGTAAATAATTTATTATTTTTTTCCTCGCGCACGTACGGAGACGTGCAAGGACGAGCGCAACTTATCTGCAGCTCTTGGCGCAACGGCTCTTTTTGTTTTGAAATCCGAGAGTACAGCAATGGAAGAAGAGTTGCTACAGGAAATGGGTGATTAAGAGCGCAAATATTTGCTAAACGCTCGTCCTTAAGAATCCGCCTGTGGGCATTGGGAAAAATTCGGCGGCACGGCAAAGGAACCACTTGATGGGGTCCAAAGATCAAGTGCGAATGCAAAAGTACGTCCGTTTGAGTTCAAAGTGCTTAGAATTTGACCGAGACTTTTCCACCAGTGTAAGAATTTCACACAGTAATTTTGCTGATAAATAATAATTTTTTTATAAAATAGAAAATTAACTAGTTTTTATCATCTGGAAAAAGGAATAATTTGATTTGAGGCAAATAAATAAATTATTTTGGAAAATGATAAAAAAAAAACTATCACTTGATTTATTTTTTATGAGGTGGATTATTTAATGAAAAATTGAAACCGGTCGAACTTCTTTACCAATAAAAAAATTTAAAAATAAAAAGGCAACTAACCTAGGGTTTTGTAGTGTCCAAAAAATATCAAGAGGGAGGAAGTCGCAAAAAAATTATAAATCCATATCTTTATTTGCGAAATTCAATAATATTTTTCTTATGAATATCTTTAAATGATAATATCAATCCTAGGTTATGTGAGAATAGATGCAAAACGAAAAACACTGGCGTTGGAAAAATCAAAATTGGTCCAGCTTTACTCGGGCATCCAAAGATCTGCAAAAACTCCACAAAAATTAGCTTCAGTTGCCTAATTTACAAATCTTTGGTCGCCTGAATGCAGCGCCACGCTGAACCAATTTTGATTTTTCCAACGCCAGTGTTTTTTATTTTATTTCTACCTTAGGATTGAAATTGAAAAGATACAATAATGTTATTGAATCAATCTTTTGGGGTCAGTTGTGCTTTTATTTATTAATTTTTATAAGATCTATTCCTTTTAAACGAGATTTGCTTTGTTTTAAATTTTCATTTTCAATAATTATCGACATTTCATCTTGAATTGGAGCTTAGATCGTGTTTGGAAATTTAAAAAGCTTAAATAAAATATTTTAATCAATCCTATTCTAGGATTGAAAAGTTTGCCATTATTGGTGGTGAGAATAATTTTCTAGAACATTTGATTTATTTGCCTGCGCTGCAAATTTTCCAGAGCTAACCATTCACGGAATTCAGGACGTCCGCTCTACATTTGCAATTGTTATAATTTTCAATTTTCTAGTTCAACTTAAAATGGGGTCAGTAAAATATTTCGTATTAAATTGAACTTTTTCTCTACGTTCTTGACATTTTTCCTGAAGGATCTCGAGTCGCGCAAACACGAACTTCTTTTTATTTTTCGCTGCGTGTTTTTTGCGCCTCGCATCTCTCTCTCTCTCGAGAGTATCGCACACTCTGGTCGAGGAGGAAAGAGCGAACATAAAGAGGCCCCATCACTCTCCCGCGCTTATGTACATATAAATAAATAAATATAAAAATGCCATTTCAAGGCTTTTCAAGCTGCCACACATGTGCGCCGCTTTCGAGATTTCGCTGCCTCGACTGCAGCTGGCCGCGAGTTGCGCAACCGAAACGACCACTTTGCGCCCGTACTTGTTTCTCGCGCTTGCCCAACGCCGAGAGATTTTCTCGCCGACCTTTATTTTCTGCTCGTTAGGGAAATTTATTTTTCCACCGATTTGAAGAACGCGCTGCGTGGGAGAGTTTTAGAAAGTCGACGTGGCCGCCGCGCAATTTGAATCAATTTATTTGGTCGCGGCCGAACGGCGGCTCACTTCAGTTGCGTTTTATTGCGCACTCACCATGCTAACGACAGGCAGCTGCGAATGTGCCCAGCGAATGCACAAATTGCTTGGCACTCGCCGGCCAACCAACTCATTTGACCTCGTAAAAGCGCTAAAAAGCGCGGCTCGCTAATTAAAACGGCGCCCGAGTTGTAGGCAAAAATCCAAATTGCGCAGAAAAATCTAAATTGACCAACTAGAAAAAACGCAGTCGAAGAAACTAAAACAGAAATGCAATCAAAAGTTTAATTGTTAGTCTGCTAATGAAAATATTTGGCATTTAACAGGATATTTTTTATAAATTCTAACACTTATTTTGTTAATTAATTAAATATTGCTATTAGACGAATGAAGATATTTTAAAATAATCTGTAAATAAATAAATAATTGGAAATGTCATGGCTATATTTCAAAAATTTAGAACTTTTAACCAAAATAACCTTTAATTAAACTTATCTTATTATTATTTTTAAAGTTTTATTCTTTAATTTAATTCAAGACTTAATTTCATTTTTATTTAGAAATAAGCTCCATTTTCTTCCTGTTGGAAACGACATTATTTATCTTGTTGTAAATTTCCTGTTTTTCTTCTGTTGAGATTAAAAGAAAAGGAAACCCCTGGGTTTCAGGCTAATGAAGTTAGCGTAAAAGAATTAATTTTGAAGAGTATAGATTACAAAATAACTCTTAACGCTTATTAACTTTTGAACGGCTCGATGAATTCTGATGGTAATTTTTCTCTACATTAGCATTGATTTTTAGATGTCAAATACATAGTGACAAAAATTTTATTTATTGGGAAAACTATATTTTTAAAATTTAACTTCTTATGGGAATTTAAAAAAATTATTTTTTGTCCTCAAAATTTGCCCGATCAAAATTGATACAATTTCTGAAAATCACGTTCATATCAGTTAAGATAGAAAAATAAAATCATTAGGTCAGTGGACATCCAAAATTTATATTGATAGGAACAGATTGAGAAGTTAATATTCATTCTTATTAAAAAGTTATCTTGAATTTCAATTTTCAGAAACTTTGCAATCAAATCTAAATTTGTGCTTTTGATTTCAGGATGGTGAGCAGCAGCAGCCTGAGCCACCCGTACGTGACGTCGAGCTGCAGCGGGAGCACGTCGAGCGGCGCGTCGTCGCCCGTGGGCAGCCACTACGCGGCCAGCATGTCGCCGGCCAACCTGATGGGGGTGCGCATCAAGGACGAGCCGCAGACGGTGCCGTCGATGGGCGGCGGCGCGTCGCCGCCCGTCTCGCCCATCAACATGGAGAGCCAGGAGCGCATCAAGCTGGAGCGCAAGAGGCAGCGCAACCGCGTCGCCGCCTCCAAGTGTCGGCGCCGCAAGCTCGAGCGCATCTCGCGGCTCGAGGACAAGGTCAAGAACCTCAAGGGCGAGAACACCGAGCTCAGCGTCGTGCTCAACAGGCTCAAGGAGCACGTGTGCCAGCTCAAGGAGCAGGTCATGGAGCACGTCAACTCGGGCTGCCCCATCATGACGGCCACGACGAGCCTCAGCTTCTGATTCCACGCTCTTGGACAGAGTGAACGCGATGCTAGTTTCGATAAAATTAGTTCAATTATTGTATTCGTCCTAAATGATTCCTTAGTTGCGTCAAAAGAAAAGTGCTGCGCCTTCCGAGCTTCAAATTAAAGCCGGACGGGCCATGAACTTTGTCTTAAGTGAAGCGTCCAGGGGCCGACCAATTTATTAATATTTTTTTCATAGATTTTTCCCACTAATGTGGTGAACTGGCTGTTTATATAAATTTTGGAAATATTTTCTATACGACTGTATAAAGGGTGCTATAAAATTTTGAGTAAATTTTCAACAAAATCTAAATGACAGTTTTGGATAATTTTGACTTGTAATGCAGTTGATTGGCTCTATTGAAATATTTCTATGAAATTTATCCTCAATTTATGAAAGTGTGCTCCTGCCTCGGCCAATCCCACTCAACTGCAAGTCGGAAATTCCAGTCGTTTTTATTATAATTTTTTTTGCATAGTCGGCCCCGCTGCTCTCAGAGTTGTGAATGAGAATCCAAGTTGTAATGAAACAAACCCAAGTACAAGAAGTGATCGATTTCAGCACCAGTCATCTGAGCAATAATCCCGAGGTGCCAAAGCCCTCGGCTAATATACAATTAAATTAGAATGTATTTTTACGAAATGAGATACTTTGACCGAGTCATATATAAATGCACAAAGCAAATAAAAAAAATAATTGGTCAATTTGTACACGTTTTGTATTGGATTATGACACATTGTGATTTTTTATAGAATATTCAAGTGCCAATGAATAAATAAACGACGTGCAAAGCAATTTTCCTTTTTTTTTCTTGGTATTTGGATGTTATTGTAAGCGCTGCCGGAGGCTGCCGAAAATAATTTTGTTTTAAATACAATCCGCTCAAATCCGTTTGCCAAACTGGAAGCTCTACTTTCGATTTACGTGCGTTGAGTGAAGATGTTTCTCAACGCGGCGGTTTTCCCCGGCCTAGGGCCTTCCCGAGACAACTTTCCAAGCAGCCTCTCGCAGCGACCAATATTTTCGTAAGCGAAATTTCTTTCGCACTCTCCTCACCGAACGCGTGCTCTATCCATTTAAATATCGATTGAGAAAAAATAAGTAAATGTACAGTATTTTTACATCCACACAAATTTGATGCTATATTATATTGTTGTAGCCTGTAAACAAGCTGATGAGAAAAATATATATTACCATTTTGAAGCGAGAGACGTGCCCGTCGTCTCGGCTGGAAAACTTATTTATATGCTAAGATCATCCAGAGGAGATAATAAAATATAGAGAACCATATAGTTTTTTTTTGTATAGCAATAAAATAAAACGACGCCTTGTGCTTCTGAACACAAACACACGAGCCTTATTATTCGAGCACTCCCCCGACCAAGCAAAGCTGGGTCAAATCCTCGCAGCGCGGGACGAGGGCACCGACCTCGGCACACTTCGCGCCTGCCCCAAGGAGCAGCTTTTGAATATGTTTTCACAGTACAGTACCGCGCAAGCAGTTGAACTCGAAATTATTAAATTGAGCGCACCTTTCACTCTTCAGGGCGCCTCTTCGCCTTGCCAGTGACTTATTTGCATTTGCTCGCTCCGTGCCAACGCAGGCGTCGCGCACGACAAAAGAATATAATTATTGTTTTGCTTTTGTGTGTACGAATAATGCACACACTCGCGAGCATGGAATGTTTAATAAGAAAGACGAGATAAATGCCCGGAGATTACATGGAATTTCAATTAATTACAACACGAACATGAGCACAATAAGATACTTAATTATGAACATCTCGCTGCTAATAAATCAAAAAATAATTTATAAAAAATCGTATTAAAAAAGATGCACAATTTATAATTAATTTGCATTGCAAAATTTATATTTTATTGTCTATACGCTGTTTATTGATAATAAATTAGATTAATTTGGAAGTCAAATTTCATGCTGATAAATTAATTGCTTTCTTCAAATTGTTGTTTTTCTGTTCAAATTGGTGTAGAGTAGTGTTTTAGTTTTTGTTTAAAAGTGTAAAGCAGTTTCTGGGTTTAATTTTTAAGAGGTTTTTTCGTGGTTTTATTGAAACTGTGCGAGAAATACTTGGCGTTAAAGAATGGAATACATACCAAAATTTTAACTTTTATTTAAGAAATTACTGTTCAATGACGCAAAAATTATACCTATTTGTGTCGCAAAAAAAATATCAAAAACTTAATTTGAACCCTGAAAATCAAGGCCTGGTTCTCGATTTTGGCCAATTCCAGGACTCATCACCAGACTTGCATGTTTCGACTAACTAAGTCAAAATTATGGATTCCATTCTTTAATGCCAAGGTTTTCTCTGTTTCAGTAAAACCACGTGAAAACCTCTTGAAAAAAAACAATATGCTTTCAAAATATTGAAAGCTTCTTTGTGACTGTTTAAAAACTGAAAAGATTTCTAGTCAATTAATAAATGAGAATAAAATGAACACTACATTATAATCTATAATCACTAGCAAAATTTAACTTAAAATTCGAGATTCCCTTAAAATATTTGCAAGAATTTTTCTTTATCCAAGTCTTATTCTTTTTTGTCTAATGGGTGAAATCGGGAAAGGATGAGGTGTAATTGGCAGTGAAAAGTTACCATTTTGATTTTCACATATGTTGTTGGGGTTGTTGAAAGGTAGCTTCTCCTAAATTTTCAGCTTGAAATATGGTGCGCTTTTCCGGGAAATCGGATTTTTCCAAAAACAGAAAATGTTGAATATCTTTGCTAAAAATGAGAATATATGAATGCTCTTTTCACTACCAGACGTAACTTTTCACGCCCAACAACTTTGCTGTTGATTATTTTTGTATAGGTCAAAGGTCAAGGTCACTAATTAGCAAATTTCACTTTCAAACGCAGTTTTCGCAAAGAAGCACACCTTGGATTTTTTTCGTGATATACAAAAAAATGTAGCCCTAAGTGTGTAGAACAAAATACTTGATTTCCAGATTGGTAACTTTTTCTGTTTAATTGATATTTTTAATTGAATATAAAAAACAGTGAAAAATCACTTTTCCGCAAACGAAACTAATTTTCAAACAGCGATAATTTTTTTTCTGTTAGAGATACGCAAAAACTTGTAAGTACAAAAAGTGTTTCTAATGACCTAACCTATCGAACCATGTATTGATCATGTAGGTCGAGTCACTTAAGGTCATTGACCTCAGTGACCTGTGACCTTGAAAAACGATATTGCAAAAAATTGGAAACGTTTCAAAAAAGGCGCACTCTTTTTCATTATTTAATGAACTAATATTTTGCAAAATCATTTTTCAAGGTCACAGGTCACTGAGGTCAATGACCTTAAGTGACTCGACCTACATGATCAATACATGGTTCGATAGGTTAGGTCATTAGAAACACTTTTTGTACTTACAAGTTTTTGCGTATCTCTAACAGAAAAAAAATTATCGCTGTTTGAAAATTAGTTTCGTTTGCGGAAAAGTGATTTTTCACTGTTTTTTATATTCAATTAAAAATATCAATTAAACAGAAAAAGTTACCAATCTGGAAATCAAGTATTTTGTTCTACACACTTAGGGCTACATTTTTTTGTATATCACGAAAAAAATCCAAGGTGTGCTTCTTTGCGAAAACTGCGTTTGAAAGTGAAATTTGCTAATTAGTGACCTTGACCTTTGACCTATACAAAAATAATCAACAGCAAAGTTGTTGGGCGTGAAAAGTTACGTCTGGTAGTGAAAAGAGCATTCATATATTCTCATTTTTAGCAAAGATATTCAACATTTTCTGTTTTTGGAAAAATCCGATTTCCCGGAAAAGCGCACCATATTTCAAGCTGAAAATTTAGGAGAAGCTACCTTTCAACAACCCCAACAACATATGTGAAAATCAAAATGGTAACTTTTCACTGCCAATTACACCTCATCCTTTCCCGATTTCACCCTAATGCTTTTTGATTGCATTAGCCCGTTCTTGCCTTTCTGAAAGTGATGAAATGAGTTTTTTTTTACCTTCTCTCACGCGTTTAAAAATAATCGTGATTGAATACTCTTGTAATGCGATTATAATAAAACCTTGGTTCTCTGAACAAAGAGGAGAAAAGCGCCCAGTAAATAGCATAATATGCAGCGTCAATTGCAATGAAACGAGACCAGCATCGGTGTCACAGTGAGATACTTTATGCCGTCGGACAAAGCCGAAGACGCCCACATCGGATTTATATACAATGCGTGCATTGTTATATACACGAAAAAAAATTACATATTTAATGAGATGGGCGCCGAGCTGTCGGCCGACGAGAAGGAGTGAAAAATAATGTGAATGTGTGTCTCGCTCTAGACTAGAGCAGTGAAGGAGGAAAAATAATAATAAAAGGCTGGGGGCCTCCCCGAAGTGCACACAGAGAGAACTTGGCATCTGGCTGGCGTGTGCTATACACATGAGCGAGCAACGCTGGCGGGCGCTCCCCAATAAGGGGGAGGCACTACAATGGGTGGCTGAGTCACCCGAAACCATTTAAATAAAAGCTCTGTACTGCAAAACACGGGCGGCGCTACAATAAGATTATCAAATCGGCCCCGCAGTTGAACTTTTATCGCGCCGTATTTTCGTCTCGTGATGTCACCGGAGCTCGCGGGACGAACGGGAGCTCCCACCGGTTGCATGCAGAAATAAACCGTCCTATTCTAATTCCGACTTCTTGTCTTGTTGCTTGTCGCACTCGAGCATTATTTTCGATTGACTCACTTAATTGCAATTTGGGTCGGGTCTGCTCTTAAAGATTAAACTCGCTCCATTTGTTTAATTGTTCTCTCAACTGCCAATTTTATTTTAGCTTTTAAGTACACATTAAGTAAGTCTGGACAGCAGTTTTTAGTTGGTTTATACATTTTCCAGTTAAATTAAAAATTGAAGATTTCTAGTCCTGTCAGTTCAGTATACATTGTTTTTCTTAAATCAACGGTCTTTCTTTCTTGGCGACAGTTTCAATTTCAACAATCGAGAACTTTATGGAGGCGCGGCTGCCAGCACATGTGGCGGTACCAATTGAGCCCAATTAAAAGTTTTGACAGCTTCAAGAGGACAATGCTCTTGGTTGATGAAAACAATAAAAGCTTGTGGAATTTTGGGCCGGCCTCCACAAATTAAAAAAGCCACTTTTCAAAAGTTTTGGTTAATCAAGTTACTCTCCGTGCACGAAAGTTAACAAAAAAAACTCTGCTATGGTTATAAAAATGCATTTCTTAAAACACAATTAATGTAAAAAGGAGCGGCTGAGAGGGCACAAAAAAAAATCGAGTCCGTCTCTCCTTGGTTCAGTTTGCATCTTCTTCGTTCTCTCTCACTCGACAGGCTGATTTTGAAACGGAGCACAAAACTTCACACACGTTCAGGCGTTGTGCTCGTGCATCAGTTCGTTCATGCGCGCGTTCACAGTGTTGTCCACCACCTCGAGGCTCTGGTAGTCGAGCTCCTTCAGCAGGCACAGCACGGCCGACAAGATGTTCGAGGTCTGCAAGGAGATTTCAACATGGGCGACTTGCAACTTTTAACCACATGTTTTTCAAAATACGCCGTTAAAATTTATTTTTCAAACAGTAACAAGTACGAAAAAAAAATTAAGAAATAGTGTCAATAATTTTTATTTCCTGAAATTCTATATGATTTCCAGCGCATTTGATAAAATTACAGTTAAAAAAATTCTAAAACAATTAAAACTAAAAAAAATCGATTTTTTTTAAAAAATATGTTGCTTGAAATGAAAAGTAATGACAATATTGAGACGAAAAATAAAATAATTCTTACCCTGGATTTGGGTCTGCCGTTGCCGGTGATAGGCACAGAGGGCGGGTGCTGCTGCATGCTGCTTGGGTGATGAAAACGCTGCCGTGGCTGCTGCTGCGATCTGTAGTAGTAGTCTTCGTCCTACGATTATAGAAACGCCGATATAATTATCAGATTTGAGCCAGATTTATTTTATCTTCATGCTCAGATAATTTCAGAAAAAAATTAATATAATGTAAAATAGGCTTTGTGCTAGACATTGATGTCAATCATTTTGCCTATACACAAGCTTATAAATAAAAATCTCCAAAAACATCCAAATATCAAGAATCTACAAAGAAAAATTCCGTTTCTTTAGCAGAATTTACAGATAATGTGATAAAATGCACAATTTCGAGAGCCTAGAAAAATTAAAGCAACCAAAAAAAAAAACCAAAACCGTGTTACAAAATCATGATGATGATTCTAAGAATTGCAGCAGTACAGGGTGCGCGATAGGGGTGCAATTCTAGTTGTGAGGCAAATTTACTCACTTGGTGATTGCATGGGTACAGAGCCAGCTGCTCGGGACAAACTCGCGGCTCACTATCGGACCGAAACCTCGGGCAGTGCTCGGACGGCGAGCAAGTTGAGGAGATTGGAGTGTTTTGGGGTAGGTTGGGGGGAGAAGAGGGTGACGGCGGCAGGAAGGGAGGAGCGACCTCAGGGGACGCCTCCTTTTGCCTTCGTTGAGGGGTCAAAAGGGGGTCAGGGCTGTTTGGTGTCAGCGGCTGCATGAAAAGCAAAATGTTAATCAGGTTAGTTGCCCAGCAGTTAAAATTAAATTTTTGTTAATTTCTTTACTAATTTTTATCACATATTATGTCGATGGATATCAACCGTCACCAATATTACCAGGTTAAAGCAATTTGAATGCATTTAATCGCGTTTAATTATAAAATAAATTATATTTAAATGAAAAAATTCAATAGAAACATGTCTTTTTTATCAAATTTTTATGAAGAAACAAAATTCCAATCCTATTATTATAAAAAAGAAATTTTTGATGATTTCTATTGGTTATTTCTTTTTTGATCGTAGGATTAATTGATTGCACGGGTCAGCAGTACCTTAAATCAGAAAAATATAATAAATTACCTGGTAGGACTGCTGCTGCTGGTACGACTGTCCAGTTGAGTGGTACGATTGGGTGCTGTCGCGCCGCTGACTGTATCTGCAAAGGAAATTTGGAGTCAGCACACCAAAAGTTTAATCATTAAACTATTTTTTACCCTGAATGCTCCGAGTTGTTGTAGTTTGCGTTTCGTCGGTCAGCGTACTCATCATGATACTGTCGGGGTGGCTCTGGAGACTCCATTTCTGGAGGCGTCTGGTCAGGCGACATCTAAAATTTAAGTGTTTTGTTACAAATCCGCATTCAACTTTTTTCATTTCCCTTAGCATTAATCACATTGAATATTATCTGCCAGCGTTGGCATGGTTTTCATTATTTTGATTTATATTAATCTGTTAAAAATGCACGTTTAAGGCACAACTAAAAAAATTTTAGAAGCAATTAAAATTGACTAAAATAATTAATCAAAATTCAGCCCACGTGAATGTACATAAATATATTTAAAAAAAAAAACAATAATAACGTTGAAAAAAAATTCCAAAGTGTGCGAGATGAGAGATGAAATATGTGAAAATATGAACAGGGTATATAAAAATGACAAATAACAAGAGGAAGCAAATTTACAAAGCAACACGAAAACACGTTCCGAACAAACACAGCTCGAAGCAGCACACGAAGCTCTCTTAAAAGCACCTCTGCAAAAGTAAAGAGTGACTTTTGTCATTTCTGGGCCAACTTTCCACCAAACAGAAAAGAAAAAATAAAAAAAGCCACTCGCAAGGAGAAAGAAAACCCAAAACAACAAAAAAGGTGATTAATCTTGCCCGAAAAAAATTAAATGGGCCCCCATGCGGCATGCGGGGCCTCGGACGGAGGAGAACGGCAGCCCCGTGTACCTTGCAAGCTTTGCCCCGGGCATCACACCATTGCACCGCTTTAGAGCTACTGCGAATGAGGCGCGCCTTGCTGTGCGGCTCACATGCAGCCGTGGTTGGCACCAGAGAGTAAGTGAACGACGAGGCTTTGTTGTTAAGACGCACCTTGTGGGCCACCAGCACCTCATTGCTTACTTCGGGCGACGACTGCCGGCCGTTGGGCTCCGCGGGCGCCTCCTCGATCGACTCTTCCCACGTCGGCTCGTCACTCTGCAACGCGACCACCACACAAACACACGATCAGCCGTGCACCCTTGGTTAGATACATACTCAGGGGGATTAATTTTTCATTTACGATGTGTTTTGATTCAGCTTCAATGAGTTTAGTTGTTTTAATTTGTGGCGATACTGATTTTAAGCGTTCAAAAAGGACATTCTCAAGATTCAGTGGTTTTATGAGAAAAATGGTAGATTATTAATTTAGACTGCTGGTGAAGCATAAACATACAAAAAATACTGAGAGGATTGATTGAATTTAAAAGCAAAAAATATCCTAAATGAAAATGATTAAAGCAAAATCTTAAAATTCAAATGCAAATTAACGTGAAAAAATCTTATATCGAATCTGAACTTTTTGAGTTATAATTTATCCATCATTTTTTTTGCCAGGACTGTATCTTTTACAATTGATACTTTTATCGACCAATTTATATAATTATATTTTGTTAGTTTTTCTATCAACAATTTATATCCAGATAAAAAAAAACTTTCACTAACAAGCCATGCAATGCAACAGAGCATTGTACATGGTCAGAACCACAAGTTGGACGAAACAAACAAATCACAAGGACCATATTTCACTCTGACACAAATGTGGACCGCCTGAACACACGGACGGTGAAACACCATTTGTCAGCGGGCGATCGATACCTCATATTTGATGCCGTTCGAGTAGCCGTTGTGCTCCTGCGACGGGTAGCTCGGCACCTGGTACTGACAGTCCTCGTCCTCAGGGTGCACCAAGTCAACGCCCTGCCTCAGAGCGTTCCTGCGCTCCTCGTCGGTCACCTCGACGTCGTCCAACTTCTGCAGTCTTGGCAGCGCCCTGATCACAGCTAGGCGGTACCTGAAATCATTTCAAAATTAGTTTTCTCGATTCATTTGAAAAAAAGATTTTTCTGGGGTTCAGATTTTTACCCTTCGAAGTTGGTGCACGGGTTTTCCGTGAGGGTGAGGTTTTGCAAATTGGCACAGTCCTGCAGGTAGCAGACTTCGTTGAGTTCGGAAATGGAATTCTTGCGCATGTACAGCTCACGGAGCTTGCTGCAGCACCGGAAGTCGGCCAGGGAGCTTATGTTGTTCACACTAAAGAAAAGAGAAAAACACAGAATTAATTTTTGTTAACTTAATATTCAACCTTTGTCAATAGAGCAAATAATTGGTTAGTTTATATAATTCCTTCATCATTTGTGTTTATTTTCCAATTTTTTTTTTTATAAAATTATTGAGAAAAAACGTTTTTAAAGGAAGATAAAACGGCACCATTGGTTAAGATTTTGCAAAAACTTCAGAGATAAAACAAAAGCTCATCTTTTTTTTGTAGATCAATATTTATTTATTTAATTATATAAAAAGCAAAATTATGTATGTATGTAAATTAATAGAAACCTATTTCACAAATAATTAATTTTTGAAAAGTCAAGAAGGTTTCTTGCTCTATTTACGCAAAGTAACTCCAGCGTTAAATGTTTAAAATTTCAAGTTGAGCGACTTTTTGTTGTTTTCGTCCGTCGAAGTGTGTATTGGATAATAAATCTTGAGTGGATTTCACTTTTTCTCCGTTTTCAGTTTCACACGCACTATCGGATCTTTGATCTATCCAATGCACATCTGCGTGCAGCGTGCATGGCAGATACAAACAAGCACTATTATTATTATTCTCTTTCATTCGAGTGCACTCGGCTGTCAATTTCGGCGCTTTTCTCCTCGCTTCCTGCCCGAAAGGAAAGTTCTGCGCACGCAAGAAATAAATTTAATGAATTAATAAAGAGGCTCGATCAACACGGCTCAATGAGAATTGAGGTGTAAATAAATCACGAATTGGCGCAATGACGAGACCGCACTCGGGCCTTGATCGCGCGGGCAAAAACTCCTGGTTGCTGATGTGCCCATAAAAGAGCCGAGCAGGCTTGGCTTGTCCTCCGTCGGTCGGCGCAAAAGGAAACAATAAAACCAGAAAAGCATGCCAGCCAGGAGAGGAAGTTTTTGCGCACAACTTGAAATACCGCCTGCTCGAAATAAAATAAAAACGGAATTGATTTTTCAATACCGCAGCGAAAAGCCAATTTAGAAGGAGATTTATTGCCGTGAGCCGGAATAAATCTGTGAATATGTACTGAATGAGAAGTGGCTCTCAAATATTTGCCCAGTGAATAAGAGGAGTCAACAGAATAAATCATGCGAAATGAGCATTCTCGTGTGCACAAGCAAGATAGCGAGTCAGCGCGCGTGAGATTTACTGCCAGAATACTTTGTTTCACTTGGTTTCTTTCTTGCCAATTTCTCGCCATTTTCAATTTTTGATGCATTTCTTTAATTGGTTGGAGATTTTCATGTGAGGTGTTTGCAATTAAAATAAAATAAAACGAGTTTAATAAAGTTTAAGAATAATTAAAACACGATTTGTACTGAAAATTTGAAAAATTTGAAAAATTTTGAAAGTTTATGAAAAGGTAAAAAAAAGTACAGGATTAAGATTAGAACTAGTAAGACATTAATTTAAATTAGAAGGTCTGGTTTCTAATATGACTTTTTACATTTTAGAAAGCTCAAAAGTTTAAAAGGTTTAAATTTAAAATACAAGGGTACAAAAACAATTCGTTTTTTTTTCATAATTATAAAAATCAGTTTTTTGCGAAAGTCTGTAAGCTTCAAAAATAGAGGTGGAGAAGGTTAAGAGGCTTAAATGGAAACAAAACGTTTTCATTGTTTGAACTTTGTCAACTGGAGAAGGACAGAAAGAACGGTTTGAAAAGCTTGGAGATAATTCAGGAATGTCGTGTGACGCCGCGAGCTGCACATACTGGATCACCAGCTGGGTTTTCAGTTCCGCTCGCAGACGATCGACAAAAAAATATTATCAGCTTCATTCGAATGCACTCGACAATGACAAATTGCATTCGTTACGACGCCAATTCAGCACAGAACAGAGTGGGCTGATTTGCATCTTCAGAAGAGCCTTTTCCGTGACTCCGCAAATGCAATTTAATGATCGAATCCCGCTGGGAATGGCACAAAAAAAAACATTCACCGTCAATTAAAGAAGGTAATTACGACGGTTTAATTGCAAATTGCGGACGAGATGGATGTGAAATTGAGCAAGCGAGGTTTGAAATTATAGGCGGGCGCGTAACCGCAAGCCAAGTTCAAGCAGCGTGGAAGGAGAAAAATATAATATAACGAAAAGAGTCGCCGCAAAGAAGCAGGATACATTCGTTATTGTACAAAGTGTTCAAGATCTCTTGGCAGAAATTCCGCAATTCGCTGCAGGAAAAAGCTGCAGAGCCCCTAAAGTATTTTCCACCGAGTGCAAAAAAATGCCCAAACCGATTCTCCATTTTTCCACTGTTTGAACTCGATTTTGTTGAACCTTATCACGGCCATTCAGCCGCTGGCGTATGGAAATGAATGTGTTGAGAATATATTTCGCACCGCAAAAGGCCCTCAAGTGAAAAATGCACAGTGAAGTGGAACAAATTTTGACCGCACAGGGAACGGGCCAGGCATAAAATCGCGGTCTTAAAAAGTATTTTATGATAATTTGAAACGGTACTATCGGCAAAGATGATCAATATGGACTTGCATTATATAATGGATAAAATTTGTATTAAATTTGCATTTAATTTACCCAAATGTACCTAATTAATTAACTGTTAAAAATAACTATAACTTATTAGCTTAAAATTCAGACTCAGATGCTTTGACTTGTTGTGGAGAAATAAAACGAATTGAATTGAAAATTTCAATGTATTAATTTTTATTTGTACTCAATAAAAAAATGCAATGTTATCAAAAAATTCAAAACTTCGACATATATTTTGGGAAAGGTTTGCTATAAACCCTGGTTTCTAATTCTGATTTCTCGCTGGATTATAATACAAGAACAATGAACTTGAATAAAATTATTTTTCAATTCAAATTGATGAACATTTTAAATGCCAACCCCATTACGATCTGCAGAAATGAGCAATCGAGCCGAACAGAAGTAATTTATTTCCACACAAATCACTCGGCAGAAACAATAAAGATTACACTCTTCATTATTATTGCCTGACCTCGCGTGCAATTGTGGAACAATGTGAGCGGCGAAATTGTGCGCGAGCAGATGTTTGGCAAGAACGGAAGCCAATTAATGCAAATGAGCGAGCCGGCAGAAGAGCAGCTTTTGAGAAAATGATCGAAAAGGTTCGTTCGTTGGTTCGGTGATGGGCAGTGCCAAGGTTGCGCGAGGGCGTGTGCTGCATTATCCCGTCGTCATCGCATCGCCCCAACGGTGTCACGCTTGCACGCGAAATATTTTTTTTTTTTTTTTTTTGCCTCCGAATGATCCGAGGGCGCTCTCGCGTGCGTCGTTCTATTCTTGCACTTTTTACGGCCGGTGGCTGAGACGGGGTTGTTTTTTTTTCGGGCGTGGGAATCCGATTGATCGACTAAAAGTCTGTGAGCATTCGGTGTTGAAGAAAGAACCGCGATAACCAAACTCCTCCTTTGTGTGACGACAAAGAGACGGAAAAAGTCATTCAACTCTCCTTTGGGAATGAAAGAATATGGTTTGGAGTTTGGAGAAAAGCTCTACTCAAAGAAAGTACTACATAAATAGTATAATTATGCATAAAAGTAAGATTTTTTAAAATTTAATATTGATTTATTAATTGATTTTGAAAATTATATAAAATAATGAATTTAATTGTATTTATTAATGGACCGCCATAGGCGTGCAACAACCTTAAAAGATAAAAAATATAAGGCAAAATTTATTAATTTTTTTTTCAAATTTGTTTGAAAAAGTTGACACTCGAGGAGATGATCGTGGAACGAGGACAAGCCCGATTTTCTTAATTTACATTTTTTTCCAAACTTTGCAATTTTGCAGCTTCGCGTAAACTTAACTACTTTTCAACGCAGTCCTTGATATGATAAAAATTACATCTTACCTCTCCGAATTTACAAACACAAATCTTCCCACTGTTCAGAATGATAAGCACTAAGCACCGTTATTACGAAATAAAAAATAATAAATTTAAGTAGAATCTTTTCTCAATTAATTTTGCCGCAATTTTTCTATAAAACGCTGTGGCAAGATTTGTGAATACTTTAGTGATCTTCATTTCTATTGATTTCTAAAAAAAAAAAAACGTGTGCTTTTTAAACTGATTTCTAAAAAATGAACTTCAATAAAAAAAAAGCACAAAATATAAAACTTTTTGAAGTACAAATTGACGTTTTGAAATCACCCATTTGAGAAAAAATATAGCTGCTTATTTATGAAAAAAAAAATCACATTCTGAGACATTATTTTATCTTAAATAATTTATTTTAGTTTTCAATGTTTAACCTAAAATCACCTCTTTTTAGAAAAAACTGCGTATTAAAACAGTTAAACTTGAAACAGCTTAAACTATTTTGATGAAAAGATGTTCACCTATTACATTTCAGGTGGAAAAAATAGCCTATCTATTTGACCCTACGAAAATAATGTAGAATTTTCCCAATTTGTATAAATTATTGTAGTAATTAATTAGAGAACATTTGCAGTTCATTCTAAATTAATAATGCGGGGTGAATAACTTTGCAAGACCTCGTCGCAGACATTTACAATCGATTTTCCAGCTCTTGCGTTACAAACGTCCTCTCTCAGGAAACCCGATCCCATTTGCTGGTGTTTGTCTTCAAGGCGCGGTGCCATATTTCAAAGTAGTGCAAATCGTTTGGCCCGGCTCGTGGCGAGCGAATAATAAATAGATTGTATTGATCTGACCTGGATGCAAGAAGAGTGGTGCTCTTCGGTCAGCAGCGCTTCTTGGCAACAACAAAAAAATTTTCGCATGCAACAGAAGCATTAGCAGTGACGAAAACAACAGAGACGCGCGAAATGGAATTACACGGCAACGACGGCATCGCAGATTCGCTACAGATGTGGGTCGGCAGATGGGGTCGATAAGCAGGGTTGTTTGCAGGCAAAGGGTGTGTTGATTGGGGGTGATAAAATTGTGGTCAGCTGACCGGACCACGATGGAAATTATTTCGTAACGCCTGCAGTGCGGCTCAATTGATAATTTTTCCGACGAGAGACGGATGAGAGCTTT